GAAGTTCTGATGCTCTTTGTGTTTTCTTGCAGAGCCCGCCTCTGGGTTGTGCTGAGTTTGGGAGCCCTTGGCCCCAGAGCCTCCGTTGCTTTGTACAAAGCTACTCGAAGCGTGCTACCGTCCGTATGGTTGCCATGGTGGGCTTCCCCAACGTGCTTTGCAAACTGCGAATGGGTGTGCAAGTTGCTTGGTGTTATGCTTGGCTGAAGCAGCATGATATAATTTGCGTAGGCGGGAGGGCTGCGTTAATCCCGCGCGAACAATTGTGCAACAGCTTCCGCTTCAGAGAAGCGGACTTGCTTCATTTACGTACAACAGCCGGTGATCTCGGAGCCTTTGTAGACCACAGCATCTTTCGGAACCACTGTAATCCACAGCACCTGACCCAACACCTGTGATGCCGGCAGCTTGAATCTTGTTTGCAGCCAAAAGCAGGACATGATGTACTTGTCTGAAGCTGCCTAGCGCTTCTGGTGGCACATGAGGTAAGGATGCCTTCTGAGGTCTCTCAACCTCGCTGCGTCCACTTCTTTCATCGCTCCTGCCTGGAAAACTGGGTGCCTGGCAGCAAAAGCCACAAGAGTTCGCAGATCTTCACAGCGTGTGGGTGCAGACAGTGGAGTGACGGAGTGGTAGCACAGCCAGCATGAAAAGCTGCCGTTCTGCGGAGGTGCAAACCCTTAGCAAGGAGCATGTCACTGCAACAAAGAGAAAGAAGGAACAGGCACGCGACGGGCTTGTTGCTTGCACGTTGGCGATCAGTTCCGGCTAAGCAGCTTCCATGTGCGTCATGTCGGAGGTGTTGTGTCCAATGCGCTGCGAAAGCGCAAAGGCACCCGCAGCTTGCATGGGATCTTGGGTTTATTTCAGCACGGTTCGTGTGCTCTTTGCAAGTTTGACATGGAAGCGGGATCCATTAAGGTGACATCACTCCCTGTACCCGACCCAAGCGTGCTTAGGGCCCAGTCTCGACTTCCTTGTCCATGTCTGCTGCGCCCTGAAGCTGAAACATTGGCTGATGAGAGTAAGAGCAGATCTCCGGCAGGTCTCCACCGCATCCTTGCTCGCATGCAAGCCTATTTCTGCACCGCCTTGAGCCGACATTGGGGGAAGACTCTCCGAGAGCCAAGCTGCAGACACGATACTTCGAGAAGAGTCTTCTCCTCGAGCTCATGTTTTCCACTTCTTTCGGGTCAGCGCTGGTCTGAGCATTCCCCGCCCAAGGCGGGGTCTTTCCCCAAGCGCTTCGGACTAGTTCCGATGCACATTCGGACGACCACGCGGAGCCAAGTGCTCGGAGCAGGTACCTCTGATAGGGTCAAACGGCTAGGTCCAGTACTCGAAATTGACCTGGAGAGACTCGACGTGTCGCAGCTTTCCAGCTTCTTTCATGCAAGACCTCGATCCCACACTAGCAGGCTCTAAGACTAAGCTCAAAAGGCTCTGTTTGCCTTGCGGGTCTTCCATATTCTTCCCACACGGCGGCTGCTTAGCAAGCAGACCTGCCCTTTGCGGTTGCCTCCCGGAGCGCTGTGCATCAACTACGCTGCCTCAAGCTCTGTTCGCCCTTCGCCCCCTACGGCTTAGGCTTTACGGTATTACACATGCCTTACATGGGATTTCTATAATTTTCTATACAAGCAACAAATCGCCTGTAGGGGAGCTGAAGGTTTGGACACAGGGCATTTGCCCAGATTCTGGTGTCAAAAGTTTTCGCAGCTAGTCTGAACCCAGTGCCGCAGGTGAGGCGTGGCTTCGGATTTTGCGTTCTCAAACTCTTGGGGTTGCATTTTCTTGAGAGAACGAAGCATGCTCGCGAAGCAGAGAATAGGCATCGAGCCGTAGGCCCGAGTGCCGAACATGTCGAGCTGTAGCCTTTGCGGAAGAGGCCGCTCAGGCACTACTACAGCTTTATGAACTCAGGCTCGTCAGCACTGAAAGCTTGTATCGTCGTGCCTGCGCCGCAAATGCATCATTTCGCAACTGTGGCAGTGCTTGAGAAGCAAACCGCTCTCAGAGCCTGTAGTATAGCTCTTCCCATGCAGCGTTGGGTTTGGTCCATGTCTATCGCTGGCACGGTGACTCAGAAGGAAGGTTGCGCTGCAATGCAGCCTTAGACTAAATTAAGTTGGACGAGGTTTAGCATAGTTGGATTCTGGCAATCGGGGCCTTGGCCCGAAATCGCACTCTTCAGCCTTCTTCACATGCTTGTGCGTTCTTACCAAGAGGTGATGTGCCCAGAGCACGGCGAAACCTGATGCACAGGCAGACGGATGTCCAAATTTTAACTTGAGGACTCTTAGCCTCTCAGCGCGCTGCCAAGGCAGTGCAGCTCATGGTTCTCGAAGTATGTCAAGCGCTTGACGTACACGCCTTGTGCAAACGCGGCTTTGTAGAACTTGGCCCAGGCTTCTTGTCTGGCCCCCAAGCTGCCCCCAAGATGCCCCTAAGCTGCCACCCCAAGCTGCCCCCCCAAGCTGCCCCCTCAAGATGCCCCCACATGTTCTCCTAAACATAAACCGCGCGCGCAACGATTGCCAGGGCAGCGATTTGAAACTCGAGACCGCGCCTTGGCCAAATTGATTGCTAGGCGTTCGCAAGACAGGGGTGGAACCGGGAATGTCTGAAGAAGCTCTCAGACAGGAATGGAGAGGACCCACTCAACACTTGCGTTGCAGAGGTCACCTCGCTTCCCGAGCTTGGGCCTCGGGTCGAGAAGCCTACTGGTTGGGGAGATGATGGAGCATCTCCTTGTGCTGCTGTTCTGCTGATGGCTCTCTGAAGTATATAGCTCCAGGTTCGCAGAACAATCATATCATTCTCGGGTCTTTCGCACCTAATTCGAGTCGCAAGTCTTCTTGGTGTCCTTCAACACTGCACGTTCTAAGATTCTAAACCTTCCAGCGTTTTTCGGAGCTGCACAACACTTGTACTAGTGGCGTGATGACTGCAGCGATGTTTGTTGTGTTTTGCACGTGTGCAAAGAGTGACAAGCAGTACGTAGTGCACAGTTTCGTTCGTACTGCAGTCCGCTTCAGCTCGCACTTTCGCTTTTTGCAGTTGCAGCATCAGAGGCCCGAGCGTGTGGTCAGCATTTTCAGCTTTTCTCCCGCCTCCGGTAGTATGGCCGCCTCCCCGAAGCAGTATCAGTGCGAAGGATGCGACCAGGAGTACGTGCACTCCGAGTTCGGCCGGATCTCCGAGACGGAGTGGCGATGCTACTTGTGCATTGTGAATCAGCGGATGAAGAACATTCAGGAGTCCGGCAAGGACGAGGAGAAGGCCCGCACGAAGGATGAGTGGATCGTGGTGGTGAAGGCAGAGATTGCGAAGCAGAAGCGCCAGAAGCACCGGGCGCGTGGGCAAGTCTTCCAGGAGGCATTGACTGAGATCAATGCGCAAGCAGCCGAAGGAGAAGGATTCGAAGGGCGTACCCTGGGGGAACGCAAGAAGGCCAAGCAGCTCAAGGTGATGTCGCTCTTCAACAAGAAGCTCAACACGGCGTTGGCCAGGGGCTTCATGTCCAGCACGGTGTTCCAGTACTTCTCGGACTTCAGTGTGGTGGTGGCGGCTGTGGCTGAGCGCGAGGATTTGGCCCAGTCTGCGGAGGCCCGTCTGGAGGAGGCGGAGAAGGCCCTGGACGACTTTGTGATGAAGATGGCCGGCCGCAGCTTGACGGAGTCCCAGTCCGTCGAGAAAAAGCTTCTTGAGGACCAGGTGAAAGAGGCGACGGCCGCGCTGGAGTCCGTCAACGATATGCCCCCCGCCGACACGTTCGTCACCTGCAGTGATCAGCCTGAAAAGCGCAGAAAGCGATTGCTTGGGCCCACGGGGTATTTGGCGTACTGCGACAAGGGCTTCTGGGAGAACCAGGCCGATGGGGAAGGGCGTGACATCATGCGCATCTTCTACCTGCCTGCCAGGAACGATTGTGGGTGCTACTTTGCCAGTGCTTTGTGGAGGTACATTGGGAAGTACAAGTGCGCCATCGATTGGACGTCCTTCCAGAAGATCTTCCCCGATGACCACGCGGCTTTGGTCACCAAGTACGGCGACGAGGCGAGCCTGCACTTGGCTGCGGAGCGTTCGTCTGCATTGTGTGGCACCAACTACCGACCCTACGCGGACGGGCCAGGCATGATGATCGAGATCCTGGTAGGCGAGGAGTGGCAGGCGCTCGTCAGTGAAGTGCTACCGGCGGAGGTCATGAACCGTTTTGCCCAGGCCTTCAAGGCGGATTGGCTCAAGCTGTCCACGCTGACAGAGGAGGAGCTCTGGGAGAAGATCCTTGAGACGGCGGTGCACCCACAGACCCACCTGACCGAGCTTATCCCCGGCATGTCTCGCAAAGTCCTGGGGGTCTTTCCCTTGAAGGACTGGAAGGCTGCAGGTGGGCAGCCGATCACCCAGCGTGCCTGGCTGAAGTGGTTCATTGCCATGGCGAACTTTGCCAATGACTACTGCTCGGATGCCAAGTTCCCCAGCCTGATCGCCTTGAAGCTGGAGTGCGAGAAATTCTGCAAGTAGACGAGGTGCCCAGAGGCCGTGGCCAACTGATCGTCCTTAGGATGCGGCTGGTCGCGGTGCGCCGAGTTTTGCAAGAAAAGGCATGCAGGTGCCGTGGCTGACCGATCGTCCTCAGGATGTGGTTAGTTGCGGCGACGAGCTAGTCGGCAGCGCGAGGAAAAGTCAGAAGGTACGTGCAGTGTGGTGTGCGTCCGTATGTGTTTGACGAGAGCAAGGGTTGCGCAAGGGAAGTCGCTACCAGGTCGTTGTGCTCTTAGCTTGGGCAGTACTGCCCATGAAAGAACAGGTCCGCTGGTAGAAAGTTTGCATGTTTCGAGTGTCCGAAGAGTCGGTCAGCGAGAGTTCGTGAGAAAGTCACAAAGGGTCTGGGCGGTCAGTGAGTGCCCCCTTTTCCTTTGCCTCAGTCATGAGCTCACGTGGTTCCTCCCATGAGGGTTCAAGCAAGTTTTTCGTAAGTTCGCCTCAAAGAGAACATGGCCGCTCCGACGGGCTTGCCGCTGCTCGAGAACTTGGCGGTCGCGTCCGCCCTCGACAAGCAGGTGCTGTTGTTCCTCCGCGACAAGGGAGTGACAAGTTCGGGAGTGCTGTTCCACTTGTTCGAGGACAGGGCCAAGATCCGCAAGACTTTGGCCCCGTTGTTGGTTGGAGTCAAGGTAGGCACCGACGACCTAAAGTTGGACGACGTTGGCCTTGAGGTCGCGATCGCAGTCCTGGAGCGCATGGCGGATGAGATCGGACTCGCCAGGGCAGCACAGATGGCCGCAGTGATTCCAGCGGCAACCCCTCTTGCAGCCACAGGGTCGACAAGCACGGTCGCCGACGACGCCAAACCCCCCAAGCAGTTGCCCAAAGGCTATTGGGCTAAGAGAGTGAAAGAGTTCGAGGAGGCGAAGATCGAGGGCCGCAACCGCACTTTCCCAGTACACCTCTTGGTCGGCGCAGAGGAGACGTTGGCAAGGATGGTCTACGAGAAGGAGCACTCGCACCTATTCAGTCCCGTCAAGTTGGGAGAGATCATCTCTGTCCGCAACTTCACTCCGAGTCGCCAGGTGAACCCTTGGGCAAAAACCGAGGACAGGTTCTCGGACTCCTTGAGCCTGGACGCCTCAGGTTCGCTGGTTCAGAGGCACAAGAAGATCCCGGAGCCCCAGAAGGCCCTCACAGTCATCGACGCCTTCGAGTCAGTTCGCTGGGCGATGGTCTTCGCGAGGTGGGGCGAAGAGTTCGTCATCGGCCAGTTGATCGACTTTTTCATTAACCTGGTCCGCGACAACCAGAACAAAATCCCGCAGATTCGCGAGTACTACCGCAAGACCTCTTGGGATTTGGCAATGCACATGCGAGCGGACGGCTCTTTCCAGGAGGGCGTAGAGAAGATCATCTCGAGCACCGAGCGCCACGACGCCCTCGCTCGGTGGATGCCCCAGGAGGGCAAAGGCAAAGGCAAGGATACGGACGGCAAAGGGAAGACGAAGGACTTCACCAACAACGGCAAGGGCAAGTTTCGCTACATAGCTCCGTACGTCTCCCAGAACCAGACGAGGCCCCCGTGCAGACTGTTCGCAGCAGGGTTCTGCAAGTTCGGAAGCTCGTGCAAGTTCAGCCACAACCAGAACCACGGAGGACAGCACAGCCAGGCCCAGGCGGTACCGCCACAGGCCTAGGGACAACGCGGGGCGCCCGATGCCCGAGATCGGGCGACACCCGACAGAGGTTCGCTCGGGAAGCGCCCTTTCCACCCTTGACTTCATCCCTTGGGCTCGGTTCTAGTTCCCCTCCGGGAGGTAACTTACAGGTAGCGACAGGCTCCGTCGGTTCAAAGACGGTGGAGCACCAGCCCGCACCGCCGGCCCTAACCATGCCAGCTGTCCAGAGCAGTTCGCCGCCGACAGCACCCGCTCAGTCCGCAGCGAGCGCTAGAGAGCGAGTTGAGAAGCAAGCCTCAGGAGAGCCTCACAGTTGCACGACACAGGTCGCGCTGCTGTCCTTCTTCGACGGCATAGGTAGTGCACACCAGTCGCTTCTTGACCTTCGCATAGAGCCGCTGGTTTCCTGGTCGTGGGAGGTCGACCCCGACTGCAACAAGGTCGTCCGACAGAGGCACCCCCGGGTGGTGCTGCAAGGTGACGCTCTGTCCGCAGACCCTCGCAAAGCGGTCCAGGCTCTCAAGGACCAGTGCCCGCCAGAGACGTTCGTGGTGGTCGCTTGCGCACCTCCGTGCCCAGACTTTTCGCAGATCAAGGGCGACAAGGCCCTTGGTACAAAGGGCGAGGAAGGTCAGAAGTTCGCTCAGTGGGTGACCAACTGGTACAACCCTTTCCGGAAAATGTGCAGGTTTAAGTTTGCACTCTTGCTGGAGAACGTCACCATGGCCAAAGACACTCAGGTCGCCCTGGACGACTTGGTCGGAGTGAGGTCTTTTGTGTGCGACGCAGCTTCGTTCGGCCTGGTCAGCCGGCCGCGCTTGTGGTGGTGCTCGAGTTTGTCACCGCCCGAAGCCGAGGCTACTGCTCCGCCCGAGGTGGCATCGGGAATGGCCAGGTGGAGAAGATGGAATAGACAGTGGGAGTTGGTTCCTGCAAGCTCTCGTTTTCCCCGCCAGGTCGCTGCAGAGTGCAAGTTCGCCAAGTTCAACGAGAAGGTAGAGAGCGGTTCGGTGCGCTTCCCTTGCTTGACTACACCCGCGCCAACCCCAGAAGGACGCCCGCCGCCTCCGAAAAGGAAGCGGGACGAATCCCCGCAGACTCTTTCGAGGTGGAGAGCCGACAACCAGCAGTACGCCCCGTGGCAGTACAGGGACTACGCCTTAGTCGAGGAGAAAGGGAAGGTCGTGCCACCGTCTGCTGCAGTCCGGGAGTTCCTCCACGACTACCCGCCGGGATGCACAAAGGCAGTCCCGGAGAGAGCCAGGTGTACGCAACTGGGGAACTCTTGGCACTTGCCGACAAGCCGTTTCATCCTGTTCGTTGTCTTGCTCACAGCTCAGGTTGTAAAGGTCAAAACTCAGGAGCCACACGTCTGGTACGAAGAGAAGCCGTTCCCTGTGTTCGAGCTCAAGTTCCACCCCGACGGTTCGAGGCCACTTCTGAGGGCGTGTTCGTGGTGGAGACGTTTTGGTCGCCAGACGAGCCTCAGGCCTTCCAACTGCAAGGCCCTCTTCACGACGAGAAGGAGCACGTGAGATGGTCTACGTCCCTGTCATGGGAACAGGCTTTCCCGATCAACCTGAACCCATGCCTCGAGTTCGCAATCGAGCAGCAGGAGAGAATGGGGGGAAAAGTCGTTCAGTGGCGCGAGACAGTGGTCGACGACGTCCAGTCCCTTGTCGAGGAGCTTCGAGAAGACCAGGACGAGTGGCTGTCTCAGGCCCCCGAACACGTTCAGCAAGTTTACAAACAAGGTACGCCGAAGTTCGTGGTTCAGTTGCTCGCGTTCGCTCACCTGCTCCAGCTGTTAGATTTTCCAGAGTGGGGAAACCTGGTCGCAGACTTGTTTTGGGGTTTTAGGCTCTTAGGACCGCTGCCGCCGGGAAGCTCGTGGCACCTGCGACAGGACAACAAGTACTCGAGCCCATGGTCGCCTGCGCAGTTTCAGTCTTTCAACATGGCGCATGTTGTGAGGTTGCTGGCGTCCAAAAAGGAGGACGAGCATTCGGCTACCATGAAGGCCGAGCTCCTCGAGGAAGCACAGAAGTCTAGGTTCGCGGGCCCCTTCTCGGCGCAGTGGCTAGAGTCCCAGGCCAAGTCACACCGTGTGTTCGCAGCAAAGGCTTTCCCAGTGGTCCAAGGTCCCAAAGTTCGACGAGCCGACGACTGGCTCCGAAGTGGCCATAACGCGACAGTATGGGCAGGCGACACTCCGCCGTACCAAGGAACCCCGACGATCATTTCGGGCATTCGACGGGTGGCCAGAAGCAGTTCCCCAGAACTTTCAGCCGTCGACCACGAGGGCGCCTACCACAACTTCCCAGTTCGCTCTCCGCTGGAGTGCGCCACAGTTTTGCCAGAAGAGGGCGACGAGAGAATCTGGTTACACCGAGTCCTTCCGTTCGGATCCTCGGGGTCGGTGTGGAGCTACATCAGGTTCGCTGATGCAGTGTGCTTTCTGTCAATCTCGCTCCTCATGTTGGCCGCAGCTCACTTTGTCGACGACTTTTACAAGTTCGAGTCGGCGAAGACATCAAAGCCTGCGTTCGCCTCCTTTCAGAAGCTGCACAGAATTATTGGCGCCAAGATGAAGGAAGCCAAAGCCAAGCCCCCCGATCGCAAACAGACGCTTCTAGGGGTGGAGTGGACCATCTCAGATGACGAGCTTCTGGCGTCACCGGGCCCGAGCAGGATCGAGAAGCTGGTCGCCCGGATCAAGGAAGTCCTGGCCGCCGACGCCCTCTCACCACAGGAGGCCGCAAAGCTGGCGGGAAAGTTGAACTTTACGTGCTCTTGGGTTTTCGGCCAAGCAGGGAAAGCACTTTTGAAGCCTTTGTTCGCTCGCCAGCAGTCGGGCATTCACAAGCCTACGAGTTTGAGCTCGTCACTTCGGTCTGCATTGAAAGAACTGCAGAAGTTGCTCCCAGAACTGAAGCCTGTTCGCATTCCGTTGAGACCCCAAGATGTGCAAGTGTGTGTCTTGTATGCGGACGCATACATAAACATAGCAGGTTCGCGAAGGGCAGCGAACCGGTGGCTCAAACAGGGCATCCCTCATGATGTTCTGCAAGAGAGTTCGAACGGATGGGGAGCCATCTTTCTTCCGCCATCAGGTCGCAGATTGGCTTTCCGGTCAGAAGTGCCTAATGAGGTTTTGAGAAAAACAGCGACTTCTAAGGCGTTCATCTTCTGGCTGGAGATGATGGCCCAGGTTCTAGCGGTGCTCACGATCGCAGAGGGCATCCAAGGACACGTGCTTTGTTTCGTTGACAACTCAGCAGCAGAGCACGCGCTGCAGAAGGGCTTTTCGCGAGACATAGCTTTCACCAAGGTGCTAGGTTGCTTCGCTCGCCACATGGCAGCAAAAGGTTTAGTACTGTCGTTCCACAGAGTCACTTCGGCTGCCAACGTGTCTGACGGAGTCTCTCGAGACGACTGGTCTGCGGCAGCAGAGCTCGAGTGCAAGTTCGCGAAGTTTGACTTCTCCAAGGCGTACAAGTGGTTCCGAAAACTCCCCAACTTAGAGGAATCGGCTCTCTTTCCCAAGTTCGTCAAGTTCGCCGAGCACTTGGGCGCGCAGGGAGTGGGGGAACAGCGCGCGTGAGTGGAGTGAGTCGCGCTGTTCGTACAGAACACAGGCCGCGAGCAGGAGGCCCTGAGGGCATTCCTGGTCGCAGACCGAAAGACCGCCCCAAGACTCTCGGGATAGGGACCAAAAGTCCGCATCGAGGTCTAAGCGAATGCCTTCGCTTTTACAGTTACGGAGGGGTGCTTGTCGTGTTTTGCACGTGTGCAAAGAGTGACAAGCAGTACGTAGTGCACAGTTTCGTTCGTACTGCAGTCCGCTTCAGCTCGCACTTTCGCTTTTTACAGTTGCAGCATCAGAGGCCCGAGCGTGTGGTCAGCATTTTCAGCTTTTCCCACCACACCCGCCCGTGAGTCGCGCTGTTCGTACAGAACACAGGCCGCGAGCAGGAGGCCCTGAGGGCCTTCCTGGTCGCAGACCGAAAGACCGCCCCAAGACTCTCGGGATAGGGACCAAAAGTCCGCATCGAGGTCTAAGCGAATGCCTTCGCTTTTACAGTTACGGAGGGGTGCTTGTCGTGTTTTGCACGTGTGCAAAGAGTGACAAGCAGTACGTAGTGCACAGTTTCGTTCGTACTGCAGTCCGCTTCAGCTCGCACTTTCGCTTTTTACAGTTGCAGCATCAGAGGCCCGAGCGTGTGGTCCAGCATTTTCAGCTTTTCCCACCACACCCCCCGTGAGTCGCGCTGTTTCGTACAGAACACAGGCCGCGAGCAGGAGGCCCTGAGGGCATTTCCTGGTCGCAGACCGAAAGACCGCCCCAAGACTCTCGGGATAGGGACCAAAAGTCCGCATCGAGGTCTAAGCGAATGCCTTCGCTTTTACAGTTACGGAGGGGTGCTTGTCGTGTTTTGCACGTGTGCAAAGAGTGACAAGCAGTACGTAGTGCACAGTTTCGTTCGTACTGCAGTCCGCTTCAGCTCGCACTTTCGCTTTTTACAGTTGCAGCATCAGAGGCCCGAGCGTGTGGTCAGCATTTTCAGCTTTTCCCACCACACCCGCCCGTGAGTCGCGCTGTTCGTACAGAACACAGGCCGCGAGCAGGAGGCCCTGAGGGCATTCCTGGTCGCAGACCGAAAGACCGCCCCAAGACTCTCGGGATAGGGACCAAAAGTCCGCATCGAGGTCTAAGCGAATGCCTTCGCTTTTACAGTTACGGAGGGGTGCTTGTCGTGTTTTGCACGTGTGCAAAGAGTGACAAGCAGTACGTAGTGCACAGTTTCGTTCGTACTGCAGTCCGCTTCAGCTCGCACTTTCGCTTTTTACAGTTGCAGCATCAGAGGCCCGAGCGTGTGGTCAGCATTTTCAGCTTTTCCCACCACACCCGCCCGTGAGTCGCGCTGTTCGTACAGAACACAGGCCGCGAGCAGGAGGCCCTGAGGGCATTCCTGGTCGCAGACCGAAAGACCGCCCCAAGACTCTCGGGATAGGGACCAAAAGTCCGCATCGAGGTCTAAGCGAATGCCTTCGCTTTTACAGTTACGGAGGGGTGCTTGTCGTGTTTTGCACGTGCAAAGAGTGACAAGCAGTACGTAGTGCACAGTTTCGTTCGTACTGCAGTCCGCTTCAGCTCGCACTTTCGCTTTTTACATCTTTTTACAGTTGCAGCATCAGAGGCCCGAGCGTGTGGTCAGCATTTTCAGCTTTTCCCACCACACCCGCCCGTGAGTCGCGCTGTTCGTACAGAACACAGGCCGCGAGCAGGAGGCCCTGAGGGCATTCCTGGTCGCAGACCGAAAGACCGCCCCAAGACTCTCGGGATAGGGACCAAAAGTCCGCATCGAGGTCTAAGCGAATGCCTTCGCTTTTACAGTTACGGAGGGGTGCTTGTCGTGTTTTGCACGTGTGCAAAGAGTGACAAGCAGTACGTAGTGCACAGTTTCGTTCGTACTGCAGTCCGCTTCAGCTCGCACTTTCGCTTTTTACAGTTGCAGCATCAGAGGCCCGAGCGTGTGGTCAGCATTTTCAGCTTTTCCCACCACACCCGCCCGTGAGTCGCGCTGTTCGTACAGAACACAGGCCGCGAGCAGGAGGCCCTGAGGGCATTCCTGGTCGCAGACCGAAAGACCGCCCCAAGACTCTCGGGATAGGGACCAAAAGTCCGCATCGAGGTCTAAGCGAATGCCTTCGCTTTTACAGTTACGGAGGGGTGCTTGTCGTGTTTTGCACGTGTGCAAAGAGTGACAAGCAGTACGTAGTGCACAGTTTCGTTCGTACTGCAGTCCGCTTCAGCTCGCACTTTCGCTTTTTACAGTTGCAGCATCAGAGGCCCGAGCGTGTGGTCAGCATTTTCAGCTTTTCCCACCACACCCGCCCGTGAGTCGCGCTGTTCGTACAGAACACAGGCCGCGAGCAGGAGGCCCTGAGGGCATTCCTGGTCGCAGACCGAAAGACCGCCCCAAGACTCTCGGGATAGGGACCAAAAGTCCGCATCGAGGTCTAAGCGAATGCCTTCGCTTTTACAGTTACGGAGGGGTGCTTGTCGTGTTTTGCACGTGTGCAAAGAGTGACAAGCAGTACGTAGTGCACAGTTTCGTTCGTACTGCAGTCCGCTTCAGCTCGCACTTTCGCTTTTTACAGTTGCAGCATCAGAGGCCCGAGCGTGTGGTCAGCATTTTCAGCTTTTCCCACCACACCCGCCCGTGAGTCGCGCTGTTCGTACAGAACACAGGCCGCGAGCAGGAGGCCCTGAGGGCATTCCTGGTCGCAGACCGAAAGACCGCCCCAAGACTCTCGGGATAGGGACCAAAAGTCCGCATCGAGGTCTAAGCGAATGCCTTCGCTTTTACAGTTACGGAGGGGTGCTTGTCGTGTTTTGCACGTGTGCAAAGAGTGACAAGCAGTACGTAGTGCACAGTTTCGTTCGTACTGCAGTCCGCTTCAGCTCGCACTTTCGCTTTTTACAGTTGCAGCATCAGAGGCCCGAGCGTGTGGTCAGCATTTTCAGCTTTTCCCACCACACCCGCCCGTGAGTCGCGCTGTTCGTACAGAACACAGGCCGCGAGCAGGAGGCCCTGAGGGCATTCCTGGTCGCAGACCGAAAGACCGCCCCAAGACTCTCGGGATAGGGACCAAAAGTCCGCATCGAGGTCTAAGCGAATGCCTTCGCTTTTACAGTTACGGAGGGGTGCTTGTCGTGTTTTGCACGTGTGCAAAGAGTGACAAGCAGTACGTAGTGCACAGTTTCGTTCGTACTGCAGTCCGCTTCAGCTCGCACTTTCGCTTTTTACAGTTGCAGCATCAGAGGCCCGAGCGTGTGGTCAGCATTTTCAGCTTTTCCCACCACACCCGCCCGTGAGTCGCGCTGTTCGTACAGAACACAGGCCGCGAGCAGGAGGCCCTGAGGGCATTCCTGGTCGCAGACCGAAAGACCGCCCCAAGACTCTCGGGATAGGGACCAAAAGTCCGCATCGAGGTCTAAGCGAATGCCTTCGCTTTTACAGTTACGGAGGGGTGCTTGTCGTGTTTTGCACGTGTGCAAAGAGTGACAAGCAGTACGTAGTGCACAGTTTCGTTCGTACTGCAGTCCGCTTCAGCTCGCACTTTCGCTTTTTACATCTTTTTACAGTTGCAGCATCAGAGGCCCGAGCGTGTGGTCAGCATTTTCAGCTTTTCCCACCACACCCGCCCGTGAGTCGCGCTGTTCGTACAGAACACAGGCCGCGAGCAGGAGGCCCTGAGGGCATTCCTGGTCGCAGACCGAAAGACCGCCCCAAGACTCTCGGGATAGGGACCAAAAGTCCGCATCGAGGTCTAAGCGAATGCCTTCGCTTTTACAGTTACGGAGGGGTGCTTGTCGCGGTGCGGTCTGGTGCGGGGTGAGGCTCTGGGAGCAGTACACCTTTTCCACCCGTCAGATTGTGGAAGAGGCCTTTCTGAGAAGATGCAGGTTGTTCCCAAGTAGCTGCGCGTAGTTGCCGCAACCCACGCACGGCGAATCTTCTGCTGTCTCTGCGAGTAGGTGCCATCGATGATGTTCGAGCGGAACTTCATCGTGGGAGACTGAACAAGGGATCTTTCAGCGCTAGGACCCTTTTCTGGAGTGGTTGTCGATCTTTACAGCGCATGTTTCTGGATAGTTCTGAAACCGCCGGCTGCCAATCGTAGGGTGCTGAGGACCTTAGGCATGGTCGACAGATGCAGATGTCAAGGTCTCCGCAGTTCTCCAAATTTTTTCATTTCCCACGACGTCGGCGTCCCAGGACTCCAGCCCATCCGCACCAGGCGTTTAGCAAGTTGTGAGAATCTGCTACATACATACACGCCTCGGCCCGGGGATCGTCATAATCAGCCCACTTTCGGCTCATTGCAGAAGCCGACAAGCCGAATCTGTCGGCAACTGACGTTGCGGTTGAAGGGTTTAAGCATCCAGAGCTTCCATTTCCCTAAGCCACTGTGAGCCCAGCCACCTCGGTTTAGGGCTTTGGGGTTTCGGGGGGGGGGGGGGGTAGCAAAATTCCTGGTCCTGTCACTGGCACGTAGATTAGGTTCTGAACATATGAAAGCCTTCGGCTACCTCAAACCCGCAAGCCCGATGGCGTAAGCGGCAAGCTGAAAGTCCGGGAATCCTAAACCCTCATAAGCCTTGAACCTTGCAACCTGAAATTCCACGGCGAAGCCGCTCCTTGGGGGCACGGGGTGAGGGTGGTTGGGGGGGGGGTGGGTGGAAGGCTGCCGGCTAGGCGGAAGAGTAGGTGGTACCCTAGCCGGACCTAGCCCATCTTGGGCCGAACGAGCCCCGAGGTTGACGGGATGGAGCAACTACGAAGCCTGCGCCATCCAAGAGATGGAAGCAGGGCCCACAGGTCCGAGCCTCGTTTGATTTCTTCTCGCCAGACTTTCGAAAGGCATGGCCCTGAACTTTCGAAAGCATAAACTTGGACGCCCATAACATGTGGCCAGGAACGGTGCTGGACTCGCTCAGCGACGACCGCCCGGAGCTGTCCGCGAACTCACCCGAAGAGGCCCTTGAAGCGCTTAGGAACGGAGACGTGCAGACGTTGAGAGTTTGCTGAGTTTGCTCCTTCGCTGGTTTTTCCTCAAAAAGTGCCGAAGTGCTTTCGGCGAGCTCCGGAAGCTGATACGCAGCAACTGGGCAGGGGTATCTTGCCATGTGGCGCAGTTGTCGTGCTTACACCCTGCCGAAGGTGGTGCTGGAATGCGGCAAGATGATCGACACTTACGGTCTAAGTCTGCTGGTGCGAGCACCAGGCCAGATGGCTGCAGCTTATGAAAGCACACTACCGCACACTTGTTCGTGCAACGCGTGAACTGCGCAGGCGGTGGTGAGATGGTGGCGGTTGGCGTCTCAATATGCTAACAATGAAACCAGGGCTGCACGGACATCTCTATCTTTCCTAATTTTTGCGGGAGCGGGCCAAGGCATCTGTGTTGCGGGTGAAGCGGCTACCAGAGGTGCAGTCGCTTGGGGTGGCCGTCTCTAAGTCGTTCTTCTGTCCTCGCCATCGTGACAGTCGAGAGGGACGATGGCAAGCGATGAGCTTCGATACCCAAAATGGGTAGCGGATGTAGTCGTGCGCGGTAGCTTAGGTAGTTTGGAGAGATGTCGTCAGCATTGGCGTGTCCGGTTGGGCCCGCAGTGGAGCCTGAGTGCAGGGCTGTCACCTCGACGAGGACCTGGAGGCCTGGAACATCGTGACGGGAGCACTTGTCGGCGATGAATAGCGGGAACGACAAGGTAGTAGGGGTCAACAGCAGGTCAATATGTTGCATACTGTTGCATTATGTTGCAGCCGTACGAAGGTGCCTCCTGCCTCTTGCTGGTGCATGATTTTTTTGCTTGCTTGATATGGATCCCCGTCTGCCAGCCCTCGGTGACCTGCACCGTGGACATGCGCCTCGTCGGGATGTTAGTGCATCTCCGAGGGTTCGGTTGATGGAGCTTGGCATAGCTTGGCTCTGCATGGACCAATCTGCTCGTCCGTCTTACCGTGCATCTCGGCTAGCCTTTTTGTTTTCGATGTTCTCGCACGTCCCCGCAAGGGAGGTGGTGATGGATGCCGGAAGCCTGGAGGAGTGCTGCAGGGTTTCGGAGCGGAGGTCTATTTTTTTAGGTTTTTTTGTTTTTTGTTTTTTTTTGTTTTTTTTTTTTTTTTTTGTTTTTTTTGTTTTTTTTTTTTTTTTGTTCTTGCTAAACCCCAAACCCCAAACCCCAACCCCAAACCCCAACCCCAAACCCCAAACCCCCAAACCCCAAACCCAAACCCAAACCCTAAACCCTAAACCCGAAACCCCAAACCCAACCCCCAAACTCCCAAACTCCCAAACTCCCAAACCCCAAACCCCAAACCCCAAACCCCAAACCCCAAAACCCCAAACCCTAAACCCTAAACCCTAAACCCTAAACCCTAAACCCTAAACCCTAAACCCTAAACCCTAAACCCTCAACCCTCAACCCTCAACCCTAAACCCTAAACCCTAAACCCTAAACCCTAAAACCTAAAACCTAAACCCTAAACCCTAAAACCTAAACCCTAAACCCTAAAGCAAAAAAAAAAACAAAAACAATTCCCAAAAAAAAAACAAAAAACTCCTAATTTAGTTCTCCGGCCTTGCGGAGCTTCTTGTTCGGCAACCTTGGAATCAGCACTTGGACCAAACATGCCAGAACATCCCGGATGCCTACATAGAGGGCCTGGATCCTTCCGCAGCATGTGAAGGCAGTCGCTTACATTGAGAGCATTGCCACCTCCCGCGCCTGGCCACCGGCCCAGGAGTGAGTAGATTTGTTTCGTGGCTTGAGATGCTCCACCATTTTTTGTTTTCACACGGCTCAGCCGTCTCTTCTTGCATCCCAGATCTGCCCATGCTGAGTCCATTCTGCTTGGTGTAGCCATGTGTAGCTGCCCAAGGCGTGGAGCTGGCCTGGCCTCTCGACTGATGAGTTTCATGGAGGATAAGGCCCGGGCGATCAGTTGCGTGCGGCAGTTTGCGGATGTTTGTGGAGTCGGACTGCAACCTACCCCACACTGAAACCCTACTTCCAAATTTCAAGGCTATGTGAGACATCTGGGCACTGCTTGCTGAGAGGCACGCGCGTGGGGCCTGCGGCTCATCGCCTTGCATGTCCACCGGGACAACTGGCCGGGGGCCGCAGGACTTGACGGGCCGCAGGTTGATAGGGCATGTGCGGCAAGAGTGCATTGCTGTTGAGCAGAGGTCAGCGCTGCGCTTCTATCAAAAGAAGGGCTTCGAGGTGCGGGAGCACACCAAAACTAAAGGCTTATCAAAGGTGGCCTTTGCCGTGACTCCGCTGTTTGCCTTGCCAGACGACGTCGGACTGGCTTGGCTGGGGCGACAAGTTCTTCCTTCTGCTGAAGCCTCTTTATGCAGCGGAGGCTGTCGCTGCGAAGTGATGAGTGACACTTTGACATTCAATGCCTTAATGCTCCTGTGAGCTAGTGGTCCCGTGACGTTCGGAGCAGGGTAAACCAGCTCTGCCTCTGTCGAAGAAGAAGTGCATGCTGCCAGAAAGCTGCTTGTCGTGGCTTTCTGGGCAGATTTCGCTTGCAAAATCATTTAACGCTCGAAGCACATTGGTTTTAGCTGGTTCAGTGCCTGAGCGCACGGGTTTCCACCAGCGTTTCCGCCAACCTGGCTGCAGATCAAAAGTGCAGGGTTCCGGTTCAAGCCTAGGCGACACTTTTCGGCGTACCAGGGGTTGAAGGATAGCAGAGGTTCAGTGTGCATATTCAGACCTCTTTGCAAGGCATGGATGCGCGCACATGTCCCAGGTGATTCAATCGCAATGTCGCAATGTCACTGTATTGAGATTGGCATCTTTCGGCTCAAGAAATGAGCTGCTCGCATTCAGCAAGCATGACGTGATCAGCAGTCGTAGGGATCCAGAAGTAGCCTAATGGCTGCTCAAATCGCAAGTCGCTCTCACGATGTTTGACAACGAGTCAAAGCGACACTATCTCAACCTAGATCAGACGCGTGCGTTCGCGTGTGTCAGTGGCGTTTTGCTGGAAGATGCAACTCGGGCTCTAAAGCCGCCGCAGGCACGACCCCAGCACCCATCAACAGCGGTCTCCGACATGTGCTGGACATGCGGTGGACCGTAGCGTAGTTTGGGAGGATTGCTGATGTGCGAAATCGACATCTTGCCGGGCTTGCCGGAGAGCTGCCGCTGCAGTGAGGTGGAGGCGGCAAAGGGGAAGCAACCTGCTTCGTCTCCATACGTCTCCATGAGTTCAATGCGAGCTGCGTGGCATGCTTCTTGCCCTGTCGTACCGTCATTTTGAGAGAGTCCAGGAGCTCTTCGGCAGATTTGGCAAGGCGGGGGGGGACGCTCTCGAGGAAGATCAGGATGACATGCGATGACATTGCGGGATTTCCCTTTTTTGCGATAGGGGGGCGGGGGCGGCGGTCCGCTATGGGTTCCTTCAATTTGTTTTGGAGGTGGACTATCTGTTCATCCCACCCCCGGCGCTTCGTCGGTCAGAGCCAAGCTTCATCAAGCCCGGAGCTCCAGAATTTGTGGAATATCAGGTTGGAGATGGTTCGGCTCTGGCCGCGTTTGCATGCTCCATACAATGTGAATGGAACAAGTAAGACAGGCCAGACAGGCCAACAGAAAATAACAGAAACCAAGAACAGCACGTCTTGCTGATCCTTTTACGAGCACGAGGTTTTGGAACCCGGACGGGGCCACTGCGGCCTTCAAAGCGTCGAAAGAGAACCAGGTCGGAAGTGCCAACTCTTTGCCGATGCTCTCATATCAATGTGGGCTTTCATTGCAAGCGCTGCAAGCGTGTTGCCAGTGCGTCCCTTCGGGTTGCTTGGGCTCAAAGCTTCTTGTTCCGAACAGTAGCTTATCGACCAGTGACCCTCAGCACTTCGAGGCGCTCGAAAAGTCTAAGAGTCCAGCCAGAGACTTGCATCTACGTGCTCTTCAAGAACTGGCTTGTCCGACGACATCTGACTAAATCTCAGACTTGTGCTCAGGATGCAGAATGACCCCAACGCTGCACAGGGCCTGGAGTTGTCAAAGCAGGCACTTCGATGCCACTGCAAACCGTGCGAGAACTCTCACGCCCTCGCCAGGAAGGTGGGAAGGAAAACACACCACCAAGCAAGCGACGCAAAAGTGCAACCTGGTCACACTTGATGCATCTTTGCATGCTTCCGGCTTGATCACGGGACCGCACAGCGGCAAACGTAGGACGTATGAAGCAGGATGCTTGAGCCTTAAAGCCGAGGCAGACAAAGTGAAGGGAGACTGGTTTGCACGCAGCGGCTTTCCAACTTACGATGATTGTTTTTGGAATCATGGCCAAGCCTCCTCAACCTCCTTCGCATCACACAATGGCGCATTTCTTGTGAATTTCAAGGTGAGAAGGGCATTGAAATCGTGAGCCCGCGGGACTTGCAGCCGCCGCCTCCAGAGGATCGCTTGCTCCTCTAAAGCCTCGATGCCTCGGCTGTGTGCCCCAGAAGTGCTCAGAAGCTCTCAGAAAGCAAACTGGGTGAGGACATGGCCCTGGGCACCGAGATTCCTTGGTTCTCGCTGAACGACTGGCTTGGCACAACATGGGGGATGGGTTCAAGCTTGCAACTTCGGAGCTGCTCATAAGGTGAACCTTAAGTGAACAGGGAGTGCTACCCTCTTCGAGGCTGGTAATATGCCCCAACTCGAAGCGTAGTCGGCAGTGAGGCAACAGAGGTTGGGCGGTTGCACTCAGGCACATGTTTGGCCGTAGCAGGGTACCCGGACAGGACATCGATGTTGGCAAGCGCCTTGGAGCCGGGAAGTTCGGCTCCGTCTACGTCGCTCGCTGTCGTCGCACAGGCCATCGGCAGCACACGAAGCCCCCGATTGCTGTGCAACCGGAATGTTCTCAATGCTGTCAGCATGTTGCTTCAGGCTTCATCTTTGCGCTGAAAGTGCTTGACAAGCGCCAGCTTATCAAGCATCGTGTCGAGCATCAGCTGAGGCATGTGGGTTGTGTACTGCTGCTTCAGCAGGTGACAGCTCCAACTTTCAGTAGTTTGAGAGGCGAGAAATCGAGATCCAGTCTCATTGCCGCCATGTCAATATCCTGAGACTCTACACGTTTTTTCATGACGAGTGCCTTGGCTGCAACCTATCCCGAGCAGAGTGTCGATATGCGGGCCACAGCTGACCAGACTAGGATGCGAACACGCCGCCTGTCTGTGCCAGGAAGCGCGTCTATCTTTGTTTGGAGATGGCCCCCGGTGGGGAGCTGTATGGACTCCTGCAGAAGCGCTGCACCTTCTCCGAGGCTCGGGTTGCCACTGAAGTCTCCCCCTGCAGCATCCTCTGCAGCGCAGGCCCGCTCGGCTTGGTACTTCAAGCAAATGGTCGAGGCGCTGGACCTCTCTCTCTCTCTCTCTTTATTTGTCTTTCCCGCTCTCCCTCCCTCTCTCTCCCGCTCTCTCCCTGTGCACTGTTGACGCATCTGTGAAGTCCACTTGGATGCCAATCTGGACCAGGCCATCCAGTACTGCCACTCGAAGCACATTATCCATAGAGACATCAAGCCTGAGAACATTCTCATCGGCTTGAGGGACACGCTGAAGATCGCAGACTTCGGCTGGGCTGTGCACGCGCCCACATCGAGACGCGAGACCTTCTGCGGCACTCTGGATTATCTTCCTCCCGAAATGGTACTGCAAAAGAAGTACCATGGTGTCTTTGCCTGCACACGGTTCACAATACACAAAGAGATGCTGATCTTGAATCTCTCCACTTGCCCATTCCTCCCTTTCAGGCAATGTTGATGTATGGGGCCTGGGTGTGCTCCTGTATGAGTTCATGGTGGGTAGGCCACCCTTCGAGGAGCGGTCCCCTAACGGACCCTAACACCCATAAACCAAACTAAGCATTCTGAAATCCCTAATCCCTAAACCCTCAACCCTAAGCCCTGGCCGACTCTTGTGCCTGGAGGATACCACCGAGAAGGGCACCTATCGGAAGATCAAGGGCGGAGCCATTCAGTTTCCTCCGACTATGACCAAGGCTTGATGGGGAAAACATGGGATTGCCTGTCATGTCTTTGGGATGCCATTGAACAACCTTTCCCCAAATCAGCTTCTGGTAGGCCTGTTGCAGCTTCAATAGGTCTTTGCATTTTGTGTGGAAGACAGTATTGTAAACGTTGTAAATGCTTGCGGACGCCGCCTCAGCAGCCAGGCCCCATGCGGGCTGTAGCGTGCGCATCGCAGACGAAGGAAATCCAAGTCAGATGTCTCTTATGCACGCCGTACTTCAGGAGGTAGAAGGGCTTGGCGGGCTTTGAAAGGGGTCCCAGGGGCGGGTCCACTCTCTGGGAGGGCACAGCCTGGAATCCCCGCCTCCGAGAGGGCCTACCGGAAAGGGGGGGAGGGGGGCCGCAATCTGGGGCTGCTTGTTCTAGATGAAGCGGTTTCTATGGAAGAAGATCAAGAGAAGTTCAGTGTACTATGTTTGTCTCACAGTAGCTTGTGTACATGACAGGCTTTAAGAAGCTGTCTTTGCGAACATTTTCATGACCACTCTTTGGTTTAGGGCCTTTGAGGCTCGAGGTCATGGCCGCTGTTCTCTCTTTTTCAGTGGTTTTCGCATCGTACCGCGCAGGAAGCCAAGGATCTCATTTCCAAGTTGCTGACGAAGCCGCTTATTGGCGTTTGGCACTGTCAGGGCAACTTGCAGGGTTCAACATAGAGGTGTCCTTGAGCCTTGCGACATGTAGGAATCCCAGCGACAGACTTTCACTGGATGCGGTGCTGCGTCACCCCTGGGTGTCCATCAACACGAGTGGCATCTTGGTTGCAGTGACCATGTGGAACGCAGGATTGTACAAGATCAACTTTATCGCCGCAGACCTTGGACGTGTCGTGCCAACCGAGGGGAGAATGCAAAAAGGCTCCAGGAGTACTATGGAGGCATTGTCTAGAAGACGTTGAAGAGAAGGCTGAAGCCGCCGGAAGGCCTTAGCAATGCTGAAGGCAACAGCTCCCATTCCTTGAATGATCTTAGTGTCTTAGTGTAGTCGCGAAGTGCTGCCATGCATGGTGATGTTCAGATAATTCGCCCACAGTCGGCGGACGCAGCTAATTCGGGCGCTTGCAATGTGACCAGGCCTCTGGCCTTTGCCCAGCCCTGGAAGATGCGTGCCTCATGCCCAAGCTCCCTAAGCCCTGAAGCCACACGCAAGATTCTATTGCATGGTAGACACACTTCAGGCCAAGCTGCAACACCCTCTCTTCCTCTGTAGCAGTAGCTGATGGTGTCTCTCACGTTCGAGAGTTTGATTGCACCCTGTGTCTTCAGGTCATTCTGCATGGGCATCGGCTCCAGTTGGAGCCTGGCCCTCGAAGCATTCGAGCTCGGGAGATTTGGTAATCACATCATGAAGGTGGCGGTGGCAGTCTTCAGGTTTTTCAATGGTTTTCATTGCCAAAGGTATTTCCCGAACGGGTAGTGCAGTTGGTACCATCCCCCAAGGCTATCATCCAAGGGCCTAACCGTGGATTGTGCGGTATGGTGTGACACCTTGAGGTATCACAAGGCACCCTTGTTTGCGTCAGTGTGGAGCCCAGGAATTTCCCAGCATACTTTTGCTTGCTACATGTCAGAAGCATATTTCGAGCGCAACGGCGAAGGGCTGTTTTGAAGGGACATCGCCCGTCTTGAAGCGGCCTCAGCAGGCTCAACTCACAAGAGATCGTGAAAGCTTCCCATTGTGAGAGTGGATGATGCGAGTGGCCATGCTCATCAAAGTTACTACAGTCCACTTCAGTAGCTCTGGCAGTGTTTTCCGCGAGCTCCATAGACAACGGACAAGCATTCTCGGGCACCTGCGCCCTGAGCTCGTCTGACTCAAAATGAGGACAACAAATTTTTCGAATTTTTTGTGAACATGTCGAGCCTGCCTTGATGGACAGCTTACGCGCCGGGGCGTAGCCACCAGCCGGCGCAGGCCCCCGAGGTTGGAATGCTGTGGTCAGCACAGGGCTCGTCAGCATCTTGCCGGGCGGCCACATGATCAAAGGGGAAGATTTGGAATGGTGCTGTACCTGGGATCAGGCATGCCGAGCATGGCCGTGCCCGCGGGTAGCCAGGCCCAGGCAGACTTCCCGGAACAGCATGGTGTACTTCCACTGAAGTAGAGATGTTATGGGTACGGGGAGGCGATTTGTCTTGCATCATGACCGAGGGCTGTCCACCTTCAGGCACCACCTTGCTTGTGGCAGGTGTATCCAATCTCTCGCCATGACTCGCGGTCCATGCGTTGTCCTGAGTGCTGGACATGCCAACGCAAAGTTCCTCACCCTTAGCAGCACTGCAATTTCCGGATCAATGGCACGAGTCAACCCTGCCCGCCCGAAGTACATGCCCAAACCACATATTGGAGGCCCGATGTACATCCACAGCGCAGGCAGACAGTAGAACACACGTGATTGTACTTTCGTCTGAGGTGGCCGCGTCCTGAGGCTCGCTCTGCCAGCCCCTGTGGTGGGCCTTGCACGCTTAGGGTTTAGGGTTTAGGGTTTAGGGTTTAGGGTTTAGGGTTTAGGGTTTAGGGTTTAGGGTGAGGGTGAAGAGCACGATGCCAAAAGAGCTGTCAGCCGCGCCAGCTGATGGTTGAACATGTTGGTCTGTGTTGTGGTGGAGGCTGTTGCGTTAGAAACTGGACATGGCGTGGAATGCAGGCCGGGCAATTTGGATGCCAGGAGCTGAGTATCTTGCTTGTATGTCTGTGTGTTAGTTGTGCTATCACCATAGAACGACGAGGGAAGAAAGCCAAACGAAGCGAAGCGAAACTGCTGGTACTTTTTTTGGGCCATCTTTCATCTTGCATCTTTCATGTTTCATCTTTCTCCTTCTCTTTCTCTTCATAGGCGTGCACGTGCGGGAGTGGGGCCGGGTGAGGCACGGTATGAGGCCCGTTCCAACGCCAGTGCGTTGCTCTCAGCCTGGACGTGCATGATGTCGTCTCAACAAAGGGGACCGAGGTCCGTTTCATCTTTCGAGCATGAGGCTCACCTTCGGAACACCTCCTCGCACTCCGAGGACAGTGTTGCCCCAATCTTAAATTACCGTACTTTTGAGGGTGTGGGAAGATCGACCGTGCTATGTCCAAAAGGCCCAAATCCACTCAAGGCACGTGGCGCACATGGGCAAGCCTGACCGGCCGGCCTGGACAAGGCCTGCGTGAGTTTCGATCTCTCCAGCTTAGTAGCCTGAGATGTTGCCCCAAGCAGGCAGATGTGGACCGCGCCCAGGGTGCTCTGCCCTTGGTGCTTTCATCACCACACCGATGCAGTCGCAACAACATGCACAAAGATTGGGTACGAGTAAAGCCAAGGTGTCCTTCAGCCGCACATGTGCAAAGCTTGAGAGCATGAGACTCAGGTGATCTGACAGCCGAAACTCCCCTCAAAGATCAGTCCAGAATAAGTACGAGCAGAAAGCTTCCGAGAGAGATGGCCCGGAACCCCCAAGCCGCGACCGCAACAGCCAGCAAATGACTTGTTCTTGTTGTCGTTTCTCGAGCTGCAGGTTCTCAAGGCCAGGGGGGGATGAGGGAGCGGACGTCGCGAGAAATGTTCTGCGGGCCTTATGGCGCTGACCTGTCAATTTTCGGATGGCCTTGAGGTCTTGAGGTCTGGTTTTTCGAGTCTATTGAGGGGCCGTCTGCCACTGCCTGCACTGTCCGTTAGTGGCGCGAAAGGCTCAACAAGGCTTCGGATTGTAGCTTCTAGCCTGCGTTGCAATGGAGACCTCTGAACACAAAATGCTCCATTCAGAGTTGCTATCCTAAGCATTCCCAAGTTACTCATTACTACTAGGATTCTTAGATGTCGCGCAGGCTCCGGAGACCACTGGGATCATGAGGCCTCGGCGCCACTCCGCGCCCTGAACTCGGGAGCTGAGTGCTGCACGGAGCGTTACATCGGCACTTACCAAGACTTACGATTCGTCTCGAAGACGTTTGTCAAGACCTCCGACGAACCCCTGGCCTTCTCAGGCCCTTGCAGCCTTTGCAGCCTTTGCAAAGTTGCGTGGCTCCGGTATCTGGCTCTGCAGTGTGCTCGGCTTCGAATTCTTCGCGTACTCTTGTAAGGGACATTCCGAACAGAGCTCTCTCACGCAAGGCTCAGCTCAGACCAGGGGGGCCTGTCCTGCAGGCGTTGCGGCTGTTCTCACTCCTTCAGCAGTTATGGCAGCAATTTCCAGGGCACCTGGGTTCGGGCTCCAGCGACAGGAGTCTCGTCAGCACTTTGCGCCGGGTGTTTCGGCCGCAAGGCAGGGGGCACTTCACAAGAAAGCCCCACAGCCACAGTCGCTCAAAGTGGATGCTGACATTGTAAAGTAGCTAGCAGGGCACATCCTGGCTGCAGTTGTCTGCAGTCTATAGAGCTGGGAGGTTTTCAGCCTCCCTCTGATTGCCCAAAATTCTGGAGGCAACCGACGCCTGAGCGAGGAGCATTGACAGCAATGCGGCAGGAGTCATCAGCGGCTCCTGACCTGCTTGAACTTGGTGCTCCAATCGCAGCCTGTATGCTCCACTGTGTTTCAGTACTTCCGCAGGATGCAATGACGTCCTCGCAGTGCATCACGTGCTCAGCTCAGCATTGAATCACACACAGCGACAGTCTGACAGTCATGGGGATCACTGTGCTCCTGGGGCGAGGAAATCTGCTGACTCTTTGAGCTCTGGCTGCCCCTCGGCACGCGCGACTCGCGACTCGCGACAGCCTGCCATGACTTGTATTTAACTAAGGCTTCAGAACTAGCCCTGGCGCATGCAGATGCGTCTGGGCATCACCAGCGACGCCGGTCCGCGCCGTGCTAAGCTTGTCTCCATGTCCTCTGCAGTTTCCCCGGCATGGGTACAGATGCCTCAGGCCTGATGCCATCCGTTCAAGATGGACCCATTGTGATGGTGTCACCCCAGACGAGCCACCGGCAAGTCAGGCGTTCAGAAGTTGCATGAAGTTGCATGAAGATGTTGGGAGCTGTCAGGGCATTCGGATCATATCCGGGCATTCCTGAACCCGACCTTGAGCCCGCAGAGGAGTGACCTGGACACTACCGTCGCTACAGCCACTACCGTCACTACAGCTACTTCACTGGCTCCCAGGCACGGATGTCTTTGACATCTGCTGTCCCTCAAGGGTCACCTGTGATTTCGGGGCCAGTTTGTGCCAGGACGCTGCAGTCTGACGACAAGCCATCCAAGGCTGTCGTACGGTTCGCCGACAGTTTTGTCACCACCTGGTTTCAGAGTCTGCCCCATGATCAAAGACTTGCCCACGACAGACGATGAGATCTTCGTCTTGCCAGACGTCGCACGTCGCAACTCCGAATGCAGATATTCTTGTTGCTGCGAGTGTGCGGCACGGATTGTGTGTGAACATGTAAGATCGCCATGTAGCAAGCAACCTGCATGTTGCAAGAAGGACCAAATACGGAGCGAAATGATGGAGCTTTTGGAGGCTGTGCTTGTTCCTTGCGCTCTTGGGCTTGCTTTGACTGCCGCTTTGAGTGCCACTTTATAAGTGCTGTGGGCCGTCTTTGCAAGCAGGAGAGGGAGCGCTGCCATCAACGGCAGCTGCAGAACCTCCACAGCTTCCAGCAGGCACCGAAAGTGAGTTTGTTTGATCTGGATGATGGGCACAAAGGTGCCACCCTGATCAAGAATCAAGCAATATACACGCCTCTCTCCCCTTCTCCCTCTCGCCAAATAATAGGCTTCAAATAGGTCCAGAAATTTCCAGAACGCAAGGCATGTGGACAAAGCACGCAGCCTCTGGAATGGCAGGAGCGGGAACGGGACCACCAGCGCCAGCTCCAACAAATGCGCAAGACGCACGAGGCACTTGATTCACCTCCCTGACAGGGTTTCAGTTGCTTTCGCAGACTTGGCTTGAGTCCTGCAATGCAAGTCGCACCAGCATCTAAAGCCCATTGCTTTCCCGGAAGCACCTTCAGCTGAGCTTCAGCTGTAGCCCTCCAGGGTTGCCACTGACAACCTCCCCTCGATTACTCCCAGCAGCCCGGAATAGACCTGTATGAGCCTATATGCACAAACTCCCCACCCCTCTCCCCTCTCATCGCACAAGCTGACCTCGTGATACTTTCTGCTGGGAAGATTGTCACGGAATCCATTTGGTGGTCTGGGTAGCATGTTCCAAAGAGGGTGTCAAGTTGCTGAAGCGGGAAGGAGGGAGGGTGGCTTTCTGCCCGCAACATCAGTATATATGTGTGCACCGAAGCGTTGCTGGCCCTCTGCCCATAGATCTCGCAAGCGATTGTAGGCTCAGACATCAAGGAGATGCTGGATCCAGGGTTGTGAGGCCGTAAGGCAATCTTTCCAGTATCAGCTTCCGATGAGGCAGACATGAGGAGACTGGAGGCCAGCGGTGACCGTGTGTTGCCAGCAAAACGCTGCAGTATATTTTGCAGGGGATCATATGAAATATATATATATATATATATAATATACATAAAAATGTACTAGACGGCGATGTGTTGCGAAGCACCATGCTTGCCCTTGGTCATCTAGTTTTTCCTGCATCCTCAACGCAGTACGGTCGACGGTGGTAGCTGCGATGGTAGTAGTGATGGCCTGAAGGTGCATGCTTGTTGCTTGGAATAAGTTGCAGCGGATCTTACATCACTGTTCAAACTATTGGCCATCTAGATCTGACATGCAGAGTCGGCATAGGCCATCTGCTGTCAGCAGCAGTTCCAGCAGCCAGTGCAGAGTTTTGTGCAGGAGAAGCTGTGCAACTTACTGGCCGAAAGACAGGACTGCCACGGCTATTGAGAGCATGGGGGCAAGAAGCCGGAAAGCTTGGCATGGTCTTCGTCTCACAGCTTCGTGCCTGGATTGAGGAGATTGGTTTCTTTCGTGGAGTTGCGTGACTTGGCATCACCAGCTCGTGCGCAACAGTGGCGTCATCCGCAGCTGCAGACTGCGCTAGCGCACAGAATGTGAAGAGAAGGTGTTTGCGCTTGGCCTGATAGCTGAGGAGTGGCAGTGCTGCCACGCCACCTCCTGCCAAGGCGGGCGTGTGCGCAGCCGGCCTGCACGTGGCAGATGGATGTCAGCCAACCTGAAGTCTTCACAGCTTTCCTGCGGTCTTGCCTGACCACCGGGCACCTCTGCCACCGCCTTTCCCCGCAAAAGCTTCTGAAGATGTGGGAGTGTTCTAAACCAAGAGCCTTTTTAAGTGCAGGATCTCTTACAAGTTAAGTTATAAGGTTAAGGAATTTCGTTGAAAAAGAATTGAGTTGGGAGTTGGGGTATCTCTAAGCTGACATCTTAGTTTGGAACAGCCGCATGTGCAGCTCTTGCAAGGCCGCCTCAAGGATCGGCAGCCGGGAAGAGGCTCAAGCTTTCAAGCCCCGGATTTGGCCTTTCCAAGTCAGGGTCCCTTTTTGGGGATCTATGAAGAGGACTTCTATCCAAACGGAGGTCCTAACGGTTATCTGATGAACAAGTGGACCCGGATGTTGTGGGGGTCCGGAACTTCTTTGGGATCTCACGCTGGAAAAGTATGACTTGTGCATGTCATCTTGTCTGGCACCATGGGCCCAATGTAGGATACGGACACGCTCCTGTACACCGAGCCGAGCCTGGACAGGACTCTGCGTGCTTCCAAGTCGGAGCTCGAAGTAACGAATCTGTGGCGTGAGCTTCGTTTTTGAGCTTCGCTTGCATCTGTCGTGCTAATCAAACCAGGTCCCCCATCGAGGCAGATTGCTCGCCAGCGCCTGAGAGACCAGGGGGAGTGTTTGCAGCGACGTGAGCCCCAGAGAGAGAGAGTACTTCAGGCAGGATCTGGCTGCAAGTCCGCTGAGCCAGGCAAGACTCGAAAAACAAAGCACAGCCCCTAAAATGCCTGTGATGGGCATCTGTGAGGCCAGCTTTCCGTCATCGGCCATCCTGGGGTGGCGTCCTCAGTGTCAGTGGAAGAGCCGAGCGCAAAGGACATACGGTGACATACGTACAGTTACGTACCTGCTCAAGGTCGGAGAGCTCTCCGATGACGAGGAGTATTAAGATGCTCCCGCCAGCTGACTCACAGGCGCGGGGTTTGGCAGTACAGTCTGCTTTTGTGCTGTGTCTTGTCACGTTGTCGTGTCTACGTTGCATTCTTGCTTGTTGCGTCTCTGATGCGAGTTGTTTCGTCTCTGATGCGAGTCTGCTGTGGTTCCCTGGCTCCGGCGAGGTGCCGCCCCTCCCTGGCAAATGATCCTTTTGGAATCTTTCGAGCATCGAGATCCAGGAGACTTCTGAGACGCCGAGTGCTTTAAGCTGGCGTCTGGTGACCACGTGCAAATGCATCAGCGGTGGAACGCCGAAGTATACAAGTAGGATCTTTCCGTGAACTGAGCTATTCTGGGAGAGGGTTCTGTAAGATGCTGCCTGGCCCAAGCTTCAAGCATGTTCTCATAGAAACCCATCTCCCAGTGGTTTCGGGGAGGGATGCTGAAGAGAGCTGAGCTCTTGGAGAGAGATCCTGGAGTGCGTTCGTGAAAACTAAGCCTGTTCCGGCTCCTTTTGGTCTCAGACTGTGCCACCCTAGTTTTGCACCTTTACAGTTGCAGTTGAAGGGCTGAAGGGTTGGCAGGCCTTTTGTTGTCAGATTGGTGTGGGCTTGACGATCGCCTTCGAGTACCAGTCGTTTGGAGGGGAGTTTTAGAGACCGTGGCAGGTGGGAGTCGGTTGTAAAACTGTTATTATTGTAGATCCGGGGTTCTTTATGTTTCCTCGGAGGTTGGATGTCACTGATGATACGAATTCCACGAGCGATAGAGATCTGCGTGGTTTTAGCAACCCGGATCCCGAACCCAATCACCCCCAAGCACTCCCGTCGATCGATGGAAGCTCTCAAACCCTATAAGATCCTACAAGCCACTATACTGTACTGTCACTATACGGTAATCCCTAGAAATTTAGAGAAGCCCTAACAAGCTCCACATGCCTGTAACCCTATGCCAGCCCCAGAACACGCAGTACTTATTAAAAGCAGCGAGCCGAGGCCCGGGCCGCCCTGACAGACGGCTGCGGGGGAAGCACGAGCAGCCGGCCCCCGGCCATGGCCCTGGTGGTGGGCAACAGGGTTTCGATGTCTGCCGGGTTTGTTCATGCATCGATTTGCCGAATTGTCTTGTTTTCCGCAGTGCTTATCTGTTTATTCATCTACCTGAATCTACATCGCATGTCAGATCAAGGGGGACAGCTGGGAAGCTTGTAAGTGCGGCACAGTAAATCGTCAGCCTAGCACAGCTCGTGGGCTCGCGGCAACTCGCTGTAGAAGCGCATTCAGGCGTTTAGCCAAGTTTTCTGCGTAACGCTTGAGCCTCATCCCTGTTTGTCGTAGACCCGGCTGCGCTGAGGATCCCCCCGCCCTGCCCGCTCGTGCCTCAGAACATTCCTGAAGCACCTGATCACGAGGGACCATGCAGGCTTCAGGGATGTTGAGGGCGCTTCAAACAAGTTCAAAGAAAGGGGGGTTTAGAGGGTATTAAGACTTTAAAGGCTCTTTAAAGGCTTACGATGCCTTAGGGCAGGTGCTCTGTGAACGCTCGCAGGCCTGGACTCAGAATGGCAGCTCCGAGGTGCACAAGTTGCCATTGGAGATTTTGCGTCTTCCGTGCGGTTTTCAGTTTTTGCATGGATGGCAAAGGGGAAGTGTACCCTTCTTCTCATTGACAACTGCCCTGAAGATTCGAACACAAAATACCAAGCTGTCTGCAATACCCTGGCTTCTCACCAACACCTAATACAGCTCCAAGGTATTTGAGAGACCCTTTCTTCTCACCGACAACCCCCCCGACGAATCGAACATATAACTTTATCTGCAGTGCCCTGGCTTCTCACCGACAAACCCCTTTTAAGAATCGAAAATGTAGCACCAAGATTTTGCACTGACAAACCCCCGAAGAATCGAAGATACAATCTGCAGTGCCCTTGCTTCCTTTGCGAGACCCTGCGAAGAAAACTTGCCTCCCGACACAGCAAGCACTTTCCCACTTTATGGGAAGGAAGAGAACTTGGCCATCCCGGAACCCCCCTGATAAAAAATCTTGGTCTCCCCCTCCCCCCCGCACGCCAGGTCGATGACTTCGTGAGGTCCGTTGGCTTGAAAGACCATCTAAACCCGAAACTCCGAAATCCGGCAGCACATTGCAGGAGACACAACCTCTGTTCGAAAGCAGAGAATGAGCTGAGGCCTGCGACAGTCTGCTAGCGTCGTGTGTCATCTTTCGCCGATGCCGCCGGTGAACATTTGACAGGGAGCTCCCGTTGGCCGACCAGCTGGCAATGATCCGCAAGCCTTATAAGTGCACTTCTCGGCGTGGATTGCCAGCCAAGATCAGTTTGTTGAGTGACTGAGAGCACCGTGAAGCTGTAACATACACGTGAGATGTTTTTTTTGCAAGATTGCCACGGCTCTGCTCAGGGACATTCGCTCTATGGACGCAGTGGTGATCTCTCAGAGCAGGCACCGCGGTGTCTGGGCAGGTGCTGCATCCGTTCTTAGTGGTGCCGTCACTGGCATCCGCTACCCATCAGTGTAATACTGTCACTGCGTGCTGTATCCACAGCCCACGTACCTAGAGAAGGTCCTGAAATGGTGCCGTCGGGGCGACATTTGCGATGTTGTTTTGCCTTGACCAATGCTGTTCGTTCGCGCTTCCCAGTAGACAGGTACCCTGAGCTGCTGTAAAACTTCTTCAACTGCAACAACAGCAGAAGCATCCCAGCACCCCGCAGATGATACCGCGTGACAGATGCAGTAGTGAATGCAGAGACAAGATGAGGCATCCGTGCACGTGTATTGAGCAACATGATGTAGCTTTTGCTGGATGCCCTCCAGGGCAAAGACTGCCCTCCAGGGCAAAGACTAGCCGACGCAGCGACACATCTTGAACATTTCAGCATAGCTACCATACAGCTTGCCCGAAAGTACAACAATATCATTATGGCACGCCTTCCGCTCGCGGTGCGGCTGCGGCGTGCGTTCGCATGCATCGTCCTGAGACCTGCCCAGACACCATAGGGGTAGAGCTGCAGATGCGAAGGCGGCCAGCATCTGATTGTGCGACCGTAGGCCGCAGGCAGCCTTCTTGAAGGGAAGGTGGGTTTGATGGCATGCTCTCGTAGGTGCCAGCCTGACGTGTCTCTGAGATAGGCAGATGTAGGCGTGGAAGATCAGGGAAGACACCCTATGGCGGCGAGTGCCTGATTTCGCCTCAATTTTTTTTTCCTCGTTTTGCCCTCCGAGGGCTCGGCCACGCGCTTGCCGAGGTGAGCAGCCGAAGGTGCAGCTCGATGACACCTTGGCAGGATACTTCGCGGCCATGCCCAGGGCTTGGCAGTTCGAAAGAGCTCAGGGGATCTCAGGGGCTCTTTCCCATTCTGCCTCGTTCTCTCTCTTCCTCTCTGTTTTCTCAGAGATCTTAGCGCCCCTCCATGTCCTGTCGTGTGATTCCTATTCCAAGCCCTGGAGCGCAAGGCTCGAAGACGACGAGGAGTGCGATGAGGACAGCATCGTTGAGGCAGACTCTGCATCTGTGGCCAGTGCCAAGCAACGACGATAGCCACAGGAAGCAGAAACAAACGACACAAACGTAGTGGAATCAATGGTTCTGGTCAGATAGCAGGAATCACACTTCCCGCCGTCGTCGCTGCCGCGTTCGTGGTATGCGCTCGCAGTCGTTGTAGTGGCGCTGTTGGCGTCGTCATCCTCGTAGCCGTGAATTCACGATTAGAGACGTCAAGGCTGCGGCTGCCATTTAGGAGTCTTCCGGACGTCGCTGTAGCCAACTGCAAACATCACATCACGATACATCACGTTGAACTAATTCAGCAAGCCTGCACACTTGAGGGATCAGCGAGGAATCCGTTCAGAAGGCCTAGGGCCTCAAGGGCCCAGGCAGTTGGGGGATACCCTGGGTATCCCTGAGGTTTTTACAGAGGTTGAGGTTGAATTCATGCTTGGTATCAGGCAAGCGCTTGCGAGCCCGGTTCAGGGTCTCGAGTGCTACAATCAAGTGCGGCTTGGTTGATACTTCATGGGCTTCTATAGGCTTTAGAATGTTCTTGGATATGGGGGTCTAGGCCATCAGAGTGGATTAAGAGGACGCACTTTGCTTCCTAACTATCTCCTGCTCCTTTCCACATTCTCGTCCGGAATGTCCGCAACCCAATACTAGCAGCAGCAGGAGCTGGCATGCGTGCCTGTTTCGCATGCTGGATGATGTTCTGTCGAGATGAGCGTAGGTGGCGAGTATGGCCGGCCAGCGAAGTTGTCAGCGCAGGGTAAGTAAACAGTTCGGTTTAGTTTTGCAAAAAGCGGAAGGTGTGGTCTTCATACCTTGTCGCGCTGCTGGAAACAGAGGGCGCCTGCAAGGACTCGGCAATCATGGGCCAAAATGCCATAATTCTTGTGAACGTTTCCGAAAATGAGGGGTACCCTGTTTGAGAGAGTTCCTAGTTATACGTTTTGGGAAGTACTCTTAGTAAGGTGCGCAATCTTTCGATCTCCCCCACTTGGAGGTTCATGGGTACTTATAACGCCAGTTACAAGCCTACTTATAACATACTTAAGGGATTTAGGGGGGCTTACAAGTACAATTCTAATTGGGGTTATAAGTAGCCATGAACATCCTAGCACGACCCCACATGCTTGCATCACAAGAGACGACGAATCCGTAGCTCCAAGCTGGTTAAAGCCGAGGAGCTTTGCGTTTCGGTCCTCAAGCGCTTGAAGGAGCTGCCTCTCACAGTGAAATAGGAGTTTAGGGTTTAGGGTTAAGGAGAGTATCCCCACGCCCCGGAAAAGATCGACACCACGCTTTTTATGCAAGGAGTCAGACCAACAACACTGAACACTGCTCCGACATGTTCCTGTGCAGGGCTGCGAGGCTGTTGCGCTGGGCGACATCGGTCTGTGTCAGGCCCTCAAGGTCTCATCAGACGAGAGATGCATTCCCCGAACTCTGCAAGACTGTACACTGTACCGGATTGTACCGAGGCAGTGCTGCGAACTCACCGCAGCTCTCCCGAGCGGGCGCGCTCGTCAGAGCTGGCTTGGCAATGCTCATGTCTTCTTCACATGTCGCTAGTGGCTTCAAGAACCCGCGCCAGCTCTACCTTGGACCCCTCGGGTTGCATCCTTGGGTTTGGTGACTCTTATTATGGGAGCACGGTCTTTGAGGCAGGAACTGGGATCTCTTTTGAGCAAAGTTGCCGGCCCCGGCAGGCTCGCTGAACCAGACGGCGCTACCACAGGCCTCGGTGGAGATCTCGACCACCGAACCCTGCAGCCCAATGGAGGAGCCGTGATCTTTTAAAAAGATGGGAAAGTTGAGAAGTCTGTTCTACTGAAGCAGCTGGAAGAACCATTCTCTTTTCCTGATCGAAGCAGCAGCTGTCCTTGTCATGTTGGATGTGAGGACGTGAAGCAATAGGGGGGGCTTGTATGCTTGTCACGTGCCCCGAAATTTGCACGCTGGCTGCCGTCGCTGCTCTCGAGTGTTGCGCCGCGCTACCGGACATAGGGCAAATCATCCGACAGTTGAGACTCTTCTCAGCCGACTCTTCGACTTAGCAAAGGTCAGTTGCAAACCTCAGATCGGGCGTGAGTTGCGGAGTAGAAGCATGGCGGACCCGGAGCTGGATGAGCCCAACTCGCCGGACCCCCTGGACGTGCTTCTGACCAAGCCCGCGCGCAGCGGCCGAACCGGCCAGCGGCCCTTCGGCTCCCTCGGAGCTCAGATTGAGGCCTGCAACAATTTGCAACACATTGCAACACATTGCAACACATTGCAACACATTGCAATACATTGCAATACATTGCAACACGCAAGTGCAAGAAGAAGAGCACTAGAGAGAGCCGTAGAGTATCTGGCATGCTGTAGCTCCACTTCCTGACGCCTCGAGGTGGAGAAGTACGACGAGCAGCTTGCTGCAAAGGTTGAAAGTCTCAAGGCGCCCGCCAGAGTTGCTGCAGTTCACACTCTCTTTGTGCTAATTTTGCTTTGGGGGATGCCGGACTCGCATTCTCTCATCAGGAACTCTTCAGAGGGGCTATTCCGCGAGATGTGCTGGACTGGGATATGTCAGCGTTCGCGAATCTGGGAGAAACTTCTCTACCGTTGATATCCGTCCGAGGATGTGGCCTGGACAGAAGCAGATTGCAGGGCAACAGTGTGCGTCAGCTCTGGCAGGACGGGGCTCAGATCTTCCGTTCCCCCGCCAAAGATTTTCGGCATCGAGCGGGGCCCCTCGCAGTGCGGCGACCTTGTGCCGAGAGGTGCATTGCAGTGCAGATTCCAATGAAGCCTCGAGCCGGAAAACGCAGTGTGTATCAGATGTAGCAACGCGTCTCAGCACGATTGTAGGGGGGGGGGGCCTCTTGTTCACAGATATATCAGTATAAATATCAATGGAAATATACATACAAGTATAAATAAAAATAGAAATGTAAGATATAGATATTATATATGTAATATAATATGTATATATATATATATATACACAAGGGACTCGGGATGCTCCCTGAAGGCAGGCCGAGGGCATCTCCCTCGAGCTCTCGATGTGGGATCCGCAGGCCAAAGAGCACAGCCTCATCCATCCCACAGAGGCGCCCAGAACCTCTGCAATCGGGGGCTTGCCTTTACATCATCCGACCGTGAGCCTAAACAGGCTCAACAAAAAAGCTACCCCCTAAACTTACTAAACCTGGCCCCCTGAACTTCCCCTAAACGTCCCCATAACCCGTAAGCTCCATCTAACCGACCTCACTGCCTGTGGGATTGGCGCCCTGAAGGTGCCCATCTTCTCACGGCCCATTGCCGTGGCCATGGAGGTCAGGGCCGGGTGAGGTAGGGGGTTTCAGGGGGCTTTGGGGGCTTTAGGGGTTGTAAGCTACAGTGAACGGGTGAGGTGCTGAGGACGCTGCCCATCCGAGTGGACCCCGAGTTGGGGGCATCTTGTCTTCAAGACCTGGGACCTGGGAGTTATGCTTTGCATCAGGATCCCTTTTTTAAATCAAGAAACCTGCTTCTTAAAAGGGCACCTTGCCAGAATGGACTCTTGTAGGACTCATGCCTCTCCCAAGGAGGGCAACGATGAGCAGGAGTGGACGTGCCTTGACCTTGCGGACGCTTCGAAGCCCACAGCCTGGGGAAGAGTCATCGGCCATGGCCTGCGCTCTGCGCAGTTCCACTCGACGCTCTCCGGTGAGCTCATGGTGTGCCTCGCCATTGACCCGCAAGCAAGATGCCTGGCCCTGAACCGCAATTCTCAACATCCCAGCTGGTTTTTTCAATGGGCATGAAGGTTTTACTGTACTAAGGTTTTTGGCTGCGTTTACGCGTGTAAAAATGGATCTTGCATGACATACACGCCGCCATGGTTGCATGTGTGATTCTTGTGATCTTGTTCTTTCCACATGCTTGCCATTGTTTTCAGCATCACAAGTGTTTCAGGCGAGCCACAAACTTTATACTTCTGTTGAGGTTACGTTCTGAGCTTGCGGTCTGGGGTTTGGTTTTACCGGACGGATGCACTGGTAGCACGGGTATTCTTATCTTTCGGTCCTGGATGCTCTGGCCACTTGGATGCGCTGGTACATGGATACTCCGGCCACACGTATGCATTGGCTCGAACTAACACGGACACTGTCATGATGGGACATGTGCGTCCAGGAAACACACGGCGAAAGCACATGCTTTTGCTGCACGAAAAAGACGCTTGTGCACAAACGTCCTCCCAACATCCCTAAACCCTAAACCCTAAACCCAAAAACTGTGTAATGGCCACCTGAAGCTGAAGCTTGCGAAGCCTTCCGTCAGGTGCCTCGCCTACCATGATGCGCGGTTGCATAACCTGAAACGTGGGCAGCCGCTGCCAGAGGAGGCACGCCTGGTCCAACCCCAGAGTATCCCCACAGACTCCCTGAATCCCCGAGCGCCCATACCCACCAGACAATCTCGGAGTCCCTGGCGTGCCCGAGAGTCACTGGAGTGCCCAACCCAGAGTATCCAGAGAATCCCTGGAGTGCCCAATTCCAACCTTGAGAGTATCCCCACAAAATCCCCAACCCCAGCGTATCTTCAGAGAATCCCTGAGTGCCCTCATCCCCAGACAATCCCCAGAGTGTCTCTGCACTGCCCAACCCCAGAGTGAGCTCGCAAATTCCTTGCCTGCAGGGTGAGGACGTCAGAAATATTTATTCTTTTAAGGCTGGAGTGGCTCATTTATTCTTTTAAGGCTGGAGTGGCTCAGCCGTTAGTTGTTGTCCATACCGAGGACGATGCGGCCTTCGAAAACTCCACCCAGGGAAAGAGGCCATGGTCGCAGAGGAAATTGTCTTGTTCAGCTTGGCGGTTTAGGCACAGAGTTAGCTGCACAAGGGTTGAGACACTCTCGCAATCCATTGCAGAGTTGAGCTCCTGCGCGCACCCCATCATGTGCACTCAGGTGGATGGCGGCTGCACAGGAGCTGAGGAGCTTCCTGCCCCTCCGACGATCCAGAGGGTTGGGGAAAAGCCCGTTGTTTCAGGGCAGTTCCACCACGGTGCATCTTGTTTGCCACAAGCCAAGCCACCCAACGGGACCCGGCTCAGACTTGAGAGCGCTTGTTTGCTTGCCAGCGTGCGTGGGCACGGATGCTTCACACCGTGTCGTGGCCTTGCAAGTCTTACTTTTTCCTTGGGTCTATCAATCTCTCATGCAAGCTTGCACAGGTTGCAGGCCATGGAAGCTGCAGGAGTCGAAGGACGTGGCTGCTAGTCCGGAAAGCTACAGTACTTCGTTATGTCGATGATTTTGGGGGATACATTCCAGCTGAATGGTGTTGCGGTGGTGCCCGTGACTTGTGCGCAGTGCTCGCATCACCAGTTAGATTTTTCTTCACAGGAGCAAAAGTGGACGTGGTGGGTCGATGGAAGCGAAGGCGTTTGGCAGTCGAGCGGGATTTCGTGCAGGACGTCTGCAGCCTTAGGGGCATTGAGTTCAGAGCCCATAAACTGCCAACCCGAAACCCTAAACCCTAAACCCTAAACCCTAAACCCTCAACCCTAAACCCTAAACCCTAAACCCTAAACCCTAAACCCTAAACCCTAAACCCTAAACCCTAAACCCTAAACCCTAAACCCTAAACCCTAAACCCTCCCCTCCGAGATCCTCTGATTCAGCCTTCTTTGGCCAGGAGGCTTTCGTGCTAGAGGATGGCCGGAAGCTGGTGTACAAGCAGCCGGAGGTGCTTCGAACACCCATGGGTTTAGGGTTTAGGGTTTAGGTTTAGGGTTTAGGAACATCCTGGAACTAGGGCTTTAGAGTGTTGGGGTTTCATGGTCTGACATGTCCTGTCAAAGCTCGTCGCGCCCTCTTGCACGCTCACCCCTAGAAGCCTGCAGTCAATTCGCCACCTTTGCAAGTGGAGAGCACCCGACTTGTCAGGGTCAGTTCTCGAACCCGCATCTTGGCTTCACAAGATGCTGTTTTCGGGATCTGCGTGCTGCCTGGTACCGGGGCACTGCGTACCTCGAATGTCACGTCGCAATGAAAGTGACCGGCGCTCCAAGTTGCATCCAGGTCTGTCCAAGAAGCGTCTTCATTTGTCCGGACAGGGGTGGTCCAGATCTAGAAGAGCTTGCTAAACCGAGCCCATCGACCCAGCCTTGCAGTATGGGTCTGGGTCCATAGCTGGCACGAGTGGCCGATGGGAACTGTCCGGTTGCATAGAGCGGCTTTGGAACAACTGAGGAACTTGCCTTGCGAGGTGCAGATCCAGAGAGCCACCGACCGCCTAAACTCTCACTGCCAATGAAGACTCTCTTGGATCTGAGTCAGTTGGTGGAGTCTGTGTGCCATGCCCACACCTTTTGAACAATGGCCCTGGCCGGGCAGGTGGATTGCCTGAACTGGCTCTGCCTACAGGCCAAAGAAGCAAGAAAAGATGCGTCGATTCGCAGGCCCCTTCTTTCTCATCCAAGAGTAGCTGGACGTTTCGCACCATGATAGCACCGGTTTCATCTCCGTTCTGTCTCATACCAATATTGTGCATCACCCCTCACACTTGTGAAACTGCCTCCAGGAAAGATGCGGCACAGTTGCTGGAACTTCATTGCGGAGGCATGCTTGCTGGCCTGGTACCGGAACAGTGGAAGTCTCAAGATCACACGCTGCAAGCAGGTGGCAACAACACCGTGGCGCTGGCCCCGTGCTTTAAGTCTGTCCGGGCTGTGGAGATCAACCGAACGCTGGCGCAAGCTGCAGAGGACCCCATGGCAATGGCAACCGCATGGTCGATTCTGGGTTCGAAGTGCACGAGCCATCAAGAAGTAGCTGGCTCGGCTGGCTGCTGCACTTCTCGAATGGTCCATCCCTTGGCAGGACAATTTGAAAGCCAACAACGTCAGGTGTTTGGGATTGCAGCGGAGAGTGTAGGTCTTTTTGGCTAGTCACATTTATGCCGCGCACCAATCGTGAAGCGCGCCCAGGAACGTGGAAGTCATCCGCACATCAAGCGACAAGATTGATGAAAAGGTTTTCGCCGGGTGTGATGTGATCTTAGTGGATCCACCACGTGCAGGCCATCATGCTGTGTCTGTCAACAGTTTGCTGAGTTTTTGGACGTTATGGCTGTGGTTCAGACGATGTTTCCTGGCCATCAGCCACATAAATATGATGCATGTAGAAATGTGTCTGGCTCGGTGATACCTGCCTATTGTGCACGTTGTGTTAAGTTCGTACAATGCAGAGGTTGAGAAATGTTCCCATGGGACCGTTATGACAAGCTAGTTTCGTCGAGTTTGAACTGCCGTTCCGCCGCACGACCATCTGACACCTCAGAATCAGGCCGTTTAACATGAGCCAGGGGAGGTCTTCGAGCGAAGTAAGAAGTAGTTCCTCGGCAAGGAGTGACCAAATCGAAGCGCAGTAGTAGACGCCTTGATTGCCGAATGGCCTGACGAGCTCAGATGGCACCGCGTGTACCAGATGAACGCATTCGTACACCTGCTTTCCCTAATCCTGTGAACAGATGGAGGGTAGCGTGCCATACTGGTTCCTAGTTTCGATCCATCCGCAGACCTTGGAAGAAGTCGTGGAAAGGTAGCATGTCTTGTTTGAGCAACCTTCCTGTAACTACTCTGCCAAGTCATGCAGGCCTGGACAACACGACCCGACAACGGGTGGCCAAGTTTGACCAGCCTCCTGGTTCGACTTTGTGTCAGTTGTCTTGAGATTTAAACGAGAGCCGCCGAGCCATCGCAGCTCAGGATTCTGTACATTTCTTGCAATCCACTGGCTCTCAAGGGCGACATCAACCACCTGGGTGAAGGCCTTTCTTGCAAGGGGTTGAAGGCTTGCGGAAGACTGGGGCGGTCTTCCTTTCGTTGATCTGGTGACCGCTGCTTTGTGCTCGAATCAATGTGCCCATCGTGCAAGTTGCTCCCAGAAGACACGCTAGCTTTGTGGATGGGCATGGAGGAGTTCATTCGCTTTAAGAAAGAGATCTCAGACACCCGAGTTGTTTTTCCGCATCTCTTCTCCAGAAAGAACCGGGGATGCGTGGCCAGTGCGATACAATTGCTCATGCACAATACAATGCAGTCGTAAGACAAGCGTTTAGTATCCCGTCATATTCCGCCGTGGAACTACAACCCATTGCCCAAACCCCCCCCCCCCCAACAAGACCTTAAGTATTCAGCCGCCAAGTCATGGACACGTCGGATAAGTTCGGACAAAGCTCATGTCTCCTCAGGCTTTGAGGTGGTGGCCCTTGCAATCTTTGACATGTTTCCCTACACCACCCATGCCGCAACTCGGCTTTCGCGAACAGCGCGAACAACTTCTCCCTTTCCTGCCAATTAAGTTTTTGACATGAGGAGTGTGCAGTCCGCATCCGCAAGCGGCAGGCAGGACTAAGGGCCCTCTGATCTTGTGCTTGCGACAACATCTTGTGGCATCTTGCGACGAGTGACTAGTAATTATAGCACTGCAGCAGCCGAATTGGGTACAGGTGCCGAGATCGCCACGCAGCAAGCGGTTCAAGTTTCTCCTGCTACTCGTCATAGGCCAAGGGTCCCTGGTTTTGCAATGCCTGGGGCTTCAACGGTCGTGGTGGGTATTCTCCGATTTTCAGGCATTCAGATGGCCTTCTTCCATGTTGTGTAACTTTACGTAGACCGGACTTCAGCCAAGCCATGTCCCTGTTTCCTTCCCGAAGCCCTCTCTTGAAGACCTCCATGAGATGCGCGGACTATGTCTAAGACCAAGTGAAGAAACAGCTCATCACAGCTCTTTTGGGTGCCCTGAAGGTGCCGTTTTGTTTGGTCTGCGTATGCGGCGGCGCAAACTGGCCTGAGCTGCTCTTGCTCTGCCTGCTCTTGCACATGGACATCGTTTGTGTATATAGAACTGGCTGGAGCAGAAGCAAGATGGTCCTCGCTACATTGAGAACGGTTGCTGGCTTGATCAGCTTCTGCTTTTGGCTATGGCCCTCAGCCACGACTGCGCATTGCCCCCCGCGCTAATTCACGGATGTTTGGAGAGCTCCTTGCAGCAGATGCAAGAACATTGCAGGCTTAGGTTGAGGCCAGGCTGTTTGTTACGGAGAAAAGCCATGAGCCACCCGTGCAACACTGCTTTTTTGTGAGTGTCGTCACGGGTGAACACTATGCGAAGTCTCAGCTTCCACGGAGGAGGTGCAGGAGGTGGAGGGACTTGCCGGGTGGCTGGAGAAGCTCAGCCGGGACCCTAGCGGCCCTGTCTATAGGAGGTGCTGCACGAATGTCAACATTCTTGCGTGATGTTTGAAAGAGTTCCGTTGAGTGATGGATGCATCAAGAACCGTGCTAGATCCCGACCTCAGCCGAAGCATGTCAGACACTTCGGTTGTCGATTCAAGAGAGGACAACATGAGGAAGCGAGTCGATTCTGTCCTCGCAGAGCTTCTTTGCTGCTTTCTTTCTTTGTGTTTTGGGGTTTAGGGTTCAGGGTTTAGGATTTAGGGCTTAGGGTTATTTCTGAGTTGCGGTTCAGTTGCAAGGCCTGTCCCACTATTCGGTGGCAGCCCGGGAGTGGTGTTCCGGCATGGGCCGAAGCCTCGGAGGCCTTCAGGGCATCAGGCGCTCATTCATTAGGGTTAGGGTTTCGGGGTTTCGGGGTTTCGGGGTTTCGGGGTTTCGGGGTTTCGGGGTTTCGGGGTTTCGGGGTTTCGGGGTTTCGGGGTTTCGGGGTTTCGGGGTTTCGGGGTCTCGGGGTTTCGGAGTTTCGGGGTTTCGGGGTTGGGGGGTTTCGGGGTTGGGGGGTCTGTGAAGGGTTTACCTTGCGGTTCGCCTCTCCGAGGGGCCGCGACCGTGGAAGAGATCGAGGAGAACTGGGAGGAGTTCAGCGATGCGCCATCACCTTAAAATACATCAGTGTAACATGGTCTAGTTCAATCTAGAATGCATGATGTAGTAATATACTCCAACATGATATAAGAGTATATTGTCCGCCGAACGAAAGACTCGAGATGACTCGAGCTTCAAGGCTGAATCTCAAGTACCTGGAGCGCCGCCGCTTGCAGTTGTGTGCCGGCCCGCTAAGTGAAGCAGCCACGCCTGGATCCCATTCTGAGCTGCTTCGAACTCGACTTTATCTGTATATCACATTACGAATTTCCCTCTGCTTGTGCTGTTGCCGTGTCAGTTCTTCGAAGCAGATTGCCAGTTTTCAAGTTCAATGCTTCAATCGGTTCTCCGGGTTCGTACGTTCAGGCCTCAAGCGAGAGACAACGCAGACGAAGAGGAGGAATGAAGCTTCTTGCAGACAGAACTTGGGAAGCCTTCGGGGCTGCTCGAAAAACTGCATGGAGACTGCAGCAGGAAGCAGATGAGTCATCCTACCGCTACTGGGCCTGGCACTCGTCTGCGCAGTTGGGCTTGTTGCATGCTACCCATGAAGACTTGCGCACTTTGATGCTTGTCCCACCAGACACCCACGCCATGATGTGTTCTCCCTTAGATCCCCATCCTGACGCTCACCAGCAAGGGTTCACACTCAGAGACACCACACGCAAACCCGACACTACTACTGTAGGCCATAGACCCCACGCCCTGAAACCCTAAGCTCGTCTTAGAGGCTCGAATCCTATTTAAGACCTCCGTCGTTATTATGCAGCCAAAAACAGCACTCCGAGCGTAAAACGCCCAGGCCGCGGAAGATTTCTCGGCCGAGCAAGAGGCCTTTCAGCATTCCTGGGCCCAGGGATCTCAAGAGGCTTTCTTTTCGCAGGGCAGGCAGGGATTTTGGGGTTTCGGGATTTTTTGGGGGGGTTTGGTTCTTTTTTGGTTTTGCGTTTGAGGGCTTACAGGTTTGCGGGTGGAAGTCGGACATGCCTTGGGACAGCGTGCTTTCCAGAGAACCCTTTGCAGGCGGAGCATCCCTTCTTCATGCCAGCGGCCTTGATCTGCATGGTAGGGTTGAGTTTGATTTCGGGCGGTTTTGGGTTTGATATACGTGTTCATTAAATTTCAGAGAGCCATGGGACGTTTCGCGAGAATGGATGCCAATGCTGCCCTTCCCCCCCCCCCCCCGCCGAGGCGGGACGGGTAGGATTTGCTCCTCCGTGAAGTGGAAGTATATACACAGAATATTATACCTGTACAGTTGAAAGGGCTTCAAAACATGACCCCTTCCCGCCCCCCCTCTTTCCTCCTATGATTTAAGGCTCAGAATCGCTTCAATGCATGCCCATACCCCCCGCCGCCCTTCCCGCCTTCCTGCTGCCCATTCCATTGCTCCCACGTGAAGTAGATGGGCTTCAACGCATCCCCCTTCCCGCCCCCCTGCTCCAATGCAATACCCATACCGCCCGCCGTTCCCGCCATTCCCGCCCCTCCCACCATTCCCGCCCCTCCCTTCCCGCCCACACCGCCCATCAAATATTGCTCCTACGTGGTGGGACAGAGTTAAAGACCCTTGAGCTGCAGGGGAGTGGGCGGGAAGCGCATGCTTTGGCCGCGTTCGCCCAACAACTGAAAGTTGCGGAGAAGCTGGGGCTCTGGTGTCCCCAAAGGAAGGTTAAGTGGCCTTTGAATCAGTCCACAAACGGCGCCATGCATTTCGCGGGGGGGTACTCCACAGCCGTATGGTCAAAGTTCGCATACAAGCGGTTCAGCGACCGTGCAAAACTTTGTGCAAGACTGTTTTCCAAATCAGGCAAGCAGTTAAATCGTCTTCAATGCTGGCCTAGGTCGTCATCCAGCAGCAAGCGGGGGGAGCACCTGCCTCATCTTGATGCACAGTTCGAGGTACTCGTAGCGAGCTAGGAGGTGAATGCACGAATGCAGCAACGCCAACATGCATCGAAAGATGAGGTTGCAAAACTTTGGTGATCCAGACCGCCGGTGTCCGAGCGAGCAGTTTGATGTTTACGAGTATGGACTGTTGGAAATGGGGTGGCGGCGGGAAGCTCCGCCAGATCCCTACACCATCCTCAAAGAGCTTGGTCATGGGATGACGGCTACGGCTGCGGCCTCGGTGCAAATTGCCGAGTCGAGCTGTCTTGAGACCCCTTCCAACGCGATACAAACAAACACACATTAACAGTACCAGGTTCCGGTCATCAGGAGCTCTTATTCATGGTTAGCGTCGAGAGGGCCGCTGGCAGGTTTACAAGTGCCGGAGAGACGATCAAGTTTTCGCCGTCAAAGCGATCGGCTTGTCCAGGCGCCCGGGTCGTGAATGTGTTAGAACCAGCGAAGGGAATGCTGTTTAGACTTTACGCACGTTCTCCGCCGGCGACCCCTTCGCTTCTTTCACGTCTATCTTCAAGTGGGCACTCCGTCCCGAAAGGCTACAGATGCAACGCGACAAAGAAAAGGCGTTGGAGCGGCTACGGAGGGAGTCACAAGCCCAGCGACGACTGTGCTTCTTGCCGCGTTGTCCAAGGTGATTGGGGCAGTCAATGCTTGGGTGTTTCGTTATGCGTTGTGCGGCAATGCACACCACAACCTTATGACTATGACATACTATGAGTAACTTGTCAGCTTTTGTAAGATCAACCTGTGCCCGGGGCAGCACTGTGCTCGATTGACTGACCAAACCGCGGCCCTCCCACATGTCCAAGACCGCGGCCGGCCCCTGGGCTGAGAGAGTTGTGGTTTTTTCCAGCAAGCGCGCTCCGCTCTCTGGCGAAGTCGCCCTTGGGCTTCGCATCTTGCAATGCCGATGCTGTTAAACTGTTACAGCCTGTCCGATGAACAAAACAAAATGACGGCTTTGTGTGCAGATCCGGCATCGGCAGCCCTCATGTCGACCGACAACTGGGGATCCATCGAGGAGGCCCTCCACTGCATCCTGAAAAGCCCTACACCCGAAACCCTAAAAGCCCTAACAACAACCCTAGAATCGCTAAGCCCTGCTGCAAGCTTCACGTCTTTGTCCCAGCCAAACACTGGTCGCAGAGGTGGTAAATGCACCCTTGGAGAACGTGGCCGGTGATGCCACCTGGCTGTCGGCTCCCTCACTCAAAAGTATACGTTTTTAAATGTCGCAATTGTACTCCCCCTGTTTTTTCAGACCCTTTGAGCCGCTTTTCTGGGCTGCTTTGGGCTGCTTTTTTGCGGCTTTCGAGCTGCATGTTGGCTACTTGTGACCTGCTTTTGAGCTGGCGCACTCTCTCCTTGAAGGTGCTGTGCATGTGGCTGACGTGCCCGCTCAACCTTATCCAGGGCTGCATCGGAGGTCTGTGCAGGCAAGCCTTGTGACCGTCCGTCCCTCAACTGTCAAGCCTGTCCGTCTAATGTCTAAATCATCTCTGTAACTAACACGTAAGCAGAAAACATGTGGACGAATCGTCCTGCACGTCGTGAGTTCCTCATTCTCTTTGAGCTTCGGCACGTGCAGACGCAGATGCGGTTTCTTATGAGTCGGCTTCTTGGTGAAGGTTTGCTATGGCCTTTTTTGTCATTGGCTGCTACTGCTGCCGGTGCATTCCGCGCCTCGGCAGAACGTCGCTGCATAGCAGCTCCGTTTGCGACAGTATGCTGCTCAGCTATTCGGCTGAAGTCGGCTAAATGGAGCATGTGCTTTAGTCTAGGCATGAGCAGCTTGGTTTACGATGTCCCGACATGATGGCAAGGGGCTGGATCTGCTGTGCCGCGATGGACTCGGTCAAGTGCGGCCGCCCCTGTATCCTGGCGCCCTCCTGGTGGAGGTATGCAGCTCTACCTGACTGAAGAGTGGCAATGCACATGTTTACATGGGCTGGACCTGCAGGGCTGCAGACACGGCAGAAACCCGAACTCCTGTACCAAGGTACTGGGAGGATTCATCGCGCTCTTGGCAAATTCCAGGAGGGTTTCTCGTTGCTAGACTGGTCAACGAGATGTGCGCCGTGCAGTGCTGGCGCCTGAAACGGTTCAGAAGTGCTTGTGTCAGCGACATGTATACTACCTCCCTTCCTAACTGTCCTTAAGTATGTGGGTCATTCAGATTCCATGGTCCTGTGGTCTTTCTTCTTCCCTCACTTCCCGTCTTCTAGGAGCCGCCTCGCCTTGTTCATTTGGGAGTGGGAGGCGCGACAAGAAACTCAAAAATGGGGGCAACATGCCTTCGCGCACCCTAGCTGTGGGCGACACTGGTGCTTGAATCTTGCCATCACCTAAGTCACCCAGAGACCAAACCCTAAACCCTAAACCCCAAAGGCATCACTGAGTCTTTGAAGCTCTGACTGTATCGGAGCCAGGCTTTCGGCAAAGGAGACCACTACTGGCACGGGGAAGGGTATTGGTCAGTGACGTACGAGGAGCTGGGAAACCTTGCCAGGTTGCTTGTAGCATTGCAGCAGGTTTCCGACCAGCACTTATTTGTTGTCAGGAGTGCAGTCAGATCACGAAGTCCCTGCAGAAAAGAAGGTCAGCTTTTGCTTGCATCGAGGCGGGTGATGCTGTGATGCGGATCCCTGACATTGGGTCTGAGCCGCGCAGCTAGTTCCCCATATGTCCCTTGTGCAAGGCTTGCGTGCCTGACCTCTTTGCGTGGGGCCCAGCGAAGCTCAGGTTGAGGATGCTGCCATGGCAACTGCACCATCTTGCAGCAAGCTTCCCCACTGCAAAGGCCACAAATCTGCTCCTCTTCCTGCCCACCGGTGGCCCTGAGAGCGAGTGGGCAGCGATCCGCAAAGTGCTGCACGCAGCGATGTTAGACCGAGGCGGCATTTTCTCTTGGGCCCAACACTCGGCAGACAAAACAAGAGCTCGCTGTATAGATCACGATAGGTCGCTACAAGAACCTATAGGTACCTGGTGCATCGCATTATGCAGTAGGTAGATGTAGGTAATTGGTAGGTCTCAAGGCAGGAGAAGGCAAGCTGAGTTCCGGAGTTGAGAGGGCGGCAAGGGCTGCAAGCGGTTGGCAAGACCTGCCAGGTGCATCTCAATATCCGGAGCGTCTGCAGAAACTGAACTCCCAAATTGCTGCAGAGTGGCCAGAGCCAAAGGTGACGGAGCCAGCCTCAGCGCTTCAACTTCACATCCGGGTCCTTGGGTTGCTTGGGTACCAGCACGGGGCATGCTGCAGCACTCTGCAGCAGAGCGACCTGAAACAGAGCCTGGCGATTGCCGAAGCTGACGTTGGCTGACCTTAGGACTTCAATGACACGGAGAGATTGCGCCTGATAGCAGCTTGGCCGCAGCGATACCCATGCGTGGCAGGCTGCTAACTCTTGCTTGGTGGTTTACAAGGTGACAAAGTCCATTTTCTTCATGATCTTTGGTATCTGGCTCGAAGAGAAAGATGCACTGGTCCTGCGAAAGTGGCGAGACTATGCAGTGTGACTTGGCCTAAGCTTCTATGCCTAGGCCCAAGAGGTGTCGGAAGTAGGTGTGAAGCGAGGTATTTTGTGCTCCCTCGGCTGATCCACCGCTTCATCTTCAACATCGCCATCCGCAAAGTGAAGCAGCTGCGCATAGACACCGAGTCTTGGATGCAGGATTCGACGCTGAAGTTCCTGCTGCTTAGAAACTTGATTTTTGAGCTTCTGTTGACTCTTGGGATCTCTTGGCTAGGGCAGAGAGGTGCGGTGCAGAGGATGATTTGCAGCAGGCGGTTGTCTCATGCATGGTGTGCAAGTTGAGCAAAGCAGCTTAGCTAGTCGACGGGAATCTGCCTTACTGCCCTAGCAGCATCTGGCAGCGGTACGTGGCAAAGCTTGCACGGCATCACTAGGTTGGAGTCATTGAGAAGCTGGGGCTTCAACAGATGTTCGTGGACATGAACAAGAATCTGCCGGAGAAATACCGGAGGCGGGTTTTGGGAGTTCACAATCATCTTGCACCATAGCGTCCCATCTATCCCCCCCCCCCCCCCCCCCCCCCAAGCAGTCAGTTTATCCCTCTGAGCAACTTCAGCGCGTGTACAAGTACCCGCATGATGAACCAGGGCTAGATGTTGCACGTGCATTCCGAGGCCGACAGACGTGAAGCTTTGTGATGAGATCATGCGCCAAAGCTGAAGTAATCGCATGCCGACCATGGCAAGTTTACGAAGCTTATGAGGCTTCCTTCCTTGCATTTGTGCTGCAGCTACTGACTCTCCACACGTGCACGAAAGAGCAGTGGCAAGTTTTTGTGTGACTGCAAGCCCTTCGCCTTGGGCCTTCATGACTTCCTGAGAAGACCTTCCCGCCCAGTAATTGATGAATGCGGGATCTTTATCCGAGATGCGCCCCCGCAGCCAACACCAAATGCAGGTTTGCAGTGGGGTTCGCCGGGATCGGCGGCACCAGCGCCTGCTGCGAGACAGTGGGTGCTTTCCTTCAGAGCCACTTCGGCTGCAAGATTGGCTCTTGCAGTTCTGCTTAGCTCCGTTGGTCCCTGCCCAACTGCATTGAGGCTTGACAAACTTTTGCGGATTCGCGAGGTTGGTGGATGCTCAGGAGAATGAGTAGACTAAATAAACGCTGAGGAAAGATCCCAGAAGAAGCCAGCGCTCACCTGATCAGCTTCGAGAAGTCTCGCGTCCGCGATTGAGCTGAAAGGCTTGAGGTGGCTCGCTATGGGTTTCCGAAGGGCGATGCGTAGCCTGAGTACCAAAAGAGTGCTGAGGTACCCCACCAACGAAGACATGCTGGCAGCGTACAAGGAGAGTCCTGTGAAGTACATCAAGGCAGGGCAGGGGCTGCTTTTCTTGTGGCAGTTCTATTGGCCCTACTTCCTTGAGCACAGCTTTTGAAGCTGTTTAGGACAGCAGCCAGCAGGCTGTGTGCGTGCATAGGCTGTCACACGTATTAGTTTTTTTAACTGTTCAAGGAGGCGTGCCGCATCGATCCGCCGGTGACGAGCTGCACTCGCGTTGACCCTGATGAACGGGTCGGTGACCTAGATCCTGCTCGGCAGACTCGCCGTTCTCCTAGACTACCTTGCATGGATCCCACGCCCTGACCTGCATCTGCCTTAGCCATGGCAACTCAGGTGCTCACCTTCAAGGGCAGTCCCTACAAGATGTCTCCTGACACGCTCAATCAGTATGTCATCTCAATGGCGAATCGTGACACCAAAATCTTCGAGAATCCGAGCGTCTTTGATCCAACTCGCAAGGACGTGCAAAGCCACCGGGTTTCAGGTCGCAGCCCCCTTGGTGTGAAGTCCACCCCCTGAATGTGCACAGAACAGCCGCCAAAAGCTTCTTTGGAGCATAAAGGAGTTGAACATCTCCAAAATCCCCAAACCCCAAGCCCACAAAATCCCAGCAACCCGCCGAACAGCAGCGGCAAGGCCCAAAGGCTCCAGTGACCAGTTGGCTTGTGGGCCACTTCCCAAATCCAAACAGAAGGACATACAATTTAGTTAAAAATAGTTCATATTTGGGACATGTTTGTGCTTTTCTTCCGCCAGAGGAGCTGGACAGCGCACTCACCTGGAATGGTGCCTTTGGCACCCCCAACGAGGTGCCGCAAGAAGCCCTGTAGGCCCTGTTTCAATGCTTCGGAGCTGTTTGCTTGGATTGCGGCTGCGGAGTGCGGCTTCAGGTCAGGGTTGATTTTCGGCCAGTTCTCCCAAATGACACCTTCAGCCACGGACACACACAGCAGCAACGGCAAGCAAGCTTGGTCATTGCCTTTACTACCTTCTCTTTGGTTCTTGCAGGTGCTGGATACATCTTGATACTGTTCGTTTTAGCAGTGTTGTTCCTGAAAGCATCATGCGGCTTCTTGAAGGAGACGGTGTACCCACGTATATGTCCTGGCCGCTTCCTCGCTCTGGATGTCGTCCAAGCCATTGTGCCCTCTGTCTGAACGAGATCCAGGCCCAGGAAGTAACGCAATATTCTTGCTACATATGCATAGTATAAATCTTTCAGGAGAAGCCAAAAATGTACTGAGCGGTCACCCCTCCTGCCATGATCTACCTCAGCTTTTTTTCGTCCATCTTCAAGTGGGATGGTTTCAACATATCGCAGCTAAAGACTGAACAATGCGGTGGCCAGTTGTATGTTTAGGGCACGTGCTGCTGTCTTCGCTAGAAGGCCCCCCCCCCCCCCCAGTTTACGTCCATGAGACAAGGGTTGGACTAGGTTTGCCATGCAAGCCGCTGGTGTAGTCATGATGAAGGTGGTCCCAGTCGCATGCTGAACGCTCGATCCTTAAAAACCCCACCAACCCTATAAGACACTACACAACACCATAAATTAAATCTTCAGAAAGGCAAGGCGCTGGCCATGTCCAGGCTCCTGCTTGCAGGCGTACTGTATTGGCCCAGCATGGGCCCCTCATGCTGAGGCAAGGCAAGGCATTCTCTCTGCTGCCTTCGGGCGATTGCGTTTACAGATATTTTCATGACGACCCAAAGCCTGCGAGGCTCCCGAAATCACCAATCTATTTAGTTTCATGCCCCGGGACGACTAGATCTCAACTCAGGATTGGGCAAGTGTGAGGATAACACGTTGCCAGTACTCGGGAGGTCACAGCTGAGAACTCCCAAGTCTCCTATCAATAATTCGATTCATGTTTGGGACTGGAAGCTCTTTTCTGCAGTCTCGCGCCCGCTGAGGGGGCACGTGCTTCAGATCAAGGACCCCGACCAGGTTGTATAGTGAGGTCTTTAGATGCAACACTTGGTTGATTTGGGGAGCGATGCGAAGCAGCAATTACCAACCGTTCTGAAGCACACCAGCCAGGACGATGGAAAGGATGCGCGCATGTTGTGCTAGCTGGCAAAATCCGCCGCTGACGGTGCAACACACCGCCGCCAAGCTCGCTGTCAGGGGACTTGTGTTTCGGTGAAGTTGGGGGCTTTTGGCCGGTGATCGACAGTTGGTTGCAGTCCCCTCAGCTCAGGAAACGTGCCGAGTCTCTGAGTCTTTGAGGCCGGCAGGCGGGGCCGTTGAAGTTTGCCTAGATCGCGGGCTGTACAAGCGTTTGCCGCGTTCGGGGCGAATTCTTAGAAGTCGAGGGACTCCAGCTCTCCTCCGCCAAGCCAAGCGTTTTGCGCCTGTGTGTGAGCTAATATGTCCATGCTGCTGGCGATACAAAGATCGCCGCTGCGCACTGCTCCAGTTTTAAGAGGTTCTTTCCCAGAGCTTGCGGGGTCCATGCGGCATGCTGCTGAAGTCATGTGGTTCACGTTCTTAGTTTTGTCGCGAGTCGTGCTGCTGGGACATGCTGCACGTTGTGCCAAGTGTATTCCAGAGGGCGGCTGAAATGTCTGCCCCCTGTCACATTGCCTGGCGAACCAGTGGCGCAACTTTTGAAAACAACCCGAAGTGTGGCCAATGCTGTGGTTGCGGAGATGACCTCCTTAAGCATGTTGGCACCTGGATTTTATCTCTCAGGTCTGCCATTCTCTTCTCCATGCGCCATCCGCACGTGAAGGGCCTCAGGAACCCCAGTGCGTCCGACCAAGGCATGATTGCGCATTGCTGGGCTGTTGTTCTCCAGATGGCAATGTGAAGCTTCGCATCAACTAGCAATGCGCTAGCTGTGCTGCAGCTGACGTATCTACACTTGCATGCTTGCTGCACCATCCTTCTCCGCCTTGCTCGGCGAAAGTTAGGTGGTGTCCCTGTACGATGTGCACGAAACCTTTGAAAGGCCAGCAAGCGTCTGCATTCGCTTGCTCGCATGGCTTGCGCTTGGCTGGCAGCCGGGCACATGCAGCTGTCTGGTGTTTTCGATGTCTTCAGCGAGGCGCTTCTTGGTCATGGAGTTTGTCGATGGGGGTGAACTCATTGATGTCGGCCTGGCTCCATTCAGGGGGTTCGTACGCAGCAGCATGCCGCGTTTATGGCAGTGATCAACGTGCGGGGTGAACCCCAACCAACCTATTTGAAGTTCTGCATTTTCCAATGTGTCCTTCATGGTGTCGGTGTTCAATCGTCTGGAAATCTGGAGGAGATCGACACGAATGGCCCTCTTCCGGAACATGAGGCCTTTCGGTGTACAGTGTCTAAGAACATGCTGCTGGAGTTGCCTGGTTTTCTTCAGCCTTTCTAAGCTTCGTGGCACTGGCGCGGAATGACTTGGCGCAGCATGCAATGTCAGGCCAGGTACGTTTTTCTACAAATCGTACTTGGCCACAGCCTTAAAACTGCCTTACAGGTATTCTACCCTGAAGCTGTTGTCCGAGCTGCTTGAGTCTGTGGTGCCTGAGGTCTCAGATATATTCACTCCAAGGGTGTGGCCACAACCTCAGTAGTGAACAGCTGCAAGGCTCGGTTGTAAGAGTAGGTTGCAGCAAATGGTGGCGAATGGTGACATGTGGCGGGGCACCAGCGCAGGCAGCACTTGCTTTGCGAGGTGCATCGAGACCTGAAGCTGGAGAATGTCTTGGTGGACAAAGTTCTGCCAGGGCGCTGAGTAGCAGGACCTCATTTGCGAACACCTTTCCCCCTGAAAGGAAGTAGTGCTTGAACCAACCAGCAATACACCAGGCGCAAGATAAGGGAACGCCTCACAACCGGGGAACCTTTTGCTCTGAGGTCCCAGCCGGGCCTCCTCCAGGTCAAAATCTCGGACTTCGGGCACTCCAAGCTGGCCAGGGCCCTCGACATCCTCCCTGGTCCTGGACGTAGTCATATGATAATATGAGTTGTAACGAGGTGAATGATGGCTACAGCAGGCCGTGGTCCCAGGCGCCAGCACACTGTGACATGTTGCGACTAATGCTGTAGTGCCATTAAAAGAATCACACCTTTTTTGGCAGCTTCCATGGTCCAGTATGGCCCCGCCGCCAGCCATTTTGACCTCAGAGTCCTGACTTGTGATACGTTGGCGCTTGCCCAGTATGGCCGGAAACTTCAAGGCCCGGACTGATCGAACGCTCACGGAAGTGTTGGTTCATTGACACCTGCAGTCTTCTTGGACCAGCCACTCAAAGCAAGACCACTCAAGACCTTCAGTATCACAGGATCAGAGTATAATGGTATCATAATTAGTATCATTGTATCATTGCATCATGGCATCATTGTATCATTATACTGGTATTTTTTGTATTTTGGTATCCCAATATTCTCGTATGATATTGTTATCATTAACATTATCATTACTATTGTTATGATAGTTATTACTATTCTTATACTACTATGCCCCAACTCACCTCTTGGCCTGTTTCCAGGTCTGCGTTGTCGGCGGTGCCGGTGGCATTGGCCAGCCTCTGAGCATGCTCATGGCCATGGATCCGAATGCCTGGAGCCAAGCCGGAGCTGGGGTACAACAATCATGTAGAAATTTAATTGTGCAAAAAAGACCTAAATACCAAAATGTTATAATGCGAGAATTCTGTAGGACCCCAATACTGCAGCACCATAATACTAGAATACTGGAATACCAGAATACTATAATACTGCATGACGACTACAATACTATAATGCTATAGTACGACAATGCTAAACTACCATAGTGCTATAATGCTACAACACTATACTACCATAACACTTCAAGACTATAACACATAACTTATTACAAGATGGTATGATGCTTCTGGGCTTCCACAGTATTGTGATCCGTGGCTAGTGTTCGTACAAGATAAAGAGATCCATCATGATCAGGCCTCTTCTTGTCGCCACCTAGTTACAAGCTCTCCGGCTGCGGCAGGGGTTCAGCTGTTGCCTCTGCAGCAGGTCCAAGGTATTGCTGCAATTATCAGATCCATTTGGGGATACCTGACACAAGATTCAGCCTCAACCGCATGCTTGAAGCCATCGCCACCGGTAGCATCGAGTTACTCAGTTACTCCTCTTAGAGTCTCTTAGATACCGGGCTCAGGTCTCGGAACTCTGCGTGTACGTTCCGTTCTCGGCTGAAGGGATGGGTTGAGCCAAGACTGGAGCATTCTATTGCAGATGCCGGTCGGTCGCCTCTGTAGCCCCGTCGCAGCAACCAATGCAGGGAGTTGATCATAAGGTGTTTGTGCATACAAGCCGAGGACCTCACGCTGGCCATGGTCCCGGCAGAGGGTGTCGCCGCCGACCTGTCACACCTGAACAAGAAGTGCAAGGCTGGCGGTTGCCTCTTCCGAAAAGGTGCAATGACCTTTCTTGGTCCGGCTTGAAGATGGGGATGAGGAAGCTGCAATCAGGTTGAAGTGAACTTGTGCCTTGACAGCGTGGGCTGAGTGCCTGCCGTGAGCAGTGACTAGTGATGAGTGGCGAGTTGCTGCATGGGGCGGCTTTTCAGGGTCTCTGTCCGCCTTCCGGTCTCTTCAGCAAGGGAAAACTGCGCGATCAGTTCAAAGTTCTTTACGGCTCCCACGACTGTGGGAGGTTAAGGGCTACGCCTTCGACAAGGACGACAAGGCCATCGACAAGGTGCCGACAGCTTGCGACTTCTTGTTGCAGAAGCCCTCAGAAGTTTTCAGCTCAACAGAGCTCAGGCCGGTGAGTGCCTCGGTGGCTGCCACTTGGTCCTTGTCCCGGCCGGTGTGCCCCGAAAGCCTGGGCAGGACACTCACAGAGAGCTTTCCTGTCGGCTTGTCCGAAAGTTAGGAAGGTCAGTGCTGGCAGCAAATGGGAAGGACCGAAAGGACTTGCTCAACATCAACGCAGGCATTGTCGGCGGCTTAGGCATTGCGCGCTTCTGTTCAAGCCAGATTGGCAGTCTGAGTGCCAAGAAACTTCGAGTCCTGGCTTCACTGGTCATGTCGGGAGTCGTGGGTGTTGCAATGGCATGCCAGGCAAAGAACATCGTGGAGGCATGTGCAAAGCATTGCCCCGAGGCCTTGCTGGCTCCCAAACTTTAGTTGGTGTTTAACCACGAGTCATGAGGCTTCAAGCATTGTTCGACCTGACTGCCCCAGCGTGGAATATGGTGCGCTTCTGTGAGGCAGTGGTTGGTCTGATTGTGAACCCGGTCAACTCCGTGGTGCCAGCCATGTGCGAGCTGTGGAAGAAGAAAGGCAGGTTGCTCAACCTTGGCTAAGCAAGCCGGCCGAAGCAGCAAGTAGATGAGTTGGTGAGGCTTGAACCCGGCCAAGATTGTGGGCGACGCTCAGCTGCCGAAGCAGACTGAAGGGTTTTCAGGTTTTCATTGCAAACTGCCACCAGCAACATGGCATAACATGGTGGCTGCTTCATTGCGCCCTTGATAGCAGCCACTTTGAGAACCACAAGTCGCCCAGGTGACCTTGTGGGTTTTTTTCCATAGACGGTCCTATAGAGCCAGTGGCGGCTGCAACGCGTCTGCAGCTGTTACGGGAAGTGCGCGCAGCGGCTTAAGGTCACAACCTTGGATGTCGTGCGGGCGGACAAGTTTGTGCACGAGATGACCGGGCTTCCCATGGATAACATCGGTGTGCCGGTGATTGGCAGCCCAACAGCATTTTCCATCGGATCGGTAGGATGCGACTTTGGGACTGTAAAAAAAATATATATTAACTGGATGCAGGCTTGATGTCAGCTGTTCTCAGGTGGCCATGCTGGCACCACGATCCTGCCCTTGTTCTCCCAGTGCCAGGCTCATCCTGTGCCGCTTGACACTGACCGCAGGCCTCAGAAGGCATGGGGGTGACAGTGATTGCAGGTGGGCAAGACCATCCCAGCGGACAAGGTCCCGGACCTTGACAAAAAAGTACCTTCCTCAGTTGCTGTAGGGAGTGGGACAATGACGGCAGAGCGCATGGGGTGCCCCAAGATGCTGGCAAGGTCCAGGATGCCGGCACCGTCGTCGTGGCAGCCAAGAACGGTCACATGCTCAGCTTCTGTGCGGTTCTTCACACGTGTTTCTCTTCTGGTCTCTCAGAGGCAAGGGCAGCGCCACCCTTTCCATGGCCTACGCAGGGGCTCGCCTTGGCAAGGTAGCTTCGGTGCGATGCAGATGCAGATGCTGGAAAGCGTATCCTCGGTCTGCCCTGATCCGGAAGCACCAAGCTGCTTGCAGGCAGTGCTCGCCGGCTTGAACGGTGAGGTCTCCATAGAGTGTCCTGGCATGTCCTTGCTGGTTGTGTGCTTGGACACCCCGCCCCGCGGCCCTCCCCTAGTACTTGGACTCACTTGGACTCCAAGCTATGAGGTGCGCCTACGTTGAGTCGAAGGTCACAGACCTGCCATACTTTGCGTCCAAGGCCGAATTGTCTCCATTGTCCGTGATCAGAACGATAGGTTCGGAAAGTGTCCACTTACTGTGTCAACGAACGGATTTCGGAACATGCAGTGGCAAACGAAAGCAGCCTGTCCAACCAGTGCAGGTGACCTTTGGCAAGCAGGGCGTGGAGACCGTTCATCCGATCGGGGATTTGAATGCGTACGAGCCCTGCCAGCAATGCTGCCGACATGAGAAGCGAACGCAGATTTCACATTCGTGCGCCATCCCGCCGTCGATCGCATGCAACGGTTGACAGGAGTCACTTTAAATTCTCAACGGTTTAAGGCAAGGCCGTCTCTTGTCCCAGGAGCAGGGACGCCTGGATGCCCTCATGCCAATCCTCAAAGAGGAGATCGAAGCAGGTCTGGAGTATGCCAAGGACTCCGGAAGATTGTCAAGTCGGTGCGTGTGCATGGTCGGATTCAACAAACACTTCGCTCAAAACAACCGAAACTGTCATGAGAAGTGGGCAGTTCCGAACTCACAGACTCACAGGGAACGCCCGCAAACGTGGCCTCGAGTTGTTGCTCGTGCCGAGGGCAACGAGTTTGCCAGTGGTGAACCGAGAAGTATGCTCTGAGGGAGTCAGACGCGTTGAATTCCTCCAGTTGGTTTGAATTCCCAGCGCACCAGGGCTATCAGAAGAGTACGAGGAGTAGGTCGAATACTTGGAGTGACAATCGTCCTCACATCCAGGTAATTGGTACTTCCATCCACATCTGCTGTACTATCAGTAGTTGGTCCACACGGTGATGAACGTCTCATTTTGGGCTTGCGGCAGGTATTTGTGGGATGTGGGAAGCTAAGCTCAATCGGGTAAATTCAAACCAACTAGAGAATATGTTCCAAGTGCCTGTGCCACAGCCAAGCCGCATGGCCCAAGTAGTCTTGATAAGATTGCTTGCCTTCCAATCATCAGTGTTTTTTAAGACTGAATGGATAAGAGTGTGCCAGTGGCCTTCGCAGCTTTCTTCATCACGTTTCGGCTGAAAAACAACAGAGGATTGTTTGGTTTGTTTACTCAGAGGCGCCCAGACAGGGCTAAAGGGGGTGAGCTACCATGTATTGCAGTCGCTCGAAGCAATCGTCTCGGCATGGGAACTTTTTTTGACTCGCTTCTGCGGTTTGGCTGCACATGGAAGTTTGGTTGGAGACCAATGATAATGAGAGCACTCTGCACAATCAAGTCATGGCGTGTGCAGAGGCAGTACACCTGCACTTTTTAAGACACGTTTAGTCGATGGACAGGACATGAGTGAGAATGGGTGCGTTGTGATTTTGAGATGCGCTGCCTGCTTGGAAGGAGAACGAGTTCGCTGCGTGAGTTTTCATATCTGTTTCGAGGGCTTTAGCCCGGCGGCCTATAGCAAAGTGCCCAGAACTCAACTTGGCCCGGGCTTCTAGGAAGCCCCGGCGGTTTTGGTGTTCTGCTTGTGCTGTCCGTCTGACATCATTTCAAAACTGCCGTGCAGCATCGCAGCTGTGGCTCTGGTACCGAAGTGCTTCCAACATACTCTAACATCGAAACTCAAAGAAGGCCAGCAAAGTGGCTCTTCTTGCCTATTGATGTGTTGAAGATCAGCTGCGGTGCAAGGCGTTGCGTTAGAGGGTCGGCCTTCAAAAATTGTTTGGACCACCTTTGAGTCACTAACAAAGGATGTGTGCAGAGTGGAAGAAAAGCGGCTTCGCCACTTCACTTTTGAATCGTCAGCCGTTTCCCGGCTCTGCTCACCAGAATCGCTCGTGAGAGCTGTCGAAGGTGGGGACTCCAAACTACTGGGCTCCTGAGGCGTGGGCCCCAACACAGCCACCTTTTAGAAGGAGATCTCTGCTGTGAGTTGCCCTGCAAAACAGCGACCAGTGGACCTAGACCAGGGCTTCAGTGCTGCCAGAAAGCCTGAAGCAAACTTGAGAAGTAAACGCGTTTCAAACTGCGAGGTTGCCAATGCTTCGGCGGGCGGCTACGACGAGAGGGTTGCTCTGCCAGTTAACCGATGACCGGGGTTCGGGCTTCTAGTGTCGGAGCAGCAGTTTGGGGGGGTGATTTGGGGGCGGTGTGTGTGTGTGGGGGCGCAGCGCCAGGCTTCCCAAGCTGAAGTGAAGTTTCCGAACTCCTGAACCCCCAAACCGCATGATGAGAACAGCCGCCAGATCGATCTTTGGAGCTTGGGGGTAATCCTCTATGTGCTCGTGGAGGGAGTGTGATGCTCTCAGTCCAGAAGCGATACAGCTTTCTTGGGGGGAGAATTCTGGGATGGTTTGTGCAGTGGAGACTCCTTCAGTGCCGTGTCGGTGCACACTTGGGTTCCTTGTGCTCCACGGAGTGCTCTCCGAGTCTCCGAGGCTTCCCTTCCCCAGTCGTAGCCGCTGCGACATGCCGAAGCTGGTCTTTCAGGACTGGCGGGTTTAGGATGTCTCTGTGTGAGGTTTCGGGAGTTTAGCGGGTAGGGTACAGGGTTTAGCAGGTTGCAGGGTTCGGCGAGTGTTCGGCGAGTGTTCGGCGGAGGGACCCAGTGAGGGGGGAGTGAGGGGGAGGGGAGAGGGAGGGGGAAGAGGGGGGGAAAGGGGTTACTGCTGTTACATCGTGGACTTGACACAGGAGGATTGCAAGCTGAGCCGGAGCCTCGACCTGCCGTAATTGAAGAGTTGGCGATCAAAACTCGTATCAGCTTCATGGCCCTTGAGCTTGCGGCTGATCCCCTATTTGACCGGGTCTTTGGTCCCTTAAGCCGCATGAATCCTGTCTCAAAGTTGAGGGCGTTCGTGCCTCGAAGTCGTGACACATTGCAATAAGACTGAGGGTGAGTGAATATCGAACGGCACGAACTCACAGTGCGTAATGTGATAATAGCGTGCGAACTGTGCGCAAAGCTGTTTCATTTCTATTAGCCCACGAAGTGCACGCCTGAAGTGAATGAAGTGAACGTGCACCTTTTCCATTGTACTTGCAAGAACACCACGCACTCATATGATTACAAGACATTACAAGGACGTGCGTACTAATAATATCATGAAGGAAAAGACAAGGGGGAAAACCTCATGAACATATTGATGAAGGCACGTGCATTCTTTACCGCCGTTTGCATACCATTTTTCATGTGGGCTGATCGATAGCAGGATGGAGAAAGCGGCTTAACATCCAGGAGTCTCAATGGTTTTTGCCGGCCATGCCAGAACTTTCCGACTCTCCTGCCAGTGCCTTGCCTCTTCCAGGGGCCAAAAACGGCCAAAGAACACAGGACAGAGCAGAGCAAAGAGATGTAAAGGATAAGGACAACTCAATGGCAGACACTTTCCGACCGCTCCCGAAGCCAAGGCAACCTGGCCCGACATTTGACTTGGAGCCTCATGCGGATCAAGCCTGAGGTTCACCTGCTCGTGTGGCTCGTTTACCCCTCTGCACCCCGATTACCAGATACTACCAGTTTTGTCACGGCAGGACCGCTTATCACTGGACGACTGCCTCTCGCACCCTTGGGTGAGAGCCCTTGGAGCTCAAGCGAGCAAAGTCCCACAATACTCCCTGGTATCGACGTTTAAACAACCGTATGCGGAGCTGTTGAGGCGATGAGCTCCGGGCTTGTGGGGCAAGTGGTTCAGCCCGGAGCTCGAGTCGGGTGTCTCTTGTGGAAGCAGGATTCTGTTTTCGATCCTGAAGGCGACCCAAGAGGGGAGCCCAATGTAGCGGCCATAGAGCAACCCCCTCCTACTCCACCCCACGCACTCCCCCACTCCCCCCCGTCTCTAAAACTTGCACTCAATGTCACGCCAAGGCTCTGTGAAGCGCACTCCCGCCGCGAGCGCGGCGAGCGGGAGCGGCGCGCCGTCCTGCCGCGCGACCCGAAGAACGCCGGGAACAGAGAGAACAGGGATGACCATAGAGTCGCAGGGTGCTCGTGGCAGAAATGTGGAAGTATGCCAAGCAATCTCAAGCCAGAGGTGCGCAAGCTTCGCCGCGAGCTTTGCTTATACCAGCGATGACTGTGAAGTGAGACCGGGCGTTGGTCCGCCCGGAAGTCTCGGTAGTAGCCTTTTAACTATTGACCATAGGAACCCCCAGCGCCTCCAAGGCAAAAAGCTGCAGGAGCTCACCCTGAGCTCCAAGTACCCTATGTCTTTGCGTGCGCGCAGGGAGGCGTGGGGTGCGAGCGTATAGCCTGTTGCAGCATTGGAGCATTAGACTATGAGCCGGTTTAGGGTCTTGGCAAGTTTGGTGGAGTAGCTGTTCTTCCTGTGACGACGACGATTCTCAGCTGTCATCTCACAACTCAGTCGCAGACTAGTTGACTCAGCATGTTCCTTGGATTTCTCAGCTTTGCACCTTGATGCCTCATAAGCTCAATGACCAGGTAGCCCTGTGCTTCAGAGAGGCTGATGACCCCGAGAGCTCGAAGCTTAAGCAGCAGGAGCGGGGGACACCGCATCGGCATGCGCAAGAGCTGTCGAGTCTTTGTCAAGAGTGCATGCATCTGCTTCATGGTCCTGCTGCCAGCAGTAGCTTTCAGACTTCCAGCTTATCAGCAGCCTTCGTGCCTGAGGTGTCAACGCAGCTTGGCAGGCGCAAGATGTACGCATTGCACGTGCTGAGAGGCTGAGAGTTCGTTTCGGATAAGTGGAGAGCGAGAACAATCAGGGATGCAACCTGCACTGCAGGACCTGCAGGCTGTTCTTCAATCCGAGTTCCGAGGGAATCTCCAAAGCTATGAGGCGCCAAATGGTGCCAACGTACATTTGAGGGTCATCTCTGCTGAGCCCGGACCCCTATTCGTTCCTGGAACCTCGGATGCCAGGTAGCCCTGGATGCCACCGCGCTGCTCTGCGAGCGGCGTGGCAGCCAGCAAAGCCTGGGCTTCTCAGAGGCGGGGATGTGGCACGTACACGAACGAAGCCACAGATCAACATAGATAAGCGTGGGGAGGCGTACATGACGGATGTCATATTTAGACTCGAGGCCCGACGTGTGTCAATCATGCAGCATACGTACGTACATATGTACCGACACACACCTACATGCACACAACTACATTCGGAAACACCACCCGCATGCATGCAGACAGCCAACCAGACATACCTCCATGCATGCATGCATACATGCATACATGCATACATGCATACATGCATACATGCATACATGCATACATGCATACATGCATACCTGAGACTGAGGTTCCTAAGCAATCTCAGCGTGCCGGTCGTAGCTGTTTCGTGCGCAGCACAGGGTTTTCTCCCATGCATGGTTTTCCCTGTTCACATACATGAATACACTCATACATGTGTGCGTGCATAAATTAAGTCACAGAAGAAGATTTCTTTTCAAGCCCGACCACGGGCCACCTTCTTTCAGGAGAGGATTGATGAGCAGGACTCGGAGCTCGAAGCCCTCGTTGCCGCCTTCCCAGAACAGGGACGGCACAACTATGTAGAGCAGGTCCGAAGATGATCGTCGTCGTCGTCGTCGTCGTCGTCGTCGTCGTCGTAGTCGCAGTCGTAGAAGTCATAGGCGTGGTAGTAGTCGTAGTAGGGGTAGTAGTGGTAGCAGTCGTAGTTGTCGTAGTAGTCGGAGTCGTCGTAGTAGGTGTAGTAGTCGTAGTAGTTGTAGTAGTCGTAGTAGTCGTGGTAGTCGTAGTAGTCGTAGTAGTCGTAGTAGTCGTAGTAGTCGTAGCAGTCGTTTCGCGGCTTGTGTCCTTGCACGACGGTGCCACTAGAATGAGAGAGCCTCGCCATAGGCGATGTTCCCAGACTGCGTGGAGGCCTGGGCCTCTTTTGCCGTGCCGTTCGCCTTGCAGCTTTTCAACCTTTCGGGGGCAGAAGGGCTTAAAAGCTTGCAGCGAGCTTTGAAGGATCCAAAAAGGCACACGTTACCGGCAACCCTGAGCCAGGCTGCCACCGGAAAGTTCGCTTCAGCTCCTAGGCATGTGGAGGCAGGCTAAAGCAACGAAACTCAGAGCCAAAGCTGGAGACCACGCTCCCAGCCGAGTTTTGAGTTGCGAGGTGTCACTCAAGGGCGAGCAGCACAACCTCTGGCTTCGGCTTGAGTTGCCGCGCTGCCCTCGTCGTCTTCGTCAAAGTCTCCTTGAGTGACGAAGTGTGAAGTGGCGAAGAATCCATGACTTTCTGTTTTTCTGAGGCATACGTACCCTTCAGGAAGCACTGGGCCAAGAAGTCACTGTGATAGTCAGACCTGGAGTGGCCTGTTGGGAAGATCCCGGGTATGAGCGTGCGAGTGGGGTTCGTGCTCCACCTGCAAACCGCACCAAGGCCGCCCACCTGAGCTGACCCACATGATGGTGCCTAAGCCTCGGAACGAATCCTCGTGAGTCGCGAGGAATTCTGAGAGTTGGTGCCGCTTTCCGAGCTTGAGTTTCGTTCTTCCAGACACTCAGATTCCAACAACAGCCCCCAAGTCCCCTTTCCCTCTTTTCCCCACACCCGTAACCCTCCGCTCCTGAAACCATGTCTAACAACCTCCCAGGCACGAACGGCTGGACTCGCCCTGGCCACTCGAAGCGCAGGAGAGGCTGTTCGGGCCCCAGCTCAAGAGGTTTAGGGTTTAGGGATGTTTAGGGTTTTAGGGTTTAGGGCTTAGGGTTTAGGATTGTCGGAGCATCAAAGGGAAGGATCTACTGAGCTGGGCCGGTTGTCTTGGACAATGTTGAACATCCCATTCGGTGTTTCCCTTAGGAGAGTACCTGTTCAGGAATGCTTTCCCAACGGTTCAAGGCACAACTCCGTTTGCATTAGGGCATCTACTATGCGTTTTGAAGTTGGTCTCCGGCACTGTTCAGCCGTCTCTGCCCGGGTTTCAGAGCTTAGGCGGAGGCACATCCGGGACTTCCTCAGTGGCCAGGTTATGGGCGCAGCCCCTCAAGGAGGGGGGGGGGGGGGGCGTTGACCTCCCGTGATCTTGGTGCACCGCGAGCTGCAGAGGAAAGGGCTTGCACATGTTCGTTTGCGGGGCCCTCAGCCATGGGAACGATCTGCTCTTGCTGTTGATGTCTCTTTGAAGAGAACCGCGAGCCAGTGTCGAGACCTTGCTCTTTCTGACTATGCCCCTGACCCTAAACCCTAAATCCTAAACCCTAAACCCTAAACCCGAAACCCTAAACCCTAAACCCTAAACCCTAAACCCTTCCAGGTTGGCTGCAAGAGCACCTCCTCGACTACCTCAGCGGGCTGGCGGAACCCGTGGAGGAGCTGTCCCTTGGCCTTGGGGCCTTCAGGATGGGATACGATTCCACATAAGTCTTCGCATCTCGCAATTAGCTCTTGCAAACTACGACGAGGTCGCCTGCTCAAACCGTGCTGGAGCCAGACAAGGACCCGGCCAATGAAGCATCCGACAGCCCTGGTCTCAGTAGCGGTGCCCGTGGAGTGAGAAGAAGCATCACTGAGCATCCTGATGTCATCATGGCTGCTTGAGGTTCAGTCCCGGCCACACCCAGCACGACCTCCAGAACGGAGGAGTTTGCGCGTGTTTCGGTGATTGCCAGAGCCTTGGCACACGGTTCCCGCCCACGCCCACTTCCAAGTGTGTTGCAGTGTGCCGTGCGCAGGCACACCACCATGACGAGAAAATGGATGCAACAGGCCACCGGCTTTGGTGATGTGGGGAGCTGGAAGTCGGTCCAATCTCTATAAGGCATTCAGAATTGGTGAGGATGCTTTTTTTGCCATGAGGTCACAGGTCACCCGCATGGCTCATGATCGCGAAAGCTGATGTCTGTTGTGGCACATGTAGTGTTTAGGCTCCGGCCGTGCGCTTTCTCTGTTGCAGGTCTTAACTCTGACAGGCTGCGGCCAAGCCTTCGAGGAAAGTCAGGGCCTCGTGCTGCGACCCGCGACTGAAGGAGCGATCCATTCCTTTACTTCTTGCATCCTCCTCCCTTAATTGCTTCAGTAGGTCCAGTAGTATGACTTCGTATGATCGCGGATGACAATTCCCGAGGGCCTTCTTTACGCACCTCAAAGGGAAGTTCTCACAGGCGTGGCTCTGCTTTCCGCTCTGAAGCTTTTCTCTCTGTCTCTGCGTGAATGGTGCACACCGCCGCAACCCATCCTCCATCTCCCCCTCCCTCCCTCCCCCCCGTTCTCCCCGCCCCAATGTGCCCCCCTCGAAATGGCCCGCATCAGTCGTGGTGGTTGAACTTCAAAGGCGGGCCTGGTTCCTTGCCCAGGTCCCCCAGTGCCGTGTTTCCTCCCTGATGCAGCCGCGCTGTGCACACTACCACACAACATGGGTCAAGCTGTCTCCCGGATCAGCATGTGCTTTTCACGTCTGGTTCTTGTTTCTTGTCCACGGACAAGTGCCGCAACACAATTCCAATTCCTTCCGCGCTGCAGATCACCGGGTTCTTGAGCTTTGGCAAGCCGGCCCTGCTGCCACCAAGCTGCACGAACTGGCCTTCGAGCTCTTAGCTCTCGAAAGCATGCTTCAGTTTCAACTCTGTTCTTACACTAAGGCTGGCCGAGGGACCGGAGAACGACTTGCACAATCTTATTCAAGAGGCCCCTTTCTGAGCAGCCCGGTTGGGATGTGGGCTGGACGTTGTGACGTTCAAAGGCAGAGGCCACTGCACGGTACACACCTGTTGTGCCATGATGGACGTGGAAAGTAGGCTCTGCGCTTGGCTTGCAACCCCATGTGCCAGGCCAGGAAATTTCCGAAGTGGTGGGATGTGGACGTCAAAATGTCCATGGCCCCGGATCCAACAGTCGTAAGGCTTGCGTAAGGCCACGTAAGAGATAGCTTCGGCCTCGCTCCAGGTTTGACCGACGGAGAGCAGTGGACACAAGCGCATGGCGAGCGTTCACGGACTTTAGAAAGGTCAAGACGGAGGCTGGGGCTTGCGAGTGTATTAAAGCACCCGTGTAACATCTTGTAACGGGGCCTGCTGTTTATACGGCCTTGTGCAGCCTTGAGAAAGGACATCGATGCCATCTTGAAAGCCCTTCCAGCAGAGTGGCTTGTCTGTTCTGCCTCGCTTAGTTGCGTAAATGCTCCTTATATTTCTTTCCCTCCATGAACATCGTAGTCTACGTCTAAGCAGCGTTCTGAGGCATTGCAAGCTCTACGAGGCGAACCATGTGCTGTTGCTTTCTTCGGGTGCGTGATCGACCTTTGGCGACTGCCAGGACGTGCTCGTTGGCACAACCTTGGACCAGAAGAAGCGGGAAAAAGCTCGCAAATCGTCGAAGAAGTAGAAGGCCATCCCATTGAGGCCATCCCAGTCACCGAGTGGGAACAAGTAGCCACTGTGTCCTCCACGCACGCAGCTTGGATTCTGCGAGGAGCCGAGTGGAGCAGAAATGATTTGTGTGTGGTTCACGCCGCTTATCTCGACAAGCAGCTCGCCATGCTTTTGTAGCCGATCTTAGACACCAGCTGCAGTCAGAACGTTGGATGCGAGAGTCAAGGTCTGTGGTCACCACGGGTAGCTTTCAAGTTTCACCTCTCCGAGCAAAAAGCCGAGCACTCAATGATGCAGGCAGCAGGTGAAGAGACCACAGTATCCAAACGCAGATTCAGCTACTGAATCTCCCCATTCTCCACCTGCCATCACCTGCCCCAGTTGAGATGGAGCCCTCAAGCAGATCTTGCATTAGCAACGCTCTTCGTCGTTCGTACGTCCCAGCCTCGCGCGCACGTTGAAGACTCTGCCCATCTCGACTGTCGTGTGCATATCTTGTAGAGTTAGGATTAGCTGTCCTTAGAGCTTCGGCCGCATCTTTCGACAAAAGAGACCTGCTCTGTCGCATGATGGTCGATGCAGTCAGGCCGAGTTCGGGAGCCGAGTCTCAGGTTTGTAAGCACGCAACAACTGGCAGTAGCCAAAATAAACGCCACGCCTGCCTTCGGTGCCTTGGAGGTCTCTGAAAGGCAAAGACCCGGAGTCTGGTCGGGCTCAGTTTGGCAGCCCGGGGCTCGGTCGCTCACGCGGCTTGAAATTTTCGGGGCTGGTTTTCACGAGTGCGCGTAGCAGAACGCACATGGTGCAGTTGGTATGCCATGGCATTGCACTCATGTGCAAGCAATCATGCTGCGGCTTTGAAGCCCTCAAAAACAAAGACAGTGCATGAACACTCTGCATGAGGATGAGGTTATCCTAACTTTTACCTGTTCAGCTTTGCATTGAGAGCCGCGAGTTGCAACGCCAGCACGAGAATCAAAGCACTCAGCACACGCACGCATCTGGACAAGCAGTAACACACATTCAGCCCTAACGACCACGACCTGCAACGAGCATGAGTTATTCGGTACAGCTCGACAACATCGCCAAGAGCAATGTGAGCTCAGCAAGGAGGACCGGCAGCTAAGCCCGAAAGTTCCACGACATCAAGTCAAGCCGTCTAACCGTGGATGTTGAATGCCTTTCGGCCTTGCCTTGTGAGTGATAGGTTGCAATCCAGACTCCGACTCACCTGCCTCCATAGTATCTCACATCATATCTATAGGAGGAACGGAAGCCTTGCCAGGAGGCTCGAACAACTGGAAGACCAGCTGCGAGCTTTGCCAGAGGCGGCCGCTGCACTTGCAGCACAGGAGTGCCGCTGCCATGGGTGCGGTGATTCCAGGTGGGCCCATCATCTTCGCTTTAAGGATATTCTACAGGGCCCAAAGGTGCAAACCAGAGTCTTCAGCCACACAATGATAGGAAATGCTATTGTGACAACTCTGCGGTCGGAGTCTCTGGAGGAGAGACAGCTGCAGTCGCTCGAGAAGCTGGTGCGGGCTATGCCGGCAGAGAAGGATCTTCAAAGAAAGGCGGACGGCCAGAATTGTCGGTGCCAGTAGATGATAGGGCCGCAGGTAGCCTTGTAGTATCCTAATCGTGAGCGTCATCATGAGGGACATCTACCTGAGGATGGACCAATTGGGGGGACGGGAGGGTTTTGCGGTTTATGTGGCAGTATGTATGATTGTCGGTGTGCCCTGCGTTGAACCTCTCTTTTGCCGCATGGGCGCGACCTCGAGCCCAGGGGATTTGAACAACAGTACCTAAAATCCTGACAGCTGAGTCCCAAGGCCACAACCAAGCCCAAGGACGTGGCATAGGCATTCCAGCGCAGGCTAACTTTCCGTCTCCAGAGCTCGGTGCTGCTCGTCAGGCCCGCGCCCTGCGCAGCCTGCTTGAGGATCTGAAGGCCGGGAGAAAGGTCGAGGCGTCTGCGGGCTGCCTTGCGGCTGCCGAGCCGATCCCCGAGGAGCAGGAGGAGTCAGTGAGGCACGTGGCCTCCTTCCTGCGACTTGATTCTCGAAGGAGTGTGGTTGACGCATGTTGTCAAATGTCACCTCAGCTCGTGTGGCCTTCAGTGACATTAAGGCAGAAGCCCGAGGACGACGTCCGCTTACTTGCTGCTGAGGCTGCCTGCTGGGCTTCTCCATTTCTTCTAGGTAGATGTGGATTCCCAGACCTTCCTGCAACGGTACATATGCCAAAGCCGTTCGCAACCAGGGCACGCTGTCGGAAGAGCTCTCCAAGTATCCGGTGCTGGCGTGTGCAGAGGGCTCTGCGGTCTTCTTGCGCAGCTGGGGAGAAGAGGCCCCCGGCTGCGCTGTGCTAGTGCTGTGCTGAGCTGCGACCTCGGCGAATTTTGGTGCCGCACTTGCACTTGCTGTCCGCAGGACGACCACGAAGAGAATGAGCGCCGTCGACTGGCTGTGCTGGAACTCAGCCAGGCTGCCACGAACCTTCAAGAGATCATCGGGCTAATGCCCAAACAGCTGGCTGCTGATCAGGAGATGAGAGAATCGAAGTCGCACAAATGTGGCAGTCATCCATGAGCTGAATGAACAAGCACCAAGCTTGTACTTGCACCAGGAGTCCTTGGATGCAGCAGAGGCGCAGGTGGCACACACGAAAGACGTGACAGAGAAAACTGCCGAAGCCTCATCGGGGCACCTGCGTATAGTGTGACATCAGAGTACATCAGTCCAAAGTATGATCTCGCAAAGGGTTTGTAGATCTTTTGGCACTGACAGTCTTCCGCCCTAGGTCGTGATTTTGGCGGAGGCCGCAGGCCACAAGCAGACGTGCCTCGCCAGTGGAACTGATCGTGCGAACAAAGAGCTTTTGCTCATCATGAACCTGAGGAGAGTGGGATGCCTGTCGAGTAATGTGGGACAGTCCCGGTTCATGGGAGATGAATAGAACTTGAATTGCATGCAGAGTCGTTCGTTCGTACATGGGCTGAATGTGACATTCGCCGCTCAGCTGGAGTACGAACCTGCACAGACTGCAAATCTTTGTGCGATGAGGCAGTGGGTGCTACCATCGCTGGCCATAACTCTCGTGGGCGGTGCCGCCGTGCTGACCTGCCCTGCAGCAGCAGCTGCTCGAGGCACACGCAAGTTGCTAAGGTGGATCGGAATTTAGACGGGTAGCTGAGAGTACACCCCTGTTGCAGGTATGCTCCTTGTGGGCAGTTCGATGGTTTCCTACAAAGCCCTCAGCACTATACAGCACGCCGTCATCACGCAGCTGAAGGATCGATCCAGAATTGTCACGTGAACGGCTTTGAAGTGCCATCAGCTAAAGCAGGCTAAATCGCCAAAGCTGTTCCTGGCAGGTTGTAGTGACATTGTAGTGCTTAAGTTAGCATAGCAGACTTGCTTCCGGGCTCGAGTTCATCGTGTAGCCACGATGGTGACAGCCACACGCTTTTCCAGGCCTTCATCATCCGGGATCCGTGGCTGTTCCGTTGCGCATCACGTTCTGTCCGAGTTGTTGCATGGTGCCATACTGCAATTACACAACCACCTTCGTGTACAGCGCCAAGCAATGCTCGAGCCGCATCACAGAAGTCACAGAAGTGACTAAAAGTCGTCCGTTATCAATCGCGCGCTAAATCTTAAAGTGACTTGTGGCCTCCCCCGTCTCATCCCGACAGTTTGTCACTCGTCTGGCCTGGAGCAGAAGCGATCTCTGCTCTTGCAAGCGCAACAACCAGAATCTGCACGAAAGTGTCGTGCGCGACGTGGACTCTGCTGCATGGTCAAGCCAGAGATAGCCAGCCACAAATGGCGCTATCAGAGCTACGGACAAAGACTGGGCTGAAGCGGATCCTACCGACATGTCGGTCCTGAAATCGAGCTGACGTCCCCATTTGTCAGTCAATAATCCAGCTGACACCTTTGACCTTTAATCAGCTGAACACGCACACACACACACAGCAGGGAAAGAACTCGCTCCGAGCCTGTGAGCGCTCATCCGACCACCTGTGTAAATCAGTAAGCGTGAAGAAGTGTAAAAACTTGCCACAATCGTCGCATTTCCATCAGATGAATCTGGATCGTCGTGCCATGACTACTCCGGTGTCGACTCATAAAAGATAGAGGATCTGCCCAACACAGCAACTCGGTTTACTTGAATTGCAATGTGCAGGCGCCCGCAACAGCTGCTGTTGATTAGAGTGCAGGAACACTTGCTCATGGAACCCTCCGGGAAAGTCACGTTGCTGATGGCCACAGCTGACCGTGCACGCTGCGCAGAGATGTGTTGAGAGTTCGTTCATGTTTTGAGAGTGCAGGATCAGTTGCCCCGTGCGTTTGAGCCACTTCCGGAAGAGAAGGCCAGCCCGCGGTCGAGTTTGAATGTATCTGAAAATTGTTGACTGAGCCGTCGTCACTATTCTGATCAGCACGTGCTTGTGGTGTAGGAGACTGGGCCGCAATTTCACAGCCGAGGCCAAGATGATACGTGCTGGCAGTGAAGAAGCCCGTGACAGGCAGGCGTGCTCGGGATAGGGTTCTTCCAAAGACGGATCAAGCACTGCACGAGGCTGCAGCGAAAGCTTGACGAGTCCGGAAGGTGGAAGGAGGAGTGGTTTATTTGGAAGAAATGGGTATGTCCGGGGGAGGGCACTGAGACTTTGATCTTGCATGTAGAAGAGCAACCACGCACAGAATATCACAGAGTGGCGTGACTGCCGCAGGAGTCCCTGCTACAGCGATTGCGCAAAGTCGCCTCCTGACTGCAGAGTGCCAGAGCCAACTCTTTTGCCTCAGGCAAAACGTTAACCGAATCGCCTTTCCATGGCAGGACCTCTTAGCGCTTCGACGCGAGGCTGGGAGACACTTCTGGAGCTTCCATATGATCCCGAAAGCTGTCCCACGAGGTGCTGCAGACCTGCACCGTCCATTATGCAAAGTCTGATGCGCGTGTGGAGGGGAAGGCTTACGCAGTCTCTTTCACCGTGCCATTCTCAGCCCGCAGGGACTCCATGGGACTCCCTTTGAACCCATCAGTTGGCTTTGACATGCATCCACCTTCGAGGTGGCTCTTCCCCCGGTGCAAGCTTTTCGTGTTCTGCAGCGCAACGTGACAGCTGGATCTATCGATCCCGCATGTAAGGCGCGCGGACCGCTGTCGCTTACCTTCGTGTAGATCCGAAGCACCTTTACGCAACCTGCAGGGCCGCTGTGACGTTCTCCCTGCCAGGTGATGTGGTCGAGGCCTGTGGACTCCGAAGATGGCTCTGTGCACTCCATCCGTCACAGGGCGGCAATTCTGTATGTTCTGCAAGCTTGAGTCGGCATGCAACAATGAGAGAAGACCATCTATGACATGCCCTCATTCACGTATCTAGACATGACATCTCGCCTTGTGGATGTTGATTGGCTTAGAGTGCCTATTAGGAATTCTACAGAGGGAGGCCAAAACCTAAAACCTTTCAAAACCCCCATCGGCCTTAACCTGAACTTTGGCTTTCGGTGTGGCGTCACCCTGTGTCAGGCTATTTGGCCTTTACAGATTGGTTTGTGGGGCGTGTCTCGGCCCAGCATCCCAATTACCCTATGGCTCCATGGCACATCGGAGCCGACATTGTTTTTTCGAAACCTACGATGGTTCCCCAACAGTCGTCTAAGGCGACTTCTGCTGCACGTGCTTCTGTGGCAAAGTACCGAGGGATGATGGTGTGGAGTGTTCCTGAGCTGGTCTGGACAAGCCTTGCAGAGGCTTTGGCCCAATGCGAGTTTGATCATATCGGGACGTAGAGCCAAGGCTATGCCTTGGCGATGACGTCCCTAGGCCACTGGGGCCGCCAGAAGAAGTTGATGGAGACACTAAAGTCTTTGGGATATGTGGGCATATGTGGGCACTCCCCGCAAGACTCCCTGCAAGGCAAAGATCTACTGGATGCCGAGGGGCTGCCGAAACCAGATCCAGGCTGTTTCTTTTGGGTTTGCACGGGACTGCGGAACTTCCTACAGTTGCTCTCTGAATAACTACGCTGGTTGACGCATCTGCCACTCTGAATCGCTGTGATGGACTGCAAGAGCTGCCTGACCTAAGGCCTCGGACGTGGACGAATCTATGCACCTTTTCTGCAAAGAAAGGACTTTTTTATATGAGTTTTATGAGACGTTTTTGGTCAGTTTGGGCAGCAGTGGGGTTTGCCGTCTCCAGGTTAACGTCTAGAAGCCTTGTTGCAAGGTGAGCGGTGTGCGCTTCACTGCTGTGCCAGAGGGTACGAGGGTAGAGGTGATGGCTGCACCTCGTCGTAGCAAGCTACTCGTAGTTGCAGCAGTGATATGCCTCTGCTTGCTCGAATCGGCAACAGAACAGAGATCAAGGACACGGACCCTGATGCACCACTCGGGTACCTTACCCGCATCATCGACAAGAGAGTCAGGACGCACGGCTGCTTTGACCATTTTGGGCCTCATTTGTGGCCTGATCCCTTCCGTACCCTGACTGGTGCTCCGGTTGCCAAGCTGGCAAGGAGTCACGCGTGTGACGTGGCTTTCCTGCTGCAGCGTGAGCTCAGTGCGGCAGGCGCCTAGCAAGATGAAATCCCTTATGCCTTTCCGGAGTCCCTTCTGCCAAGTGCGACGTACTTGCAGGCCATGGACAGGTCGCTTAGAGCGACAGCTGCTAACCTTTGGCCATGTGTGGCCATGCTCAGGGCTTAATGCCTAAAAGTGGCATCGCAGACTTTTCCGCTGTGAGAGATGTGCGAAGCACATCTGCAGCGACTTGCGTGTCTTGCTTTTAGAACCCAGCTCAGTCCCGAGTTGGGAGGTAAAGAATGGTTCTCTTGACCTCTGCCATTGTACAGATGAGGATGGCCATGCGTGTCACGTGTGTAGACTCTGTAGAAGACACGCCTGTGCGGTATGAGAGAAGGTTTGGGATGTTTGGGTTACCTTTCCTAGTTTTGCGGGAAACCGGATACATTCCAGTCCGGTGCAAGGCCACAGGATCACAGGGAAGAGTCGTAGTCTCATCTTTTCCAAGGTGGTGGCGGTGGCGGAGCCAGACAAGGTCGTGCTGAGCCCAGACCCAGACCTAGATCGTTGTTTGAAACTTGCGCTAAGTCCGCTTAGTGTAATAGCCCGATAGGCACCTATGTTTCATAGGATGCCAGAGGGGATGGCCTGTTGGGCAGAGTGGGCCGGCCTCGAACAGGTTAACAGGGCTCGTGCTTAGTGAGAGCCTAGTGCCTAGGAGCTGAGCTCACTGGAGGTGTGGGAAAACGCAGGGGTGGTGCCGGTGGCAAAGGAGGCAGCTACGGTCCTCGAGGCTTGCTGCTTGGGTGTCAGAGCCGGCCTAGCAATACCGAAGCATGCAAAAAATGTGTGTGCATATAATATAGTCTACGTATCTATACATATATATATATGGGTGCGGCTCAAAAGTCTAGGTATGTAACTGGCTCCCGGGCGTCTTTCCGCGACATAGGGTTTGTAACAAAGCCGTTCTGCTTGCGACAAGCAGTCCGCGACAAACCTCCGCGACAAGCCTCCGCGACAAGCCTTTGCGACAAGCCCCTTCTTGGAACTGCATGGGTTTCGTATCTCTTTTTCAAGACAACGCGAAACAGCCGCGACAAACCCCGCGACATACGTATGAAACAAGTGGGCGCGACATACGTATGTAACACAGGCGGGTGGCGGGACACCGCGACATACCCCTATTTAGAGCCACAGCCATATATGTATATATATATATACAAATAAGTATATCGTACTGGTAAGAAGGAAGTGCGGCAAAATGCTGACAAGGGCGGTCATGCCAGAGACGCCTGCTAGGACCGGAGCGGAGGAGCAACAGCCAGCTTGTCAAGAACACAGGCGAGAACGACAAGCGGCTGGAGAAGCACTCAACTAAGGTTTATGCGGTCGGGTTGTGTCTGGCGATGCAACGCGGTCCTATGCGGTTCTTGCATTTGGTGATCCACACCGGATGTCGGATCCATTCCCAGGTTCATTCAGGTCAACAAACTGGACGACGAGTGCACGAAGGCAGCACACCCCAAGCCGAGATCCGACATGCTGCACGGGTTATCACAGGTTTACGAATGGGTCACATATTGCCTCGCTGTGCAATATCTGTGCAGGTTCTTCAACGACACTCCAAGGAGGTGCAGGCTGCTTGCACTGTGTAGGGCTGCCTGTAAGTCGGCTGGCCAGGCGGAGAATGGCAGACCTTTTCTCACTAGAACAGAAATCAGCTTCGCAGAACATGTTGTGGGTCTCTGGCTGCCTCTGGTCTTTGGATCTTTAGTCTTCGGAACCTCTTGGAACCAGTGCCAGTCGGGCATGTTGCTGCCGCTAGTTATCGCTAGTTCAGTGTAAACTGTGAGAAGCCCGCAGTTCAGCTTGCCAGCGAAAGGCTGCTGTCATTGACCATTACCTTCCCGACCTTGCCATTAGGGGCAATCAACACGATGGAAGGCCAGTCTTGGCATGTCTGTTGTAGTTGATGTCCACCTCTGCCGTCTGATACGGCTGCTGCAATGTAATGCAGAAAGCGTATGAAGGGTCGCTCCAGTTCAGTACTGGAGTTCTTCACCTCCTGCTAGGACGCTGAACACAAGCGCTGTCCTGTCCTCGGCCGTCCATGCGCTGATTCTATGTAAGGGTGCCTTCCCAATACGGGGACACTCGCCTTGCCCCCTGCCATCTGTGGACTCTGCTACTTGGCAGATCGTTACTGCGAAATTGGGGAAAGAGCGTCAGAAGATTTTGGACAAGGCCCACCATGCCTGAGCCCTACATCATGTCATGCCTTGGTGTCGTTCGATGCTTTGGAACATACTGTAGCAGATGGAGGCCCTGGACTGTGGTTCCTGCATGAATCTGTGCCGTACTGAGGGCATACGCCTCAAGGAATCCCAGCAGGCTGCTCATGTGCTTGTCCCACCACTCCCCCTTCTCAGAGTGCTGACCTTCGCTCGGCTCTTCAAGTCAAGGTTCCTGCTGTTACTTTCTCCCCAAAGCTTCCCGCTCTGGTGAGGCGGGCTCGCGCAGTCCCGGGGCCTCGCCGAGGCGGCGGAGGCATCTCGCAGCAGCGGAGCAGGGCTGCAGATCCTTGCTGTCTAGGGTCCCGTGTTGAGAGCAGTGCCAAGATATGCCAAGTCAGCATACTGGAACCCAGCCTAGTTGTGTTTCTGCACTACACATATCGCACTTGCGTTGCGGTCTGTTGCAGTCAAGGGTTTGCAGAATGGACTGCCGCACCCTATAAACAGGAGCTCTTCCGAAGACGACCGCTCCAGAAGCAGGCGCTGTCGAATTTGCTGACTCACGGAGCTTCGGCGGATTGGGAAGGGGGCCATACAGTTGCTGTGTCGGCAGCAGCATCGGGATTAGGACAACAGGGTGCACTTTACCAGGTCAAGTCCCCGCCGCAGTCGATCCGAGGACTGCTGGGCTGTTTCTTTTGGGCAAATAGCCCCCCTGGGGCCTCGTTGATCAACTACACAATAGTGGTATAACTCCATCGCGTTTGAAGGCTGCCTACCGCAGCCAAAGCCCGTGTACCATGACCGCAGGACAGCTCCTCGGGGAGGTCAGCGAGGCAGCAGGTGCGGTGTGTTGGGAAGGCTTGTGGAAACCTCGCTGCTCCACGAGATATCTCAAAGGTATGGTGCTGTTGGCAGGACGACAACGGAGGAGCAGCACCCGAGGGCGTGGACATTGTAGGCAGAAGGGTTTGCTTGCTGTGCTTCAATGCGGCTGCTGAATGCTATTCATTCTTCTGCACGGCGGCTTCATAGTCTGCTTAATAGTCCTCGTCTGTCCGCCGCTGCGAAATCCAAAGCCACATGCTGAAGAGGTGCTGAAGCGCAAGGGAACGACGACAGAGGCCGAAGGCAGGTGGCAAAGGGGCCTGACGGCACTTTGGGGCTCCGCTTTCTTGGCCTCCTGAACGCATTTTTCTGTCGCACACGTGCAGCTCGGAGGGCCGCGCCACACCGTTCGGTCTCACTGTCGCGCTCCCGCTCGGACTCACGATCCATGGAGCCTGGGGCTTGGAGTTCATGCTTCTTGCTTGCCCAGAACCAGGCCCCGCTTCCCAGAGTTCTTTGTTTGTTGAGCTGCTAGCAGTTGCCAGCACCAGGACCAGGCCTGACTCAGCACCAAGAATTGAAGCCCTTGAACCTTTGAATTCACTCTTTGGTCTTTGGTGAGCTTCAGACTTCGTTGGTGCCAAAAATGCCCAATAAGTGGTCTGCGAAAGATTACTGCTGGTTCTAAGGCCGAAGAATGAGGCGCAGCCGTCGCAGCCTCAGCGTCGTGTCCTCGTCAACCAGGCCAGGCCACGTGCAACGATGTCATGTGGAAACCCTAAACTCTAAACCCTAAAGTGTCTGAGTGGGAGTCGGGACGCTTGTTGCGTGCGCAGGGGGAGGAGAGCCGAGAGGAGGACACCTCCTCGCACGGGCCTTGTTGCAGCATGCCGCCGAATTCGTCATTGCCTGCCCTCTGAGTTAAGATGGGCTGCTACTTGGGCATGTAAGTAGGTTGTTTCTCTGGTTCGTTGGTTTGCTCGTTCGCAGACTTCGTGCACCCCATTCATTCAAGGAATCATTCATTGCTTCATTCAATCATTCATTCACTCATCCATTCACTCATCCATCCATTCTTCCATTCATCCGAGTATGCAGTCCTTGATTCCGTTCAATATCTGACAAAATTTATCGGTCCAGGCTTGTGTGCCTGTTTTCTTCGTGCTGAATCCAGGCGTCGTTTCACACTTGCCGAAACAACAAGCAAAGTATCCGATGATGAGAGCGCAGGTAGTGTTCCCGGCCCTCAAAGCTTGCCCCCGAAGCGCAATCCTGCAAAGACGCCAAGTTAAAAGTCGTTCCAATCCAAAAGAGATAACATTCTTAAAATTCTTATGTCCATCATTGTTCTGAGCAATGTACTTACTGTGTATTTAAATATATCCATCAGTAGTAAACGGCTTTATGTGTCTACGAACTCGCAAGAATCGCGTGCTGCCGAAGTCTCAAAGCCTGAAGGCCGCTCCTGGAGATCAGCAACCTGCCGGACCTGGGCTCCCGGGGCCAGGACCTCGGAGAGTTCTGGAAAATATCTAGAGATAGATAGAGAGAGATAGATAGATAGTTAGATAGATAGATAGATGTACATATAGATATGTATGTATATATATATATATATATATGTATGTGTTTTTCTGTTTTAAACCTAGTTTTTTAGGAGGCTACTTTTCGTGGGGGCATTACCTTCTCATTCAGAGCTTTGCAGATGTCTCTCTCCAACCAAAAGTCAAGAACTCCGGCAGCTTCAGATACATTTAGGGTTTTCGCAGCAGATGTGTTGTGCGACTATAAAGAACGTGCGAGCCCTTGCCGATGTCGATCCGACGTATTCAAGTGTCTGGGTCTCAGCTAAGATTAGCTCTTGATCTCTTAAATTCCGCAGTAGTAGAAGACACTAGGTAATAGCATTGGGGCATGCCACACCAGAACAGAAATCGAAAAGAACGCGCACACCCACACACAACCAGAAATCTGACAAGCGCCAGCCCCATCGATGTGCCACCCCCGATGTTCTGCAAGGCAGCTTCTGTCAGGTAGCCTAGAAACCTGCGTAAGTGGCGCACTCGTTTCTGGTATGATGTCTTCGTTCTCTTGGGTGGCCTTGTGAAAGTCTTCTCTGCCAGCTCCTCCGCACCTAGCGTGCTGCACATCTCAACCGTCGATGCACACGTCGACATCGACGAAAACTACAGCAGACAACAATTTAGGAAGACTACGCTCTCTCGCCAACTTCCCGGGAGCCCGTTCACACAATGGGGCAGGGCCAGTGATTGTTGAATAATTGGGGTTGTCCAAACTTGTCTCATTCTGATCATTCTGATCTCTCAAAGTCAGTTTGTGCCTTTTGCCTCAATCAGCAACTAATTGGTGAATGACAGAGTATACGGGCCGGGCAATGTTCAGGCTGAGACCGAAGTTTCGACAAGTCTGGGGTTCACTTCCCTCTGCTTCGCCTTGCAGGTGCTTGCTTAGTCTTCCTTCTTGCTCAGTTTTCTGGACTCACCAGGACTGCCTGGACTCACCTCCTGCTGCCCAAGTGTCTGCTGTGTTTGCTCCTTCAAAGAAAATTCCCAATACGGACTGAGGCAAGAACCCTCTTCAGTACATCCCGGAGCTTTTCAATCCGACGCTGAAGACGCTGCCGGACCAATGGCTTTGCCGGTTGAAATGTACCAGTACCTGAACTTTGTGGAAAGAGTCTGGGTTGAGTGATGCAAGCTTTACGCCGTCTTTCTGCCAGGATTTCAACAAAGAGACGGGAGGAGAATCTGTCCTCAAAGCCTGGAACAGGCCTGGCAAGGCGGGGGCTGAAATTAAGCAAACCCGATACCTTCATGACATGGCCCTCAGCCCCAAAAGGCCCCCAAACTCGAGCGTTCAGCGGGAGGTTGGAGCCATCCTGCTACAGTTGCAGAACAAGGCTCCGCTGAGAGTGCTCGAGGGCTTTTACGGCGTTCTACAAGGTTCATACAATCCGCGAAGAGCTTGTACAGACATCCCTTGGATGCCTGTTAGAGATCCTTGACCTAGTGACGTCTGCATCAGCAAGCTCTGCTGCGCTTTGCTGCAGCAAACTGAATAGTGTACGGCCTCCTGATACTTGGGCACTTCCAGGTGCTCCCAGGGTTCTATGTTGCAGAAACCCTGGAGTCGAGTCGAGGTGCCCAAGCAAGCCCTCAACTCGACACTCCTACCAGGCGCTGGCAGTCAGCGCCGCCCGCACGCTGAACGGCCTGGAGTTCCTTGGCAACCAGCTCAAGGCCTGGTGCACAAAACAGGCTTTCGGAAAAGTGCCTTCTGTGGAGCTGTGCCAGTCATGCGCTCAAGAAGTCAAGACATGATGCATGAACATTGCATACAACATGTTACATATATATATATATGTATGTATATAGATGAACAACACATTATATGTGTGTATATGATGTAATATAATAATAATATAATATAAGATAATATAAAATAACAATATAATATCATATCATATAATATAACATAACATAATATCATATAATATCATATAATATAACATAACATAATATCATATAACATCATATCATATAATATAACATAACAGAATATCATGCAATAGCATATAACATAATATAATAGAATATAATATAATATCATATAATAGAATATAATATAATCGATATTTTATGAAATTATATGCTACGATGTGATATGACATGTGCCTTGCCAGGTGCAAGGCGTCCCAAAGCCGGAGGCCAGTCCCTTGCGGCATTCCGGGGAGCAGACTGTCCGATGTCGCCATCTTGCGCCAGGCGGATGGTCTGCTTCAGAGCGCTCCTTGAAATTGGGCACTGGCATGCCCTTGCAATTTTAACCGAAACTCGCCGTGTTGATTGTAGACCGCTTTGATGTGCTTGACTTTCTGCGGTATGGCGCACGACTGTGGAGGAATGCAATGTCATGGCAAGCGTGTGCCTACTGCTAGGTCATGCAACAGCATTTGCCGGCAACTTCAGACCCAAGCCGCCATATGATTGACGCGATAGTTGAATAGTTTTCGTGACATGGCTGAGCCATGCACAGGAGGTCAGTCCTGCCTTTAAAGCTGCGAAAATTCGGAGTTGCTTCTTGTGCTGTGGCCACGGTCTTGTATCAGTCGCTCGGGGAATCTGCACAGAAACATGTCAAAGATTGTGGCAGTTGTTTTGGGCAGGGAAGGGCTGCGTGCGACTGTGAAGCTGCTTCAGTGGCTCGAAACCGGGGCCAAGCAGCTGCCTTACAGGCTGGTCATCGCTCGTTCATGCTTCGTGGAGCTAACGGCGCAATTATTTGAGGATAGTTTGTTCTCGTGTTCTGCCGGGCCTAGCTGCCTCTTGATCAGTAAGAGCCCAGGGCCTTGCCACAGGCCTTGTCCTTGTGACCTCCGACCATGGCTGACGGGGAGGATGCCGTGGCATCGGGACCTCCTGCTGGGCTCCCAGAACGGGATGAGCCAAGGATAGCCAAGGTCTGTGCAGGTCTTCCCTCTAGAGTGCCGAAGAGAAAGATGAAATCTCAGGCTTGTTGCCCGCAGCATCATACTGGTAGGGGGTGATACGGCAGCCATGATCAGCCATGTAATGTAAGGAAGCTGCAGAGGGCGTGCCCGAGAGAACGCCGAGCTTGCGTGGGTGGCTTCAGCATGCTTGGGTGCTCGTGTACACATCCCATGCAATGAGATCGTGCAGCTGCAGACGTTGTGTTGCTGTGCACTTCGTTTCATTATCATCATCATAATAATAATAGTTATTATGATTATTATTATTATTATTATTCTTATTTGTTTCTTTTCTGATTATTAGTATTATTAGTATTATTAGTATTATTAGTATTATTAGTATTATTAGTATTATTAGTATTATTAGTATTATTAGTATTATTAGTATTATTAGTATTATTAGTATTATTAGTATTTTGTTATTGGTATTATTTTTGCTATTATTATTATAGTATATATATACACATATTCACATACATGTACATATACAGTTACATATACATATATATATATATATATGTATATACATATATATATATATAGATATATCTGTTTAGTTTTTGGTGCGTGTGTGCGCGCGGTTCATGAGCCCGCAAGCAGCATGCACTTGTCAGGGCCGCCGCTGGGAGCCTGGGAAAGCTGGTGCGCGCCCTGTTAGTCATGGCGGGGAGAAAAAACGTAGGGTTTAGGGTTTAGGGTTTTTAGGGTTTAGGGTTTAGGGTTTAGGAAAAAGTATAGAGAAGGATGCTGAGAGGGGACCAATGGGAGACCAATGGACCGAAAGTGAGTCGAGGCCCCGAAGCCCCGACGAGCCCCCAAACTTGGCAACGCTCTCTGCTGCTGCAGAGCAAGCTCTACAACAAAGACAAGCTGATGAAGCTGCGCAACTACTCATGGTGCATGCCTTAGCAGTCTCAACATGTTCGTTGCTCCAGCGGCTGCCTCGTTTTGGATAAGACTCAAGAAGTTTGTGCAGCTTCACCCGGCAGCCGTTGGACCTTCTGTGATCTTGTGTGCATGCATCCAAGGAACATCTTCCGCTACATCGGCGATTACCTACACCTCTTCGGTGCTGTCCACCTGAAACCGTTGGTCGCCAGAGAGTTTGTTCTCAGACGTGCTTAAGTCGGCCGCTTTTGTCATGAGTTTGTCAGTCAAGCGGGTCATGCCCAGCCAGCTCATTCCTAATAATATTACTTTTGGAGCTATACTAGAATACCCCCCCCCTCCCCCCCAAAACCCTATTCTTATTATTATTAGTAGTATTGTGATTATTATTATGATAAAAAAATAATTATTATTAAGAGGCCCCTACATGGCGAGTTGCGGATCCCTTGTTGCTTAGCACGCTTTGAAGGCTGCGTGGCTCGAACATGAGTGTTCCAAAAGTGATGGTGTGCGAATACGAAATGATACGATTCTGAAGTCAGCAAAGGGCGGATTGCGAACTCGTGAACAAAAGTCCTCGGCGTGGTATGGGCACAATTGCCACAAGCACCTGCACGCCGGTTGCACGCTGATTGCACACTGGGCACGCCATGGGCGAATCCTCCAAGCTCGAGCTGCAGGAAGTGCTGGATTCCTAGGGCTCCTGCGGGGCTGGTCACATGTAAAAAAGATAAGAATAGAAAGCGGCGCAGAAGCAACCCATCAAGCCCATCCACCGGAGCGCAATGTTTGCAACATAAGGCAGCAGCTCCTGAAGACCGAGTTCTCACAAATCTCGGAGCGCATCTCACAGGTCCGGGTAGTGGTAGTCACCGATAGGCGTTGAGAGTGACTGATAGTGGTCTTCCAGGTAAGGGTTTCAGCACTTGCGGCCATACTTGCTGATCGCCTAGCACTGCCGACTGCCGGCGCCCAACCTCGAAGTTTCTGCCGTCGTCGACCCGCCAGGACTTGCGGCAGGCCGAGCGCTCAGAAAAAACAGAAGCTTAGTGGGCTTAGTGGAATGCTGTCGACAGCTCTGTCCGATTGATGTTGCACAGTTGGCAGTGCGATGGTCATGTGGCAGGAAAGGTACTCGTAGCTGGTTGTTGAGCAGGAGCTTGCGAAACAGGATCTGCTTCCCGGCATGAGGCTCGAGACCAAGCGAGGAATTTGGACGCGGAACAAGAAGATACGGAATCCCAGCGCAATACTTTCTCGAGATCACCGGCAGACATAGATGCCTCTAGATTCCAGATCTCTCCCCATTAGGTCGCACTAGCTCATCGAAGCTCACAGACAAACCTCAAACCGAAGCAGAAACATGCGATGCGAAGCAGCATCCAGGAAGCACATGCAAGCATCATGCTCCAGACATGAACCTCTGCAGGCTACAAACTACACTTCCACTGCACATTTTCCGTCTTGCATCTCCGGCATTAAGACTGGCTTGGGTTCCGAAGGAACACCAGGTCCAGCCGGTGCCATGCGATGCGCTTCTATGTCAGTGGGAAGTGGGGCTTTACTCTGATATGGGGCCCCTCGGTCCGCATGAAGTTCCCGTCACCTGTGGAGAGATTTACGAGAAACGATCGCTCTTCAATCTGCCCTGGCAGCTTGACTCTGTGTGACTAGGCTACTATGGATCGGTGCTTCCTTTGGCATTCGTCATGGCTTTGCCAAACGCGGCCAAGGGCTCAGAAGGGCTCAAAGGGCTCAATGAGAAGCAGCGCAGCCGGCCTGCCCTTGCCACGTCCGAGGCCATTGCCTTCGTCTTGGGGTCCCTGCTCGAGGACGAGGTCTACGAGCAGGACTGGCAGTACACTGCAGCTCACATTCAGCTGGCATGCATAGCTTTGCACAAGTCAAGTCCTACGGTCCTACACAGGACCAGGCAACTGTGAACACCGCCTGGAGCATCCTTGGCATCTTCAGCACCTTGCCCACATGTGCCAAGACACTCCTGACCGCCACTCCACGCTTCTGTGGCTTCGTTCGTAGCTTCCTCTGAGGTACGTGCATGTTCTTCGTGCTGCATCTCGGCTCTTCAGAAGTGCGGCCTCTGGAAGTGCACGGATGCACACTCTGAGTCATGCTAGCTACGCTGGGCTCAGGAACTTCCGAAGTACGATTGCGTACAACAGGCCGGAATGGCTAGGATGGGAAACCAGGGCAGCAGCCATCACCACAGCATGGCCATCACTTCATCATGGTTCCAAAGCTCTCCGACATGGATTGCTGCTAAATTGGGAGAGGGCGCGGGGAGCGTGATCGAGCGATGTGAGCAACCTGCTATCTACTCCTTTCCCTGCGTGCATGATATTTCATCTCATCGGCTGACTCCATGATGCGGCAAAATCTGACAAAAATCTGATATTTTCTGTTTGCCCCAGAATTGAGCATCCAGGTGGTGGGAGGGCGGCACCCTCCTCCAGCAGACCCGCGGGGAGTGGTTCAATTGCTTTAGCAGCCTCGTGGCCCCTTGCCTGCGTTTGCTGGACAAGTCAGTTGTCCTCGTATGAGTCATGTCCTCAGATCCCCGGATTTTCCGAGAATTGAAGGCATTCACCAACCCAGCCCCAGAGCTGGTGTCCGACGTGGAAGAGTTCCAGCATCTCCTCGCGGCTTGGATGGCAAGAGTCCGCGTGTTCTTCTCTTCTCCTTTTCAAGAAACTCCCATTCCTTGAGCTCCCGACCCTGTTGCCACTCCGGCTTTAATCTCACCGAGGTCCGTCTCATGAGCCTACTCTTCTGCTGCGCGCTGCAGCAAGTGTCGCCGGACAGGGACAGGCCGATCTGGAAAAGCCTCGATGAAGGGCTGGCGTGGGTGGCCCTGATAGCTGGCATTGCATGTGGAGTTTGCTTAAATGATTGATTCATCCAAGCTGCAAACGCCAGCACGTCGGCAGGCCCTTTGAGATCTTGTCCCCCGCTGGCATTGATCCACAGAGCCTGTCGATGCTCGCAAAAAGCAAGGACAAGGCAGCTGAGCGTCTCTCAGTTTGCCTCTGCCTGCCTCGCTGTTTCCTTCAAATCTTCAATTTCCGTTTTTCTGTCAAGTCTTCATTCCCGTGTTGCTCTTGCAACAGATTCATAGATTGTAACCTTGTGGGGTGTTGTGCGACAGGTAGAAGTTATTCTGCAGTGGATCCAGCGTCTGATCACGCGCCGCGGTTGCACAACACACCCTGACAAACTGAGTTTGGGCTAGCCAGTTAGGTGCTGTCGGCTGCCAGGCTGAGCATGCAGAACAGCATCATTGTGGTCGCACCACCGGTCGTAACCCGGGCGTACCAAGAGCTGTCCCGTGGCATAGTGAATTTGCAAAACGCGAGCTGCTGAGCAGCATTATGGAGCATTCTTGCTTCGTGCCGCTGTGGGTGCTGTAGAACGGGATCTTGGGAGAGTGTGCTGTCAAGCACCGTCCACGCAACCTAGGGAAAATTGCGGAGTTCCCGTTTCCGTTCCCTCTCGCGCAGGTCAGCAACCTTGAAGCATTGGAGATGAAAGCCACGCGTTTTAAGCCAGTTTAGCCCATGCGGCCCATGCATGCTTCCAATCTTATACTGCGACTGCGAGGTATAGCCATGCTCTGTGTGCACTGGGCCCTCGTTCCGGCAGCTTGAAGCACAGAGAACGCCACGATACGATTCAGGGCGCGAGCTGCGACTGTTCTAGTTTCAATCAGTTTTGTAACCCGGAGTTGAGTGGAGAACCGCTGTTCAGAATGACAAAATTCGCATTTAGGTTCTTTGCAGCATGCTTCTCGGAAGAACTCTTGCGGCCTGCGTCGCTTTCGTCGTCATCTGCTTTCTGTGCCCTCGGCTGCAACCTTAGGCCGTAAGTACTTGAACTTCTTGGGAGAGTACTGCAAAATCACATTCAAAAACTCTGTGAACAATTATGTTACATGTAAGGGATAGTCGTGGCAAGTGTGGAAGATTTGCTGGCGTGCGGGGTGAAAGGGCATTGTTGCTGCTGGTATGCGATGCCACTGACTTCGAGTCACTGCCTCGCTGCTCAGCTGCCTGGAGTTGAAGCTAAGGTGGGCACAGAACTTCATTGCACTGCAGCTGGAGTCTCCTTTCGGCTGCGAGCCCAATGACCTGCCCATGCATCAGATGCAAACTGACTGGAAGCTTGGACGCGCTAGGGTTAGGGGGGGGGGGGGTCCCTGGCTTTTGCAACTCTGTGCTCATGAAAGCAAAGTCAATAGCGATGGCCCCGTTATCGCGACGATAATGTGCAGCCAGAACTGCGCCACAACATGTCCGACAACCGAGGAACACGAGCCTTCGAGCACTGCTCCAGCCTCAGCTTGTCCTCCTGCAAGCTCCAGCAAAACCATTGCAGTGCTAGTGCCTTCGCCCCCCAAGCGGTTTGGAGTTTAGGGCTTAGGCTTAGGGTTCAGAGGCTTCCAGTTATGTACTGTACTCCCATTTCAGACACTTCACGGTCGCAGTCCACTCCGATGCACATCGACACACTTTCTAACTTCACTGGAGCACAGTTACTGTCAGACGAAGAACATCTGACATGCAGATTCCCCGCGCCCTGCAACACGCATTGTGTTGATACTGAACTTGTAGAAGCGTGACTTTCGCAGTAGCGGGCGCTCCGCAGCTCCTGCTCTGGAACTTGCCACAGCGCTTTGTGTTGTAGCATGTTGCTGCGCCACCCACGACCCAACCATTGCATTGTTGGTTCTCCTGACAGGATGAATCCTGTGGCCCAGCGGCCGCCTTCGTGGCCTGACAGCGATGAGATGCACTATGCATCTTCCTCGTAGTAAGATTCTGAATTCTAGGAAATTTTGCGAGAACCGTTTGGGTCGAGTGCAGTAGCTTGCCTACTCGTAAATCCAATAGAGCTTAGGGCGAGGGCTCTGATTTCTGAGTCATTGAGAAACCAGGCAGGTCGGCTTCAAGGCAAAATCCTAGGTGCCTACTAGGTGCACCAACGCGCTGGCACGGTTCTGTAGCCCTTCTTGTTGTAGCGACCATGTAGAGAGTTTCGAGGCTGCTGCGTCGATCAGTCTGTAGCTCAATATGGACAGGTTCTGCTTCGACCCCGACATGCATCATCAGTTTTCCGTGGTCATGTCGAACCTCGCCATTCCCAACAAGAAGAGGGCAACGCTGCTTGTTCGAGACAAAGTGGACAGCAACACAGACTCTTTGGAATAATCTCACCTGCAGGGGGGAGATGTCCGAATTGCCTGGCAAGCAGTTGCTATTCCAACCCTGCCGATGCTGAGGTCATACGAGTTTGAAACCAGCTGACCGGATGGCCCGTGCGGAGCACGGCCGCATAACTTCTCGCTGCAGTCTGAGGCCAAAGCTCCCAAACTCTTTGAAGGCCGTTCCTTAGCCGAAAATGCAAGACTCTCAGGGGGGAGCTCCCATGATCAACGCCAAGGATTTGCAATGTTCTAAAATGGTCGGTTGCCGTGGCCAAACCACAACCACGTCCCTGTTTTGTGAGTCGTCCTTACTGGACCCACACTTCAACTTGATCGGCAGCCTCCTCCAGGTATGAGCCAATTGAGCCATGAAATTGTCGCCTCAGTGACTCCTCAATGGGATCACTGTGTGGCTACCGCAGCAATCGAAGTTTATCATGCAGAGTTGCAGGACCCAGCCAGTGGATGATGCCATGCACAGGTCTTCCGTAGCCATCAGGAAGCTCTGGAGCAGTGACAACTGGGTGAACTGCTTCTGGCTAGGGGGCTGTGAGTTTTGCACTTCGAATACTTCGAGATCTTCCCAAGCAGGCAGTTGGCAATTCAATTGCTACGCTGCCAAGAACCGCAGGGTTCGGCAGCACATGCGGCCCAACCGCGACAGCCTTTGACTTGGGCAAAAGAGGTCGATGAAGCGCATGTCATATGGGTCAGGCGGCTTTAGCAAGTACCCCAGCTGCTGAGACCCAGTCATGGTAATCTTACAAGTGATTGTTTGAGACCACAACTATGGTTGCAAGACTGCAAGGTGTCTTTCAGAGAACACAACAAAACCATCTCTTTGCACTTATTCCTCGAAGCCACTTCTTTGAACATTGAGCTGACTTGTAGTACAGAGTTGTGCAGCTTCGATCCGCTTCATCTTGAATTGTGCCTCGGTAGCCTCCCAGGAACTGTCCAAGTTCTTTGCTCGGTTGGCAGAGCAAGACGCCGGCAGACAGGACAGCTGGTGTTTATATGTGCATGAGACGAGTGGCTGTGGAATCGACTGAGCACGTACCAGTCTGGAATTGACCTAACTTAGCCCCTTAAGGGGTTCCAGGTTTGGATTTTACCTGGTGCCCGTGAACAAACAGCCCTATAGAACTCGTCCCAAGTTTCAGATGTGGTTTGCTGGCATCCCTTTGCATCGAGACATCCGGCGACGATGGCGACATCGTGCCTCCCAAGCTGGAGGTCAGCACGTGTGGGAGGTTCTGGAACGACACGCGAACCTACGGCAATCAATTAATGTTTACCCGGACTCCACAAACTCACCGTAAGCTTTTCCCCTGCCATCTTGTTACATCCTGTCATTCTGGCACCTAAGTGGGCCTAAGTTCCCATAATATGATATGGACGCAAGCCGAACCAAGCCGAAGCGCCTTCGGTTGGAGCATTTTTCAGCCAAGGATGATTCGACTTTTGCCAGCTTGCAAAGCCACGGCCAGATAGAAGCCCACGTCGCGACAGGTGCAAACCTCTCAGTCGTTGCCCCCTCCCTTGCCAATGTCGCCTCCACCTCAGCATGCTCTGCCAACGCCAGCAACGTCGGGGCCTCAGGGTCTCTTCGTGCCTCTTCCACCGTGAGTCTGAGCAGAGTATACCAGACCCAGCCAGCAGGCTGCACAGCGTGAACGACTCGGAGCAGTTAGCCCAGAAGGGGTATTCGCATGAGTCGCAGCACTTGCCGCACTGCCAAGCACACACGCAAAGCTAGCAAACAGTTGCCACACCTTTGCGTGGGCTCGCTACCGAGGCAGGAAATGGACATCGCCCGCATGCGGATGAAAGCGCGTGCTCCTTCTGCAATCGTGCTATGGTTGCCTTACAACCAAGAGATGCGAACAGTGAGTCAGGTACGCTTCTAGAACACCACCCTGCCTTGAATCCACGGGCTTTAACAGCGCTTCATGTAAAGTCCTGAATCCTGAAGCATGCAAAATGCGCAGGATGGAAACCACTATCATCGGCTGTTGACGTTGTTTGTGGTGTCGGTCTCTGCAGGTACATACGTTTCAACCGAGGGCGGGATACCCAGTGGAAGGGGGTTACTGCACAAGGACATGACAGATCGGACATATTGCCCGTTGCACCTGCGTCACCAGGGGGCTTGGTTGGTTTCGGTATCTTTCTCTGTGACGACAGAACAATGCGAGACGTTTGAAGGCTTGCCGAAATTGCCTAATTTTAACGCTACGCGACCCGCCTCGGCCCGGCCCAGCGCATCCGCGTGAGCGTGGTGATTCCGCAGCGCCCAAGTCGCTGGACCCCAAGCAATAAGGGTTGGGTTTAGGGTTTAGGGTTTAGGGTTCCGGGTTTATGGTTTATGGTTTGGGGTTTAGGGTTGAAGGTTAGTTTAGGATTGAGGGCTTAGGGCTCAAGGTTCACGCTTTGGGGTTTAGGGTTTTTTTGGGTTTAGGGTTCAAGACGGTTCGGCTTGGATTGATCGTAGGGTTGACCCTCACAAAAAGGGTAGGGGGAAGGGGGGCAGGGGGGAGGGGGGGGGGGGGGGGGGGGGGGGGGGGGGGGCAGGGGGGGGGGGGGGGGGGCAGGTTTGTTGAAGTTCGGGCTTAAGGTTTATGGTTTTTGGTTTAGGGTTTGGGTTCAAGTTTAAATGTGGCTCGTGTTATGCATCCCGGCCGTGCTCACACCAGTCGGGGAAGAAGGGGGGGTGGGGGAGGGGGGGTGGGGTGGGGGGGGGGGGGGGGTGGGGGGGGGGGGGGGGTAGGGGGGGGGGGGGTAGGGGTTTTGGAGGGGGGTGCCTGTTCTGGCAACCGAAACACCTCCGGCCCGAGGCCTCGGCGGATTTGCCGGTTGTCTCTTTGTTCTCACGTTACGGTACTGAACTGCACATGATGACTCTCCATGGCTCTGCCGCACTGAGGAATATGTGGCCCGCTTGCTGAGGGCCAGGTCACATTGTTTGGCACTCCAAAAGCCAACCTGCGGCCGCAGGCTCAAAGCTAGTCAGTTCAAACTGCCGTGCAATCAAAGTGACACAGACCTCCATGCTGGCGACTCTGGAGCGGCTGGCAAGCTAAGGTCGCCAGCGCCTACCTTGAAAGGCACGTCTTCCTAGCTTGGTTTGAACTATACAGTGCTCAGTAGACGCCATGTTACAAAGGCAGGCTTGGAACAAGCTTTTCAGACGGCTGCCCTTCCAGCAGAGTCAGGGTACCCTGCAGTTGCTGCAAGACTGCAGGGCAACGCACCAGCAGCCACAGCTATGGCAGCGCTGCGCACCTAGCTGCCCTAGCTGGTCACTAGAGAGAAGCGTGAACCACTTTCGCGGACGAACAGTTCCGGGCAGCGGCCGCTCCGTCGAGGCTCAGGAAGGCCAACAAGTCCAGGAAATCCTTACCTTTGCCGTACGTAGTCATGCGTCATCACACGTCTGCATGCATGTTCCGACGCAGTGGAGATGCAAAAACTCTCAAACCCTGCAGCTCCACCAGCTCTGATGCCAGCAACGTCAGCTGAGGAGAAGAGCGACGACGCAAAGCAAAACCCAGGCCGGGGGGAGTCTACTGCGAGCCGTCCGGGCGGTCGCTGCAAACAATGCTAAAGCAGCTAGCAGAGAAGCATGGCGAACAAGGCATCGGCAGTTTCGAGCTTAAACATGCCGGTCTCTGGGCAGAGGCTCACCGAAGGCAGCTCGAATGCCAGCGAGCCAAGTCCAAGGCAGGTATGGTCACGCAGCATGTCTCAGCTCCAAGCGCTCTGAAGTCACAAAGCTCAACATACTGCTCGTGTTTGAAGTATATGCTCATGTTTGAAGTATTGTTGCGCGCTGGTACTGTCCCGATTGCTCGCAACGATGTGCTCACAGGCTCAGCCATTCCGGAGAAGCGTCGCGCGACTGAAAGGGTGTCCAACGTGCGCGAGCCGCGCAGCATTTTCTTGCCAGCTGCTCAGTGCGGGAGTTGGTCCAATGTCAAGCTAAGTCAGTTTAGGCACTTTGTTTCTTCTCTTTGTCAGCCTTCTATCTTGGAGGCACCAGATCACAAATCGGCAAGGCTCGACACTCTGGGAGCAGGGATGTGATGCACAGAGACCTCGCAGAGTCGGGCCAGGCGAGGAGGACGAGGAAGAGGAGGATGTCGATGATCCCAAAGATGCAATTCCATGCGCTGGCCCTGGGGCTTGAGTTTCAACGGGGCTCGTGTGTCGGAGCTACACTGAGCGAAGGGTAAGTGTCATCATCTCTGACTTGAGGCAAGAAGGAGTCACTGTGCACCTGCATCCAGAAGATTTGTCTTTGGTTGGTCAGCAGCCTCAAGTTTGGGGAAGGCGGCGACCGACACTTGATGGCTCTTTGGTACCTGAAGGTCTGCCTGGAGTATTTCGACTACCTCATGGGCACCCTCCTTGAAAACTGCAGACGCGCACATGAGCATCATGGCAGTGGCCTGTTGGGCTTGTTATACTGCTATACTCGGTTGATTCGCGTTGAATGCTGGGCGCTGAAGGCATAGCGATTCTGGCAAATGCAGTGCTGTGCGAACCTCAGGAATTTCAGTGGTTGATGGTGCACAGCTGCCATGCAGCATTTTCCGAGGATGGGCATACAGGCAGACCTCGCAGTGTGGGCCTCAGTCACTGCTCGTAGCAGGACGCAGCAGCGTGCCCAATTAACTTAAGACAGTTGGCGCCCTTCCGAAGTCCTGTCACAGGTGCAAAATGCACGGACAGGCGCACCAGAGCCTCCTGTTATTCGAGGGGCGCTATGCTTACTTGGCAATTCAGCTGCCCGTTCCTTCCGTGTCGACGCTGTCATTTCGCTCGAGTGACAACGAGTACGGACGACGTAAGTACGTGCCGACTGTGTCGAGGTTGCAGTAGCCCTTGGAGCAGTCTTCACGGCCGAATTGGTACGGGCCCCTTCTCAAGGCTTAAGATGGCTCTTGAGCCTTGAGTTTCTGATTGTGATTAGAGTGCAGCGTGGTGGTGGGATGTCTAAGCCCCTGGAGATGTTCAGTGGGGCATAGAGTGACACAGTGTGCTGCTGTGTGCTGCTACGCGGCTTCGATTCGAGGTGATTCGGATCCTCGCCTATCGCATGGATTTCTTCAGGAAGCCTGGGCTTGGGACTCGAAGTGATGTGGTGCAGATTCTAGTGCGGGTCTTGGCTGCATCGGGACTGTGCAAAAGAATGTAGGAGACAAGATAGGGGCCGGTTCCAAACCCAAAGCGCGCCGGATTCAGGTGTTGCGTGCCAAGAGAGAGTCATGCGAACGGTTTATCTGGGATGCTTTGTGACATGGTCACCATAAGAGGCGGTGAAGAGAAGCATCAATGACTGAACTCGTGAAGAGCTGAAGGGTTTTTCAAAGCCTGTTCTCCTTATGCTGCAAAGGAAACTTGCTGTCTCACACAGGACTCCTTCACTCACGAATCACGCTCCAGTAGATTCTAAGTAGATGCTACCGCGGTCGCCGGCACTGTGCATGGCCCAGGTGGCGCTGGAACGTGTTCGACTTTCTGTTGGTCTTCCTGCAGCTCAGCCTGTGACTTAAAGCGTGTACAGGATGCCAAAAGCAGAGTTTGACTTCCCACGAAACTTAATTACGAATGGCAAGATGCGAGCGATTTCTCGGTTCCCAGCACAAGACTCGTAAGTTTTGCACCGAAGGCGAAGAAGTTGTCACCGTGCTGGCCTGCCCTTCCTGTTGATCAATTTGCATCCCACAGGAAAGAGTGGTGCAAGAGCTCGCTGTATCTGCAGAAGCGAGTGCTCTTCAGTTCACTCATGCCAGGTGTACGAGAACTCTGATGCGGTGTCTGCAGCTTAGAGTCTAAGAAAACCCAGAACATTCCGTAATGCTCCGTAATATTCCGCACGATACAAAACTAAGGCTCTGTTTTTGCGTGGGCTTAACAGGCTATGCTTCATGTATGGCCGCGTTGGGGCGAGTCGTCTTCATCTATAGTCTGAGGGGCTTTTTTCCTTGCTGCCGAGATCTGTGAACCTGAGCTTCATGCGAATCTTGCGCGTCCTCCGCGCGGACCTCAATATGCCTGAGTGGCAAGCGTCGTCTTCTCTGCGATGTCTCCACTGGAGCCCACAGCCTGGGCTTTTGGATTGGAGCTGCCTTGGGTTTCAGGCTTCAGCGGTTTCAGCGTCGATTCGATTCAGGGATGCTAGCAGTTGCAATTGCTCCTTTACTCATAATTGCGCTGGCAATCGTGCATGTGCCCCAGCGAGCAGAGGCTTGGTCCGAATTGTGCGATTGGCCTGCCTGGCTGTCGAGTTGTCTGGGCTTCCAACTTTGGAAGGTTTTCAGAATCAGTATCTTGTTTAATCGTGGTTGCTTCTCTGCTTCTGGAACATGGGAGTGTGGACTTCCGTGTGCCAGGTCCGAGTCTTGCGGCTGATCCGCGAACTGAGGACTGACCGTATTTGTTGGTCTTGGGCCCTGGAATGCTCTGGATTCATCAGGGTGGAAGAGGCTATCTTTAGGGAGTGCATGTTGCAGGCCGGCGCAGAATCGCAAAAAATGCAGAAACAACTGCATTGCAGAACATGCTAGATGCCAGACACCCTTCCAAACGCCCTTGAAGGACACTGGTGCAATCCATTGCTTCAACGCATCTTGACTGCCAAAAACTGGTGGAGATTGGCACATGCAGAAAGTCGTGAAGTGCAGAAATGGTGTCACCAAGGATGACGTCGCTGTTGTGGACGGTAGTGTTGCTGCTCTTGCTGTCCGATCCTTGGTGTCCACGAACTCGTTGTTGCAATGCGATGGTGCCCTTCTACCGAAGCCGCAGAGTGCGGAGGATCTTTGTGGTGGGCATTTGCGTCTGGTGCTTAAGATGCGGCATCGGTTCCTTGCGAGTTAGTCATTTCAATCCAAGTCGCTGGATTTGCTAAGCTGATTTCCGTGGTTTTGTGATGAGACTGCTGCCTAATGTGACAAGCAAAGGCAAGTCCGTCATCATCTGCCATGACCAGCATAGAACAAGTCGAGCGAGTCAGCTTGCAGACCCATGGGAACTGAGTTCACGCAAGTTGTCGCGGATGTTGGTCTCGAGAAGTGCCGAGCTTACAGTAGCCCGCAGGGGCTGTGGAGGCAGAGAGGATGGTTTTATTGAGATATGAGCAGAGAGGAAGCTGGAAGGATCTCCCTGCAAAGGCCTCAGCTCCTCCAGGAGGGCACCGACACCTATGAGCCTGCCAACTTACTGTAGGGTACAGGCGGCCAATGTGGGCCTCCGCAGTTGACTCAAAATCTGCGTGACTCAGGTACTACGGCTCACTCTTGCGGTCCGTTGAGAGCTAAGACATGCTAAGACATGCTAAGACATGCTGAGAGACACATGAGACACTTCTTATTGCCTTCACAGGCCTTCGGAGGCCTCTGAAGGACCTCTGGTTTTCGATACGAGTCTCTCAGGTCATGTCCTTGTACCAGTCCATCACAAGTGGGGTCGGCTGCTTAGCGCCTCGGTTTGCTGACGCGGGTTGTTTTTGCTACACATATGAATGTGTGAGAGCGAGAGAGATAGAGAATGAAAAGAGATAGAAAGAGCTTGAGCTGTCGGTGCCCGTTCACGTTGAACAATCGAGCTATGGAGACGCGGGGTTTGGGTGTGCGTCGTGCACAGGGGCCTTGGCCCTCACAGTCGAAAGAAGTTGCCCCTCGAAAAGAAAGAAAATGAGAAAGACAAATTAAGGAAAGAAACAAAGAAAGAAAGAACGAACGAAAACAAGAAAGAAAGCGAGCTTGCTTTCCGAATTAGAAAACAACATAAGAGCTTGCTTGCACCTTGGCGGCTATGCCAGGTCAGTTGGCGAGAAGCTTCACTTCCGTTGGCCCAGACCTCAGTACGTCACGCGGTAGCGGCAAGGCCATGAACTTCACAGCTTCGGCTGAATCAGTGTTGCGCTCAAGGCTTCGGGCATGGCATGGCATGGCCAAATTATGCCTGAGTCTGGCTTGTTGAGGAGCGGCAGCAGCCGATCATGGGCTTGGTCTTCGTGGCTTGGCCGATTTCGTAAATGTGGATCAAGGAGTCAAGCCTTCTAAGTGTCTTCGCCTTTTAGTTGTTTCATGCACACTCAGCACAGGCAGTTTACATTGCCTTCGCAGCGCTCGCAATGCCGGTAGCTCAAGTGCTTCAATGGCTGCGGGAGTCTGACCGCCACACCCGCTTTCTGTCTTCTAGCGCTGTGTTCAAGAAGGTGTTTCTGATCATCTACAGAGCGGACTAGGTAGTCTAAGCCAGTTGAAAGAGTCAGGCTCAACGTGATCACGGGCGTGTTCGTTGAGTCGGCTATGGCAAGTGCACGGGACTGGGTCCAAGCTGACGTGTGCAAGTTTAGGCGCACGGCTCAAGTTTAGCTAAAGTGATCCGCACGGCAACTCTGACACGCTATTGTTTTTCAGCTTCAGAGACTTTGGAATTACTGCGCCAGGAGGAGAATACAGTGACGGTGGCAGGGCACCCAGGGCCTTCATTGGAGCACAGAAGACACGGCTTTTGTGCTCCGGATGGAAGATTCTGATGTTCACTCATGTCTTTACTCCAAACCGAAGCCTGATCAAGCGGAGTGTCAAATCGCAATACAGACATTGAGGTGAGCCGTATGCGCGAGCTTGTGTCAAAGATGAACATTGGCGAGCTGCGCTCTTGGCTGATGAAGCGTGGGGCAAGGTGCTGGAGAAGCCATCAGTGGTGCAGTGGAGAGCTGAGAGGTCTGGGCGCATGACTTGGGAGCAGTTCGAGGGCCAGATCAACAACCCAATCATGGAGGCGGACACTTTGCGCGACGTGATAGAGTCTGAGAGAGGGGACGTATACCACCCCGGCATGAAAGCAAGTTGCGCCCACGACGACTGGAAGGCATACTTCAAGTCACTGGATCTCAGTGTGACAGAAGCTGAGAGCTGGCTCCCCGAGCAGATGCGTGTTGCCAGAGGTCACATGTACACGCAAGAGTTCTGCGTCATGAGTCTTACCTTGATCACGAATCCTTGGCCCGAAGATTGCAGTACCGAAAGCCCGGAACCCCTTCCAGAAACACCTAAATTGCATTCTTCGAAAAACGGGGATGTGCCGGTAGAACCGTCAACGAAGCTTAAGCCTAACTAGCCTTCTATCAGAAAGCTTCAGAAAGTCCCCCCCCCCCCCCCCCCCCCCCTTCCCTTTTGCTTGGGCAGTGGAAGGGTCTTCTCAAAGGGGTGGGGAGCGATCTTCTGCGAGTCTCAAGAGCTTTGAGGGATCCTGAAGTCCTCAACAAGTATGACTCACTCTCAAGGTGGAGCCCCTGAAGCCCAATATGATCCCAGGGCCCCAAAGCGAAATCTTAAGACCCATGGTTTTCGTGCCATGGAGCCAACCTTTGGGAGGGCCACTGGCCATCGGCACTCGTGTGAGCCGTGGCGACTGGTGACGCTGGCCCCATGGAAAGTTTGCACGAAAGCAAAGCCCTTGTGGTCTGGTTGCATGGCTTGCAACCCCGGCGAGCATTCAGAGGTAGCTTCACTGTCGTGGTCATGCGTAGTCGAGCCGGTCTGAGTCCTTAGTCTGGAGCCGGTTTCTTTGAGGCAATCTTGCGGTTGCCACATCAAGAAAATGGTCATTGGTTCCAGGAGACCGTTGGCCGCCGAGTATGGCAACACAGCCAAACATTGATCATTAAACTTTAACCCCTAAACTACCCAAAGCCCTGGACTCGAAAACCTTGCAGGCTTCTGCTGAAGTCGTTGCTCTTGACGGCAGTCGTTGCTCATGCGTTTCAATGGTATCTAGCTGCCAATGACAGTAAACGGGCATACCGCAGGACTGCGAAAACCTCATGCGGTTCAAAGTGATAAGTGTGCTACATGCCACACCGTTTCCAGCAAAGCAGACTCCTGGTCACAAACCCAAAAAGCGATACCCTGCGAGCGGTTGGATGAGGGAGCCTCCTAATCAAGGGACTCAGACATGACATTTGCACAGCTGCGCTTCGTTCTGGAACAGGGGTGTGCCCATGGCTTTGCTATGGCCGTAGCGGCCAGTGTAAATTCAAAGCCTTAAACCCTGAAGCCACAAACTTTGCATCAGGAGCCTCCAGATCCTACCCTGGGTGAAGTGGAGATTTCCGGAATCCGCTGCTTGTCATGCACAGGGATGCACATATCCTCGCAGAGCAGCCACGTTGTCATCTGCTGATTTGCTGCCTTCCCAGCAAACCGCTGGGGCCAAGATGCTTTAGGATTCCTAGCTGTCGAGCCAATATTAGGGCTAGTCGACGGCAGCGTCGGCAATTTGGAAAGGTGTTGACATGCTGACATGCCGGCATCTTATTCGGCGCTTGCTTGCTTCCTTCTGAACCTGCCCCGCAAGCTTAGGATGTTGCGGAACTGTCGATCCTCCCCGGCCAGCGGTTGAAATGTTCCTTGAATTGTGTTGGGAGTTGCGCTGGATGTAGGAGGAGACATTCGTTGACCAGGAGGCGGCTGTAGTGATTACCGGTTAGTTGTTCTGGGTAGCGACGATGACCTGTCGTGTGTGGCTGCCTCGTTTCTGCTTGCTTGGGTACCTCGCATAGCTCCAGTCGTTTTTTTTGTGCATCCTTCCTGCCGGTTTCCAGTCTCTTGCAATGAATAAACGAATATGCTTTAATGAATAGGTGGACATGCAAGTATACACGCCGCACGCTGCCGTACTCTTGCAACTTGCAACACTGTTCTCCATGCCACGGTTTTAAAGGCCCCTTGAGTCTTGTTCCCCCAAAATCCGAAACCCTCGAGTCTTGAGAAGGTTGGTTCGATCTGCCGGAGCAGCCGGTGATGGAAGGGCGGTCCCATCGCAGAATGCAGGAGGCCGTGGACCGCGCCTCGGCCCTGACTCAGGGGCTTAGGCTTAGGGCGCTTAGGCGCTTAGGGCTCCTAGGGTTTCTAGGTTTTCCTAGGCGGTTCCCGAGATCTTAGGCCTCTAGATTTTTTTCGAGACATAGTTGGGAACTGTGACAGGTGTCCACGCTGTGCTCCACAGGGCGATGGAACAAGGCGCGCAGTGAGCTGTGGCAGAGCCATGCAGACAGCTGCTGAGGCTCCGCAGGTTTTCTGTATCATCTGTATTGTACAAAGCATGTTATATGTGTCTGTATGCAATATTTGTATACAATATGTATAATGTGGACATGTACATGTCCATACAAATGTTACGTAGTTTCGTGGAAGCTCCCAGTGATGACCTGGAGTATGCGGCTGCTTGCGATGGGCAGGATTCCGTGCCGATCGAATCGTGCTTTGTGGCTTCAGTCAAGGCCGGTCTCGGAGTGTTCGCTTGCAGCAATGACGGCAGAAGTCGTGTGCCGCTGACATTCGGACAGGCGGCACGCTGGCGCTTCAAGCGGGGCTGACATTCCCACACATCCTCGCAGGGATCTGCGCAGTGGTCGAGCCTTCAGTTGCCAGAGAGAGAGAGAGAGGACGTCGGTCAACCCGCAGTGCTCTGTAACGCACGCCTTCGGGCGGTCCTCCCCAACACGGGTGGGGTCAGGTGCGCAGAAAGAAAGAAAGTGCGGTCCGAGCAGCGGAAGGTCAGCGACCTGTTCGCTTCGTGGCATGTGTACAGTGGCTCCACAGGAGAAACCTCTGAAAACGTGCACCCCACAAAACAGTGTACCGTTGAGGGTGCTGGGCATCTCAGATGACCCATCTCCAAGTCACAATGGGCACGAAGGGTGCAAGGGGCAGGTGCAGCACGAGTGGGTGCAGTAGGAGGTCGGAAGCAGCAGATGAGCACGTGCACATTGCCTTTAGCCGAAGATGAGCCTACAAGTGTTCGGAAATGTCCAAGCTTCGAGCTGAAGATGGCACCAATGGTCACCAAATAATCTCGAATTCCTATTTTGTCCACCCGGCCCTGCCAAGTTGAAGCCGCAGTAACTGCTCACCGAAGTTCACAGGTCTCTTGTTTAGCTGGGTCAGTTTGGCGCAAGATGGCCATCTGAAGTGCGAAGGGGAAGGCCGTTCATGCTCTCGGAATGCCATGGAAGACTGAAAGATACTGTAAGATGGCCATCATCAAAAAGACGAGAGAGGGAGTGAGCCACGCTGAAGGAGTACCGTTACACTCTGTAGGCAGCACCGGAGTCAGCATGCTTCCGGAGTCAGCATGCTTCAATGGAAACACCATGGATGCTCCCCTATAGCTCAGTCGCTGAGGCAGGCTGGACCACAGCGGATCTGCCCGCGGCTGGGAGGAAAAACGAGCTTCCCATCCTGATGTGCCATGGAAGCGAAGATTCGATGGTTCCCATCGAAGTGGGGCGTAGGAGCTGCAACGCGGCAGCATGGGCAGGATGTAGCATTGGGTGCAGTTGGTTCTCAGTGATCATTCTTCTGTGTTCCTCCCATGTGCAGGTCGATCTTTGGCAAGCAAAGGCTACAACAAAGTGAATCTGGTGACGTTCAAGGGGTTGCGACATCAGCTTATTGCAATCGAGCTGGACGAGATCACAGAGTTTGTGCGACAAGTGCTGCCACATAGCTCTGCCGACCCAGCTGTCACCTCTCCTTCGTGCTTTGTCTGCCCTAAGACTCTAAAACTCTCAGGATCGCAGTGTGCGACAAAGGGCTCAAGGAGATGGTAGTCCTGTCATGTTTTGACATGTCATGCCAGACTTGCCAAGGACGGATTTGTCAGGATGCCTGATCTGGCTGCACGATGCAACTCTGGTGGGCCGAGTGGATGAGGATTCGATCGCCGACAGGACCCATTTAAGCAGCCAGTCTTTTTTATTTTGCTGCACTGCTCCAGACTCATGGCCACCTTGAGCCCAGTTTCCATGTTCATTCCATGTTCAGCTGGCGAAGTTGTTGATCCCTGTTTCTTCCTGGATCTCCTGTGGCATGGCATGTTGCCATGCCCTGCTCAGGATGAGGAACTTCCTGCCTGGCGTCCATCTTCTTCTCCGGCAGCTTGAGGACAGCGACAAAGCTCTTTGGCTAGTTCAGATGGAGAAGGTGCTTGGCATGTATGCATCCGCAAGTTCGAGGTGAGGGATGGTTCCTTCCTTCTCGCCGAAGTCACCGCTGAGCTGCAGAAAGTGCAGGTCCTAGCAGGTTACAGCTATGATCGAATAAAAGAAATGCCAGGCGCAGGCTAACATTGTAGGCTTCCTGACATGGCAATTGTATGGGTTCAGATCTCAGGCTCGGCTGGCTGGCTTTCCAGCTGAAAAGACAGCCTCTTGCCTGTCAGCAGACAGTCACAAGCTGCCTTAGATGGCAGTCCTTGCTCATGGTCCCTAAACCTGAACCCTAAACCCTAAACCACCCTGAACCCAAGGTTCTGGGGGGCTTCGGCGCAGGAGGAACTGCTGCACTGCTGTCTTTGCCTTCGCCTGGGCTTGCCGGCCTCGTGCGCCTCTGACATGCATCGAGGACAATTTGTTGGGGGGGTATGGGGGGTCTGTGATCTTGTCACAAAATTTCAACGATTTTAGAATTTTTAGGAACATTGAACATTGGTGTGCGGGGTCTGCAATTCCGATGGTTTTTGCACGCATGTGCGATGAAACTGCGGAGCAGATCTTGACACGACCCCCACTCAGCCAGCAAGGCGACCTTAGCACTGCCACACTGAGTCACAAGGAGCCCCAACCTAGATAGAGCAAAAGGTGCAGCTGCGCATACCCCTCGAGCGGGCTGCCTGCACAGGTGTGAGGCCCAGTTGGAATTCACACTGTGCCACAGTCAGCGAAGCACTCTCACGCTCAGTCAGCAATCCCTTCCCCTTGTCCGAGGTCTCCACGGGAGAGGACCAGCTGATTGTGGTCCTGCACGGCCTGGAGGATACCCTCAGTGTGCTAATTAGGATGCGTATCGGGATGCTTGGGTTTCAGTCCCTTCAGGATGAGGTTGTCCCTGTCGACGTTGCCCGAGAGCAGTGGCAGATGTTGGGATCGTATGGCTACCGAGGAGCCGCTTAGCTGGCTTAGCTCTCCGAGATGGGGGACTTCATTTTAAACTGCAAGTTAAAAACAACACAAACAAAATTCTTGTCTCAGACTCTGACTAGCGAGTGCTAGCGATTTCAAATGGGGCAGCAATTTACAGCTGTGCGCTGCAAGAAGCGCTGATCATGTCAGCAGAAAAGGGAGCAACAACGTCCTGCAGCCGCCACCGGGCACCCAAACAATGCAAGGTGACAGACCCACAAAGAACCCCATGCATTTCTATACTATACACTGGACTCACGTCAACGGGGTTGTACAGTAAAGGAGGATGATCGCTGTCCGCTTCCCGAGGTCGTCTTCAATGCGATGAAAGGACTCGGCCATGAATTCTCCCTGGGACTTTGGCAAGACATTGTTGAGATAGTAGCCGCCGTGCTCGATGTGGGAGGTGAAGGCCTGGAATAGCCCGGGCAAGGGCTTCAGCAGTGTGGCGCCACGCTGCTGCTTTAGGTTCAATCGAAGGGTAGCAAAGTTATCTCGCATGTGCGCCAAAGAATGCGCTTGACTGCGAGAGCTACCACTCTGACGGCATCCGGAGGAGGCTTGGAAAAGGATGCCAAAATGCCAAGACGAAGACTCACCGGTGCACCGTAGTATTCTTCCATGACAGGCGTCGCTTTTCAAGTGATGCGAGCTTCAGTTCTTGCCAAGACATGTCCAAGGTCTGTTCAGACTTCTGGACATCGACAATGAAGGCCACGTGTGTCTCATGAAATGAGCCAAGTGTCGCTTCACAGTGGCACGAAAGGCTCGATCGATGTGGAGGAGTTCATTGCAGGTTGCTGCCGCATTCATGGCCCCGCCAAGGCACGACTGACAATGACAACCTCCGACGCAGGATCTAAGACTCTGAGATCTTTAGGCTTAAGCAGTCGATGGAAAGTGACCTTAAACCTGTTGGGGTAGCACAATCCCTTGCAAGTGTATGCTCCCCCAAGATCCAACCTTTGGAGTTCCCCAGCTGGACAAGTAGGACTCAGCTTTGGCTGCGTCTTCACAGATGGGGTTTGAGGGTGACCAGATTGGATGCTCCTTGTGAGGCCATCGACCTCACTACGCTCATGTGCCAGGCAGGGTTTCGGGTTTATGGGGGTTATGTTGGCTTCGAGAGGTCGGCTGAATGACTAGACTAGGCACAATGTCTCCAAGCCCTGAAAACGGATGTTCTCCAAGCCCTCCAGGTCTGGCAAGGCTCTTGTAATCGTAGCCTTTGGGGCTCACGAAAGGGAGCCACAGCACAGGCATTGAAGCACGAAGCCAGGATGGTCCAGTGGCGTTATACGATGCTGCGCGAGCTTCGCACTGTTTGCAAGTCTGGGAAGAGCTTGTCGAACGCCTCAAGCACTCTCGGTATGTGCTGGCTTTGCCACATCTTGGCACCATCCCGAAACCCTAAACCCTAAACCCTAAACCCTAGACCCTAGACCCTACACCCTAAACCCTAAACCCGACCCTTCTCTCCGGCCTCAAGAAAATTAAGGACCCCTTCGCTAGGTGATGCTCCTCCATCGGCAGTGGCGCAATCATGCAACACTGTTGGAGGAGAGCGTTGGGCATAAGTTGCCATCAGATTGAAGCAGCCCTTTATCTTGGCTTTCTTCTGGTTGGTTCTTAAGACTTTAACCTTTTGGGTTTTGGTATGTTTTTGTAGAAACTACAATAAGGAGCCTAACAGCTAAACTTTTTAGGAGGGGCTCAGAAGTCAGCCGAATTTATAGGTGCCTTGCCTGGCGGTAACATGATACCTTCGGAGCTCAGAAGGTGTTCTCGGCATGGTGTTCAGGAGTTCCTGCAGTACACTGGCTTCTTAGCCGGAGGTGAGACACCTGTCCGATCCTTAGCCGCCTAGGGCCTACTGGAGGGGCAAGCCCAGAGTTGCAAAATAAAGCGTCGGCCGTCAAAGAAGATTCAAAGGATGTCGCAGGGTTTTGAAGATCCTTCTAACGCTTGTCCTACTCGGATCAGGCCACGATGTCGAGCGCCACCCCACTGGCAAGAGGCAGGGCGGTTGGTGGTCTTGTTCCTGTACTCTGTGCGACGTAGTTCCAGTCGGACTGCTCTGTTAATGTCTGAATGGCACTTCTGTATGTGAGTGGGTGTGGTTTTATTGGTAGCAGATGGAGTATGCAGGTGGACCTCACAAGAGGAGGACCACACGCAGCATGTCAAGAGCCTTGAGGTACCACAACCAAGTACAGTGCGGTGCACCAGCAATAAAGGTAGCTCCGGAGCCTCCAGGGACCTCTGTAGGTCTATCTCTGCACACGGCATTCAGAACACGACTGGCTATTTTGCGGTCTGAGGGGGCTGCAAGTTCAAGCAAGAAAAAGACTGCACATAGGATTCTGAAGTGCCTCCTCTGGCCATGCCTGGCTGACGCCGTGAGGATCACTGGCATTGAAATTGAAGATCGACCCAAAAAGTTGAAACCATGTTTGTGGTCCATGTAGTTGCACCTGTGGACGGGCTGTTTGCCAGGCAGCCCCAAAACCCGCACCAAGACTGGCTGGCTTGTTTGCAGAAGTCGAGTTAGTCAGCGGATTTTCTTCAAAGCTTGTTTGCACCGCCAGTTTCGTCTGGCAAGCTTTAGTGACTGTCTCGCCTGGCGCGTGCACTAGGCCACCAAGTTACGCTCCCCCAAAATTCAGAAGCACACAATGACAGCTTAGTTGCTTCTGCGATGTGATGACTGCATGTAGTACGGTGAGAAGCTTACAGGCTGCATTGGCTTGCTGGTGACCGTGACATGGGGTTGAAACTGTCGCACTGCGTACTTGGTAACTTGGTGCTCCATATCATCTTGCAGCCCTAGCCTACTAAACCCCAAACCCTAAATCCTAAACCCGAAAACTTAAAACCCTAAACCAGTCAGGGGCCCCGTACTTGGTTCCGCCAGGAGGTTCAGCTTCTGCATGGACAAGGCAGGGAGTACACTGCCCCTGCCCCGACAAAAGTGGGTCAGCCCACCAATATTAACAGGTATCCCTTTGCCAGCAGGAAACACTATGTCTGACACGCCACTATTTGGTCATAGTTTTAGCATTTTCGCGCTGTTGCTGCTGCGACGAATCTCGGGTGAACCTCCATGCAACAACCTTGTCGAACTGCCAAAGGGTTGGCGTGCTTAGTAATTCACTTGCTGCGAGGTGCTGTAATTCTTTCAACTGCGAACTTTTCTGAAGATGCAGGCAATCAGCAACGAAAACGTGTCTCTCGAGCTGCCAGAGTCTGAGGTGTGCTTAGCTGAAGAAGCTCCAAATCGTCTTGCAGAGGGGTTCGGGGGTCGCGGCCGATCTCGCATGGGAGTGAGCTCCCTGAGGTATCCTTAGCCCCTCTTGTTCAGAATCAGTTTTCCCATCATAACCATGCAAAAGCTGCTGCTGCAGCCGAGGCCGGAATTGAGCGAGGTGAAGGTGCGATTCTTGGGTGCTGCTCGGTTCTGCGTCCGATGAGGGCCAAGCTGGCATGGAGCACTGTGTTGACCTTTAAAACGCAGACAGTTTCTCCATCAAAGGTTGCTGAAGCATGGGGAGGTCTTGAGAGTTCCACATTCTAGAGAACCTGAGGGCGTATCTCGTTTGAGGAGCGTCCACGCCGGGGCATCGGGCTGCTTTGCACGTCCTGTGTCATCTAGTTGCAGTATCGATGGCCTAAATCAAGTTCCTCACTTGTGCATGTATGTTTGCATGGCATCTGGCTTCCGATTTCCATCATCTTCTGAAGCATATTCAGCTTTCAGCCGTCGATCGAGGCGTTGAACCACGATTCCAGCATGAAGCCCAGATGTGCGGGTTACTGCAGTCGAGGCATCCACGCTGCAAGACTGTCCTCGGCCGGCTGTTCAAGAAATGACTACTGACAGGACTGACAGGCCTGAGGCGAAGTCACTTCTTTGAGAGGGGTGTCACTTGAGTCGCCCAATCCGTCTCTTTGAGGTCCTCACTCTCAGATAAAGAGCGCCGGTGCCCAAGTTTCAGCCCTTCTCTCACACTCTCTCTCGAAATTGAAGCAGTTCCATGACGTTCCCCCGTGGTTGTGCGACATCCCGAGCGAGGCAACAATGAGAGAAAACGTATGCGTGACACTGCCCAATCATGGGTGCTTAGTCTGCAGACGCATGTACCAGTGGGGTGTTTGATGCTGGCCAGCATTCCCAACCTCCCAGAAGAAACCGCAGCCAACGCAGTTGTGGCAGCATCTTTGTTGCCATTTTGTACGAAAGAGCACAAAACTAGTTCCTAAACCATCTGGCAAGTGAAGGTTGTTCTTCCAAATTCCACATCCTTCCAATGGGAATTCTATCATAAACGGCACCCAAAATTAGAAACGACCACGACTCTTTGGCTGATGCTTGATCTACCCTTGCAGAGGTGCGTGTTCTCCCCACGATCCTCCCAAAGAAGAAGAAGAAGAAGAAGAAGAAGAAGAAGAAGAAGAAGAAGAAGAAGAAGAAGAAGAAGAAGAAGAAGAAGAGGCAGAAGAAGACGTAGAAGTAGAAGGAGTAGAAGGAGAAAGATGGAGAAGAAGAAGAAGAAGAAGAAGAAGAAGAAGAAGAAGAAGAAGAAGAAGAAGAAGAAGAAGAAGAAGATTTGTGCAAGCAACCTCTGCAGATGCGCGCTTTGTTTTGGGCAGGATAGTATGCACAATGCCCACAGACAACCCAGAAAGCCGCAACAGCCGGAAGCAGCCGAAGCCCATGCGTGGCTTTGGCCCCAATTATGTCGGTTGCAGAAAGCTGATATCACAGCATATCACAGCCAATCTGACTGTCCAGACACGGCACATTCATTGCGTCACTGTGCGAGTTGTTGCATGAGCAAGCTTCGGTGGGAGGATCTGAGATTTCGGATTCCTTGTTCTGTTTCCTTTACCTTGACCAGCTCTATACATCCCTTTATGCCCTGACGCTGTGCTGAGGTTAATTCTGAGCCTGTTCAGGATGTCTTGCCTGCGGGCACGCCGTTGTCGTTGTGACACGCTGAAATACAGTGATTTGGGGGACCCGTTACACAGCCTAAGTGAAGTCAAGGCATGAACGATGAGCACCCTTTCGTTGGCCCCCCACATTGCTGCTTGATTGCCGGGCCTGTGGCAGCAAATTTTCCCATTCAGCTTAGTCGCGAGAACTTGGTTGCAATGTTGGTCTATGGAGCGCCCGCTCATCATTAAATGGCCACCACCAGGCCCCGCAGACTAATGATTATCTCCGGCATGCAACTCCCAAGGAGCTTGCTGATGGACCTGAAGCCGAAAGAGCTCTCGAATGAGACGTCTTGGCTTGTTGGCTTGACAAGCCAAACAGAGCCCAAATAAGCTACCTGAGCATGCTCAGGGAGCCAAGAAATCAGGGATGCTCATCAAACAAAGCTGGTAACACGAAGCGTGCAGAGCTGATGTGAGGTCGCGAACTGCCCTTGCGGACTCTTCTTGACTTGTATTACAGACGAACAGTGGACTTCGCAGGTGTTTTCGCGCTGCTTGCGACTCTGGCCAAAAACCGCTCTTGCTCAGGAGACCTGCTGAGTTGTGAGGATAGGCTTTTTGTGCTGAGGCCACGTAAAATTTTGTGGGAACATGTCGTTGCCAAAATTTCTTACATCTGTATTGCTGAGTGATGTCCGTAGAAGTGCATCAGCGCGTCAACTACTGGTACTTGCAGTTTAAGACAGGAATATCGCGGAGCACCCAGATTCTGTACTGCCTGGTCTTCGTGACAAGGCGCGTTTGACATTCACCTTGCACACTTTCAGATTGAATGCATATCATGGGTCCTTGGGGCTAAGAAGGTGCAGTTGGTTCCCACGAAGATGCTGCTGGCATGAGAACCTTACATTGGGGGTTGTCCTGCTTGCACTTGCCAGATACTTGGACCTTCTTGCGCGGAGCTTAGTGGAGCCTAGCGTTGGCGAGTGCATGCGAGTGCATTGTGTAAGCAATGCTCAGGACAAGACTCAAGCCTTCTATCTCGTCTTCTTCAAGATTACGTGCCCTCTTTCACATGCGCGACGCTTGCCTTGCGCATCAGCTGTGGGAAGGTATATAGTGACTTCCATCATCGTCCTGGCAGTGTTCTACAAGCTTGATAGCACATACGAGCGCCAGAAGGACCACGTTGCTCCTTCCAAACTTCCAAGCCTTCCCCGGCTGTTGCACATGCGTGCCGGCACAGCCTTCACAGGCACGGCCATGCACGGAGAGCAGGACACCTGCAGTTTAGCGGCCATTCTGGTGCCGTGCAGCATCAGCGCCGTGCTCCTAGCGGAGACGTGCCCTTGGGAGTGCTGCGCATCGGGTTCTCAGAACACACAAATTACCATTTGTTTCTTTGGGGGGCCCTCGAAAAACCTGTCGTCTGCTGAACTGCTGACAGGTATCAAGCTGTTGACATCCTGTGGACCTTCTCGCAGTTTTGCGAGGGCTTCGCCATGGTGCCTCCCGCTCTAAATCGCGGAAGCACAGGGAACATCACAAAAGTCACCACAGACTAGCTGTTCATCGTGACAGGTTCCCCAGTATGTCTTCTGCTACAGGGATAGGCTGGCGAAGGACCGAGCGGACCCATAGACCACAACTTCCGTTTCGAACATGACCTTTGCATATATCTGAGAAGTGCCCATTGAAGGATGTCGGTGTGACCTTTTACGTGCTGTCCATGGGTGCCATTCCCAGAGTACAGTGCACTCAGAGCACGCTGGATAGACACATTGCCTGGCCTGACTTGTCTCGCCGCTGCCTACTTATGCAAAGTTGGCTTTCATGAAGTGATGAGCTTGATTCTGAGATGCTTGAGAGCTGTCTGAGTCTGAGTAGTGAAGGTGCGTATCGATGCTTCTACGCCGCGAATTGGATTTACAAGAAGGCCCCATACGATATCCATACGACGTATGTTGTGAGCTTGATGGCAATGCCCGCGACTCCTGCAGATGCAAGTCGCGATGTCACGGTTTTAGGGTTGCTCCTTCGTGCTTCATGAACATTCTCTTCAGTTCGCGAAGTTCAGGAGTGTAGCCGGCGGCCAGATTAATCCTTGTAAGATTTGCGCTATGCTGAAGCCACCTGCTTGAACTCGCAACTCCGACCTGCTCTTGGCTTGAGCTTCCGGTCATCAAGCTGAATAAGCTGTTGACGGGATCTGTCTGACATGTGAGCCGCCACAATTTCAGCCCATAAATGAGGCAACACCTTGGACTAAGAGGCTCATTCTCATCAAGCTTCAGACCCTAAGCAGCATCACTTGATTTTTCATCAAGTTGGCTGCTGCTCAGGACAACGCTCCAGCAACTAAGTTGTAACGCCTGTAATAGCAGTAACATGTCCGGCTGGGTAGCGCCCGCAAAAGGGGTGCTAGCTGATTCTAAGTAGTAAAGTAGTAGAAGAAGGTCAGTTGCAAGGTGCAGCCTGCACCGTGTTGCCTCTGGTGGGTGAGCTGGGCCCTTGTCGTTCGAAGACATGAGGTGCCTGGGCTGCATTAGAAGCCCACACCTTGTTCCAGCAGGCCCTACATGGCTGCGCAAACTCCTCTGACCCCACTTTCTATGTTCGCCAAGGAGAACCCTGAGACTCCTGAGAACCCCAAACATCATGAACATGCCAAACCCGAGGCCCAGACCCTCTGCTGGAGTTCGGCCAATGCGCTCCGCAACACCTGGCAGTGCGCTCCATGCTGCTTGGCACTGCTTTGGTGGCAGCTTCTAGGGCAGCTGCCGAGCTTCTGTAGGGCTTTCTTTGGGTTTCTGAGTCCCTTTCATTTCTCCTCAAAAAGGGCACCATGGCTGGTGTCTTAGGGATCTCATGTTAGGGGGTTTACAAAGGAGTCAGCAGCCTCTGGGCCCCACAACAGCAACCGAAGTTCAGCTGAACCAGTGGTGCCTTGGGTAATCCCGGCTCCCGAAGTGTCCGGGCCGTTGCAGGATTACGGTGCGTTACGCGATCATGAATACATGTGTGCTGCACCTTGCAGGCACAGCTGGCCACAACCAACGGTGCCTTATCAGACTACGTCAAGGCAACTCGGACCACCAGTCACCACTCATAGTACAGTTATGTAATTATGCCCAAGCTTAGTTGCTGATTCCCTCTTTTCAGTCCCTGTCCGAGGTCCGCACTGTGGGCCGTGGCAGCTTCGGCGAGGCCCTCCTGGCCGCTCGATTTGATGGTTAAATCGCTTCCAGAGGGGGATGGGCCAGACTCTCTCTTAGCCTTCCAAGCCCGGCAAGTCTTATTCGCGCCCAGGTGAAGCACAGAAGCTCGGGCCAGATGTCGGTGCTGAAGCGTGTACGCCTGGAGGCAACTCGAAGGGTGAGAGAATGGGCGAGCATATTTCAAGCATTCGAAGCATTCGCATGGCTTTCAAGTTGCAGCATGTGGGAATGTGGGATCACCGTGGGTCGCAGCGCTGGACGAGTGGTCGTCAGGGCAGCAGCGATGCCGCCGCCGCAGCCGAGAGCGCGGCTCGGGAGGCACAGGTGCTGCAGAAGCTGCGGCACCCACACATAGCGGGGCTCCCAGCGTCGTGTCCCACTTTGTGCATTCAATCATGCAACTGTTCAACCCATGTCACCCAGTCAGTCATGACGTTGCTTCAGAAGCAAGTCTTTCATGTCCACTGTTGACACACTGAGCTGTGCCGCGACATGGAGTCGGTTTCACAGAGTGCCATAGAGTGCCCAAGACTGCACGGCCGGCCACCTTCCTGCGTATCCTGCGTGCTTGAGGTGGAGTTCTTGGGTGCATTTGTCGACAACTCACGGGACTCCACCGGCGGCGCTCTCTGTTTGCTGATGGCCTTCTGTGAAGGCCGCTGAGCGGGTTGTGCCATGTTGTACCCCTACTCAGCCCGATAGGTCATTTCTCAACAATGCTAACACAATGCAGGGAATGGATGCTTGAAGCACCGGAGAATCGACGCAGCCCTGACCAGGAGGCGACCTGCAGCACAGACTGCAGAAGGTGCGTCAGGTCCCTCTGCGTGCGGTGTGAGTTCTTGCTGTAATCTTACACTGTTGGTGGCTGGGGCACGGAATTCTACAGTTGCTCATAACTCACCCGCAAACGCCGGTTTCGGAGGAGTGCCGTCGGCTCCCTGAGCAGCCTGCACTACGCTGGTTCGACCAGCTTTGCAGTGCGCTGGCCTACGTGCACCAGCATCAGGCAGAGCAGCGACATGAGCAGTGGACATGCCGTGGTGTGTCAGTGTGTCACTTGATCCGATCTCCATCTTTCGGTGAGGTTTTGCATCGTGATCTCAAGCCTTCCAACATCTTCCTCTACGGTAGAAGTGGCGGCAGCGCCCACCATATTTATGAGGAGGACAGCCAAACTTAACACAGCATGGCACAGCGGCGGCATCAGTGAGCTATCTCTTGCTGCAAGGAGTCCGTGTCCATTGGGGACTTCGGAGTCAGCCGACCTCTGACCCACTCAATGGAGTTGGTAACCACAATGGTGGGAACACCCTGCTACCTGAGCCCTGAGGTGCGAAGGCTCAGGTGTTTTGCATGTGGTTCAGCACAACGAGTGCTGTGCAACGCGAGTTGGCATTCCGAGACAACCGTCGCATGTTGGCTCCTTGTCGTGCTGTCTGCCGCAACATCCATGTGAAAAGGACACTCCTGCTTGGTAGGTGTGGGCAGAAAGCGATTCTACTTTCACCTGTCACACTCGACGAGAACGGACTGTACCACTGCACGAGACACAGTGCTCTGCCTCAGAGAGACTGAACATTTCTAGCCATGGTTGGACGGTCGGGCGGCTGGCGGTGTGCGCTGTTCCTGGCTGCTTCCCTGGGCTGGCACTGGGCGTTCAGCTGCTCACATGTTATATTCATTCAGTCAATATTAATGAGAATGACAGTGTGACAACATCACTCGTATTTCAGAGTGCTTCGACATCCGCCCTCGAGGCGCCAAAGCCAAGGTTTGCCGCCAGCCGGGGAGCAACGCTTTCTGATCGCCCGCCATGGCCAGACGACCTTCAATGCCGAGAAGCGTTTCCAAGGCCCCCCCGTCCCAGCCGAAACGATGTCACGTCCTCATTAGTAGGAAATGGCTTGGGTGGTTGAAGGGTTGAGGGGTTGAGGGGTCGAGGGTTAAGGAGCTTAGCCTTTGGGGAGTTGAGGGGTTGAGAGGTTCTGCCTCGGAAGAATGGGCCTGCGGATTCATCCAGACCACCCAAACAAATTTCTAAAGTGCACGAGGGCAGCTCATGGGCTACTCCCTGGAAAAACTGTTTGTGGCGTTGCTGCGTACGCAAATACTGGAATATTAAATATGTAAACAAGTGAAAGAGATAAACAAACCAAATAAATAAACTAAATAGATATACATATAAATATATATAAAGAAATAAAATATATATATATATATATATATATATAATATGTGTATATGGTCCCCCCCCCCCCCAGTTATCCACCTGTTTTGGGGGGGATAGGTATCTTCAGAGCTTCGTTGTATTCTGATACTATAGTGTGATTCTGATACTATAGTGTGACGATCTTGTGTAGTTACGGGTGTTTCTATAGTGCATAGTGTACTTAAATTTCAAGGCCTCAATGGTCAAGCACGATGAGGGACAAGGAGTTTTGAAGTTCAATCCGGAGTTTTGAACTTCAAAACTCCGGGATTCAAGATTCAAGATTCAAGGTTCCAGGGAAAAGCTTCCCCGGGATCTTGAGTCCAGGGTCCCCGAGTTTTGAAGTTCAAAACCCCGGATTGAACTTCAAAACTCGGGACCCTGGATTCAAGATCCCGGGGAAACTTTTCCCTGGAACCTTGAATCTTGAATCCCGGAGTTTTGAAGTTCAATCCGGAGTTTTGAACTTCAAAACTCCGGGATTCAAGATTCAAGGTTCCAGATAAAAGCTTCCCCGGGATCTTGAATCCAGGGTCCCCGAGATTTGAAGTTCAAAACCCCGGATTGAACTTCAAAACTCGGGACCCTGGATTCAAGATCCCGGGGAAACTTTTCCCTGGAACCTTGAATCTTGAATCCCGGAGTTTTGAAGTTCAAAACTCCGGATTGAACTTCAAAACTCACGGTGTACGAATCAACGTGATCGCGAAGCTATTTGTTCGCAGCGCCCCTGTGTACTCCCAGTCATTTCCTTCATCATGGCTAGTGTATGTGTCTCCGGCGTGGTGGCGTTCGATAGCGGTGCTGCGTATCTCCGCCTGGTGCCGACCAATCCCACGACGCCCCCGTCGCCTACGTCAGCAACGGCAACGGTTCCTTGGCCGACTTCCAACACCCGAAGCGATGATCCAGTGTATGAGGCCATCAAGGATGGGAAAGTCAAAGTTCACTCCACTCGCCAGCCCGTGACAAAGAAAATGCTGCAGATCGCGATGAGCAACATCCAGCGTGCACTCTCTTTGACAGCGGGAGCAGGCGGTGGTTGGAGTCCGGAAGCTGACTCTAGACTTCTTCGCCTCTTAGCTGCCAGTAACATTAAGGCCATCCAGGATGCCGAGGGCGTACCAGCCATCAAGGACATAGACCACAACATCCCAGGGTGCCAGCACCATCGAGACGAAGCAGAACGCCAATCCGGCGACGTGTGTAGCAGTAGCTGCGCCTGTTTTGGAGGCCCAGGGTGACATTGATCGGGAGCCAGAAAAGAGTGATTTTTGGTGGATTGCATCTGATCGTAGCGTGCTTGAACAGGGTATGAGCAAACACAAGTTTGACATGTTGCAACACCAGCTGCGCTCGCGTATACCTTCAGGAGAATGCTTTGTGTGACAGTGACGGCAGAGAGCCTAGACGGGCCCATTCCCAAGGACACTGACCACAACATCCAGGAGAATGCCATGTCTGACAATGATGTATCTCCGAGCACATGAGCCAAAACACTCCATCCTTGGACGAGGCCATGGACGTCGACCACAACATAAGGAGCGGGTGAAGCTTAATCAAAACCCCAAGACTGGAGCCCACCTATTGAAGGACCTATTGGCCGCGAAGAGTCGAGCTGCGCAATATGAGTACTGGCAGCGGGGTAGAGACATGTGGACCAGCGCGGGCACCCTCCTGAGGTGGTACATGGACAAGTTTGCCACAAAGCACAAGTGACAAGGGGGGCTAGGCCAGCATCACGAAGCGGGCACTCCGCGGGGAGGAAAAAAAATCTAAAGTCCCGTTGCATCTGCATCTAGTTCACGTCTGCTCATTTTCTCTTCAAAAATGCACCGACACACGCCATGGAATGCAGCAAAACGGTGGATAACTTGGGGGGGGGTAGCTGTGTATATTTTTTTTGCTCAGCTTCAGAAGTTTTAGGAATCTGAAGCTGGAATCTGGCCAAGCCTTGAGGGCCTGCAGGCCTTCTGATTCGTCAGCCTTTTTCTTCTTGCCCTCCCCCCTGGGTTTAGGGTTTAGGGTTTTCCCCCCCTTTGGGATCCCCGGCCCCAGAGCTCCGCATTCTTCCGAGAAACCTTATTAATGGGGGCGCTCAATTGCATTTCCAAACTCCGCAGAATACTGGTAGCGAGCAACCTTGTTAAACCGAGCCCAGCACTAGTTGGCCGTGCCGTCTCTCTCACTCACTCACTCACTCACTCACTCACTCACTCACTCACTCACTCACTCACTCACACACACTCTCTCTCTCTCTCTCTCTCTCTCTCGTGGCTGGTGCGTGTCCCACACGAAGTGGCTCACATCAGGTTCACCTTTGTTTCTGATTTACGGGCTCCCCTAAGTTTCAGAGGTGTGCCATCGCTCGTAGGCTGTTTGAAATTACTGCTCATCCCCATTCATTCAAGGCCTCAGCCCAGATGCAGTTTGGTCTCATCGATGCAGTGAGGTTCCATGGATGAGGGCCCCGTGTTGACCATCAAGGGCGTTTCCCAGGCAGAGGAGCTCGGCGAGTGGTTGAAGGCAAGCCCAGGGGTCCTGTAACGGCTTTTGCAGGTTGTATGCTTGGTACTCTTAGGAGCTATGGCAGCTACGGGTTCAGATCAGCGATTCTCGCCTTTCAAGGCTTCAAGTCCAAAGGATCCCCTCCCTGGTCATGTTGGAACCACCCCGGTTTGAGAAATGGCATGCTGTCGGCCATGTACCGAGAGAATCTCCAACTTGGACTGTGGTAGATCGCAAAACCCTGTAGATATCCGAGGTGAACCCGGTTGCTGCAGTGTTCGTATCGCCGCTGCTCCGAGCGCGGCAGACCCTGGAAGCAGCCAGGGCTGTGGCAGGAGCTGCTGTTTGTGCCAGGGGTTCTTGCTGTAAGAATTATTGTTGGTTTGCAGCTGAGTTTCAAAGGACTGCATATCGGCTTCAGCCGCACGAGCGTTAATTCGGTTAATTAAACAAGAGCATGCCGGCAGTATGAGAACTTTGCTTGCATTTCACAGTTCACATTTCGGGCAGAACTGCTCCGCAGACGCCAGAGAAATCAGCCGATAACGGAGCAGCCGTCGGAAGGGTATTTTATCATTTATCGTCCCTCACATGGTCAATGGCCTGTTCGGAAAGAAGGATCGCTTGCTGCAGGAGATTCGCTCCCGACCACACAGACCACGCTTCCGGAGCTGCGTGAGATTGACCTGCACGAGCCCACGGCTCGGCTGCATCCATCAAAATCCCATGGACGCTGTGTCTTGCTTTGTGGCGATTTTGTAAAGAGCTCTGCTTCGAAAGGTGGGAGGGCCAAACACAGGCTGAGATCAAGATGGCAGATCCAGACCAAATGAAGTTGTGGAAGGACTGCCTCCACACATCCGCGCATGTCTGCTGAGCACGTAGCATGTGGCACTTGCAGGGCGGCTTGCGGTGTGCTGTTGATTGTCGAGAGCGTAGAATTTCAGCTTCGAGGAGGAAACCTGGAACCTTCAGGTGAGTGGACGCATCTGGATTGCAATCAGGAAGTATAAGGATAATGCTGGTGCAGCGTAGGGCGATTCATGGTTAAGGCGTTAAGGTTGGAAAAGTGGCCCTCAACCAAAACTCGAACCGACTGAGGTTACGTCGTGCGTGATCTCTGGAAGCGATCAGCTGATGCGTGGCGTCGCATGCGCGAGGCCCGACCCTTCCCCAACCTGGCCCCAAAGAGATTTCACCTAAGCCCTAGTTGACCCTTGACCTGCATGCGGTCTACTGAGTGTGCTGAATTAATAAGCTTATTTCTGCTTCTTGACTAAATGGATGTAGTGTTTCAGCAGGTTCTAGCGTGCCTCAGAGCACTTTGCAGATTTAGGAAGATTCGGGAGGCACGGGATGCGGAAGAGTGCGGGGGGCAGCACCGAGGTTGCGCCTTCTGGAAGTGCAAGGTCACTTGTGGTCGCTCATGGAGCACTGGGCAAGGCCGAGCTACCCATACAGTGTTTGGAGGGATTATGAGTTCTCACTCGTGCCAAGTATGCGGTTTAGGTGAATAGTGAGTCATAGTGAGTCTACACCTTGCAGCTTGAGTGTGCGTAGGCCTTGATCAGCACTGCGCTCGGTTTGCCGGAACAGGCCTGATACTATACGTT